GTTAAGACATTATTTAAAATTGCCAGAAACAAATTGATTATTATGACTTTTTCTAAATATGTTTATAGAGTATTGATTTTATATTGAGTTAACTAGAAGACTTTATTTTTAAAATCTTTTTAAAATTATGAAAACTCGTTTAAAGTTCTAGCTCACTAAAGATTTAAGATAAATTTAAATCCACAACTATTGTTGAAATTTTAAAAGCTTATTGTACTTTAAAAAACTTTCAAACTTTGTACTCATATTCGTTAAGTATATGAAAAACATTTTTTTTTGTAAGTCCTCAGACCTACATAATTAACTTATGACCCACAGAGATTTTACGAAAAGAATTTTTGAACTCCGATCTTGGGTACAGTCATGCCCAAAAAAAAATCTCATGTAAATGATGGCAAATTCATAAGGCAGCAGAAAGCAAAATGCATAAACCAATTTGAGTGGACGTTTGTGATCGTGGGTCAGATGTCAGATACGAAATTCGAATACGTCTCACATCCGCTGCCCCCGTGTGAGCGTGTATCATGTAAAGGGGGTAGACTGGCAAGAACAAGAGCAGTAAGTACCAGGCAAGTGTGGACCCCAAAGTGCCATGGAGAATTAACGAAACGAAAATGGGGAAAAAACTATACATCTTTGTCAGGGCAGATACTCACTGGCTGGATGACTAGGGGAAAAGCCCGGCTCCGGGTACTTTGGCTACGTTTTACGGGTATAGCTACGGGTCGACTTGCAGACTTTGTCTCGTGGGCAGTAGATTTTGAAATGTACACTGAAAAAAGTATTTTCTGTAATATAAAGTGGAAGTTCAGTGGAAGTGGAAGAAAACTAACTCTTATGCAACGTTCAGTAAGTAAACTTTTAAACTAATTTTAACCTTCAAATTTATATCAGAAGTAAGGTATATCAGTAGGTAATTACTAAAGGAAAACGTTGATCATAAAAAGGAGACCTGCCTACCATATCTCTCAGTGTATTCACGTTCATAAGTCGAGGTTTTTCCTTCTTTCATACTGTTTTTTTTTTGTTTCTACTGAACGCTGAGAGCGAGAACGAATAGCGACAGCCGAGTCAGAAGTGGAACTAAAATACAAAAACTATTTGATATTTTATGCGGGATTTAAATTGATCTTAACGAAGCTTAATTGAAGGCGTCTGTATGGGTGAGCCGTGCTCTGGACTCTGACACGACTGCTTTTGAGGCTGTGTGTCCATGTCCATGTCCATGTCCATGTTGATGTGGATGTTGATGTGAGCGGGACTTGAGCCCGCCATATTGGAATTTCGTTGTGCGAACTGATCACAATCGCCGAACCAAGTAAAAATCCGAATGGGAATGGGAATGGGCGAATCATGTATGGCATGGCAGATTGCACACTGAATCGTTGCCACATATAGAAGATATAGTAGATAGATGTGGAAATGTCGTCGCTGTCTCCGCTGATATCGTAATACAATGTGATAATGCCGCTGTCATGAGGGATGAGAGAATGTCGGTGATGTTATTGCACAGAAAGAAAGTCGGAACCTGATAGAATAAATAACTTTATTAGATATTTTTTACAGGATATACGACTATACAACTTCGTATACTAACTTTATATGACATTGATCCTAAAATATTTTTAAGAAACGATGACCAAAGCTAGATCATCGTCTACCTCAGAGGCTAACAATTTGTAGTTGACAAACATTACTTATTGATTTTATAGGTATCGTCGTTGATAGTAACAGTAAGTATCGTACATAACATCAGAAAAAAGATATTTTTATTTATAGGAACTCATAGGCTCTAATATGTGGGTCTAAATTAGAAAGAAAGTAAAACAAATCGATGTAACATTTTTTAACTGTTGCTGTTAGTGTTGATATTGTTACTGAGGATGGACTGTCATCTCGATGGGACAAGTGTAGATGCGATGATGATGATGATGGTGGCGATGGGTTTGAGTATCTGTCTGCCCCTCAGTCGGTGTATCTAACTGTCTGTCTGTCTTTCTGCCAGTGTGTGTATCTTAATGGTTATGGAAAAAATATGAAAAAATATTCAACAAAAGCTTAGGCGCTCACTTTGCCAGGCAGCGACAACTGTACCAAGTATTTTGCATAGATGTTGTTCTAAACAAGCTTAAAGAATCTGGAATATATTAGAAAATTCTCTCTCTCTTAAATGTGTTCTTATCTTAGCCATTTTTATATTCCATATGTAAAGCTTAAGTAAGTTATTAGTTCGTACGAAATGAAAACGCTTTATCAAGAATGATAATATATAAAATATTTAAATCAATTTATCAGCTGGTTACAAATTATTTTGGTATAAGATCAGCAAAATCAGCAATCTTAAAGAAATCATTGAATTAAAAATATCACAAGGTGTTATAATCTTGGTATCGTATATTTTATATAAGTATTTTTCCTTTATTACCCTTACCTTATCAATAATGTTTACGTACAGCAAACTAACTAACTAGTATGTTTTCCAATTTTTAGAATTCCCCTGAATAACCCATTCATAGACCACATTTCTAAAGAAAACCTACCCACAGCCTAGCAACTCTTTTCTTAGGTTAATTAAGATTGAATGAGCTGTCTAAACATAAGATATCCTTAAGATATATCTCATTTGGGATCCTGATTACCTTTATCATACAAAAACCTCCTTAAGTTCAAGGATCAATTGTAATTAACTTTAGATCTTACTCAAGATAGTTATCATCGTTTCTTGATTTTCCTTTCTAGCTGCATTCTTGTAACTTCCCGATTTTCCCTTTTTGGGTCCTTCAACCCAAAGGCCCACATAATTGGCACATTGGCTAATGCAAAATATTGTCTGATTATTCACACGCAACAAGAGCCTGACTCCTTGCCCTCGGATACCATCCCTCCCATTCTGGGTCGCGACCCAATACCCACAGTATGGGGTGTATTTATTTGTTTTCATCTTTCGGCTTTGATCGCGTGCCCCGCGTCCATTCCGTTCGTTGAGACCTCGATTCCTCGATTCCGTTTGCCCGCATTTTGGAACCTGCAAAGCCGAAAAGTATCGAATTGTCCGATTCTGTCTGTGTGAATGAGATTTTTTGGTGTTGTTTCCGTTTGGAATTCGATGGGTTTTCTTCTTCTGGTCGCTGTTTACGATGGGAAAATTGTCGATCCTTTGTGGGTTCCTGGGAAGCTGAAGTTTCTTTCCCGTTCTCACTCGGCATGATCAATGCGGGTTGCTAAAACTTAGGCATTTGCTCGCTAGATCATTTTTAGTTTGTCTTAAATAAAACTAACTTTTTACTTAAGGTTTCTTAGAAGGTAATAATAATAATAAAAATATTAATATACACTTAAGTTTTTTAATAGGTTTGTATTTAGAAAGAAAATGTTTTAACTTTGTTTGAACATTTTTATAAACTGTAACTTTAAATGTAAAAATTGTCCTTTTCCTAAAAGCGTTATTTTCCAAATACAAAAATATTTTCAAATTTATATTTTCAATCTAAACGTTAGTGAATAATAAAGTGAAAAAGAAAACGAATTTCATTCAGATCCGCAATTTCTTCCGCAATAAAAATGTATCATTTTACCCACTTTCACCCTCTTTGACTTCGCTGACCCACATGATCCTGCATCCTTCTTCCCTCCCTATTCAAATGTCCCGTGAAATCTTGGGATCTATCCAAATGAGCCATAACTTAGCCCCTGACTAAGTGCCCACCTCGCCCCGATCGAAGTACCAGCATCTGGCCAAAAGGTCACACGCAACTTCGAATATGCCAATCCTTCAGAGGGTGACACGCGCTGTGGGAAGAGCGCGAGAAGGGAGTGGGAACAGACCGAAGTGGAAGACGAAGGTCACAAGCGTGCCAAGTCGTTCCTTTACAGGGGTTGAAATTTCAGATCGGATCACCCTCATAAGTCCAATTGGAACTCGGAACTCGGAATTCCTGTGCATTCGGTACCAGTCAAAAGTTAATTGTTATACCAACATGTGTGACGATGAAGGTGTATTGTATTAGGGATGACCATACGAGGATGAGGTGGTCATGGAAAAGCTGGGTGTAGTCAGCTTTAGGGCGGAAATGATCTGAAACAATGTAAGGCCAAAAAGGAGCCTCTAAGTTGGGATTTTTAAGACCTTTGCTAGCCTTTATGCGAGCAGAGTATTCTTAAACTGAATCAGAAATTTTCTGTTTGTTTTTTCGTTTTGTTAAACCTATTTTGGACATTAGTCTTAAGGAAGTACCTTAAGAACTACATTTTTTACTATAAAGTTACTAAACAGAAATTCAAATATGTTTATATTTTGGAATTTATTGGATTGTTGATATTATTACGGCTGTGTGGTAAAATATTTACTGGTATAGAAAACTCGATAAAAACGTTTTTAGGTTGGCTTCTTAGTCTTCATTTAGTTTGTAGTGTTCTATGCCTAACTTATATTACATATAGCCAAAACTTATAGAGTCTTTAGAGACAACTATTAACCTGTATAACAAGATATCAGCTAAAACTGATAGCTGTAGATAAAAGAGTAAGTCAAAACTATATAAGCATTTCAAGTAAAAGGATATACTATTTGACATAACTTTCCACTTCTACTAGAACCTATTGCAATCCTTAAATCTAATCCTTAAACTGATAACCAGTATAAGTGCATATCCCGTTCCCAGGACTTGCAATTCCTTTTGCTTTTCCGCTCCCAGATCTGCTGGTATCCGAAGCTGAAACCCAAAAACTGGACTCCGGCAGATAGACTCAGTAAGAAAAAGCAGAAAAAAAACGATATGTAGGGGAGACCACACCCCATATCGTTGAATCGCGAGGGAAACGGAAAAGTCACACGCGCCGGCATAAATGCATAGAACAGCAGGCCGTCTCGCTTGCACAGCGGTAATGGCCGCCGTTGGAGGGCTGCGATTGGTCGCTGTCGTGGCTGCTGCTGCGCTGTCGCCTGCGCCAGTATAAAAGGGCAATCATCGCCAGTAGCCGAGTCAATTAAGGCCAAAGACTCGAGCGGTGAGCAGGCTTTCCTCTGTCCAACCTAACCAAGCAAACCAAGTGCGAATCACATATATAAATAGAGAAAATAGTAATAGTAACTAGTAATGTTTTTGCTAAATGCAATTAACTGATTCACCAGTGAAACGAAAACAAAGCTAATTCAATTTAAAATCACATACGATCAATGGATTAAAGAGAAGCGAACTGAGGAGAAAGTTTAGATAGTGATTTTCAGTGTAAATTGTGTTTTGTGCTTGTAAGGATCAAGATATAGAAGATGGAGCACGATAGCTTCGATGATCCCATATTCGGAGAGTTTGGTGGCGGTCCTTTAAATCCGTTGGGCGCCAAACCATTAATGCCCACCTCAACGGCCATGCATCCCGTGATGCTGGGCAGTGTCCATGAATTGTGCAGCCAACAGCAGCAGCAGCAACAACAGCAAAGGCTGCCCGATTGCAACACCATTCTGCCGAATGGAGGAGGAGCCGGAGCTGGAGGATCACCCAACTATGTGACCAAGTTGGAATTTGTAAACAAGATTGGTTGCTACTCGCCTACCCAGAAGTTCGAGTATATCAGTGCCCCTCAAAAGCTGGTGGAACAGCAACAGCAGCAGCATCATCAACACCACCAGCACTACGCTGCCACACCACCGCCCAGTCACAATGGCATCCTCTTGCACAAGCAGTCCTCCCAGCAGCAACAGCAGCAACTGGTGGGCATCTTGGATTATCATCCACTGAATGGCAAACTGGACTACTCCTCCTCGCCGAAGGATCAGTACGAACCCCAGCAACAGCAGTTACAGCATCTTTACGGCGGCAGTCCACATCATTTGGATCATCTGGATCATGGCAGCGATGGTTTGCTGCAGGATTCTTCACCCGTAATGATCAATGGAGGATCCACGGGAGGCAAGCTCAAGAAACCCGATGAGATGTGCTCACAAATGGAAGCGGGTGGTGCTGGAGTCAGTCCACCAACTAGTTCCACCGCGGTGGTTAACGGTGTTTCAGTGACGACCAATGGCACGACCAATACGTCCACATCTTCCGTCGGCGGTCAGGGGACGCCAGTCACAGTGGGCGGCGTGGCGGCTCCTGCTCCCAAAAAGGACGGCGGCAGCAGTAAGAAGAAGGGAGATCCCAATGGCATCAAGAAGAAGAAAACGAGGTAAGCAGGCGGTGGCACTTATAATGTCTATCAATTACCAATTAATTTAACGACGGGAAATCAATGAAATTATGTGGCACAAGATGATAATACTTGCTATTTATGAAGGGTGACCACGGGGCGTATAAGTAATTTCTGGGAAGGTTGCAACTGAAACCCTGGGGGAATCCCATGCAATCTGGGGGGTTAATTACTGTTTAATGAACATCGATCAGAGGTGGAAAATGGTGAAAAAGTTATTTTCCTCAATCATTATTATAATATTTTATGAATTTTAGCAATAATTATTATAATAATAGTCCTACACAATAAAAGCTAATTCCTATGATTTTCCCTTCTAATTTTAGAACTACCTTTACTGCTTACCAGTTGGAGGAGTTAGAGCGTGCCTTCGAACGTGCCCCCTATCCGGACGTCTTTGCTCGCGAGGAATTGGCCATTAAACTGAATCTCAGCGAATCTCGGGTTCAAGTGTGGTTTCCAGAACCGACGGGCGAAGTGGCGCAAACATGAGCCACCACGCAAGACTGGTTACATCAAGACTAGCACTCCGCCGACGGCAACGCTCAATCCCGGAACACTAGCACCACCTTTCACCAGTTATCCACAGACAACGACGGTTACACCGCCGGGAAGCATGGACAGCTGGACCAGCTACCAAACGCCTTATGAGCTGACACCCCAGTTCAGTCTGCTCTCGCCTGCGGCCAGTCCGTATGGCACCTATTCCGGCCAGTATGGCGCCTATGTCCATGAAAGCCAACTGTTCCCGATGCGGCACTATGAATATGGCAGTCCTACACGCATGGAAATGGGAGCAACTTCAGGTTCGGTGGCTGGTAATGGAGAGGAGGCGGTAGCCAATGGCGGAAGTTATCAGTCGGCGGAGCTGCAGCCCACCCAGCAGCAACAGCAGCAGCTAGCCGACGGCACCCTGGTCACCGTCCATGCCCACCAGCATCAACTGGCGCAGCAGCAGCAACAACAACTCAATGGCAAGTACCTGAGCGCCGAGGAAGCCAAATATGTTCATCTCCAGTGCCATCAAAGTGGTTCCGGTTTGGAGCTGAGTCCCGGTTCCAGCTGTCACTTGGTGGAGGCACAAGGCCAGCATTACGTGACCACTGCCGCTGGAGGGGGAGCATCCGGAGGAGGTACTAGCAGTGATGACAACGATAGCGGCAGTATGCAGACTGTGATCAAGAGCGAGGAGGGCGGCCAGCAACAGCAGCAGCAGGCACAGAGCTATGTCTTGCCGCCTTTTTTGCACTAAGAGAAATGCTCACACACCGGCGACAGCAACAACAACAGCGACGCTGGGCCACGCCTCCAAGCATGCCGAGGGCCCGTTTCCGGCGGCCATTTTAAAAGAGTGTGGGCGTGGAGTGTGCAGCATTTCAAACTGTGTTTCTCCGACTGAAAGTGGGGCTCCAGAAGAGCACAAACCCAAAGACAAAGCCTCCAAATTAGTAGAATTTACTTAAATGTAGATCGTTGACCCATGTTAAAGGAAGAAAGTTAATTTACAAGAAAGTTATTTATCTTTAAACTTTAACATTTAATAGCCAAGAAAATAATATCAATGTTAGCTAGCTTTTAACTTTAAACTTTTTGATTTTTTTTTAGTTTTTCTGGCCAGTCCCACACAGTCATTGGCCACTATTTTCATATTGCCATAGGTTCCTTTTAGGTTTAATCACGCAAGTTGCAACAACAACAGAATCAAGAAGTCTTGCCAAAACTTAACGCGGTTTTTGTTCAGTCTAAGTCTAGGTTAATCAAGGGTCAGTGGTTCAAGAACATGAACCTACAACCCCCAGAATGCATTCCAAATGTGCCTTACCAAATGGGTGACGAGAGGTTTCTCAACTAGCCCCTTCGTTGCCCAACAAATTTAGTTTTACTTACCCTAAGTTTAAATTAAATCCCATTTACTGTTGTGTAGTTAGACAATAAAATGCTTTTTATATTGTAGATTAGCTCATTTGGCTTTACAAAGTTATTACTTACTAATTTATCCTTACCATTTTGTATAACGGCTTGCAAATTTTGTTGTACCTACATTTAATCTAGTTTAAATTTACCATATAATTGTAAGCAATACACTAGGTCATTTTGCAAATGTATATAATAGACATTCAAATAAATCGTATTTTGTACCAATAATTGATCGACTGCCAAAATAATCAAAAAAGGAATAACATAAAATGCTTGAAAACAAAACCTATGATCATCCCTTGGGCAATCTTACACATTCATATTAGTTCTTAAAGACAAGGACTAATATGAAATAACTCGGAAATAATAAAGATTCATAATAAAGTCGAACTTTAATGAGAATAATAAGTAAATCAGATTCGTTTAAGGACAACAAAATTACAACAAATTTAGGACAAAGATGATAATCACAGAGGAACTTCCTTAATACCTCTGTCAGGTACGGCAATAAATAATAAAATACTTCATAGATTCATAAGCAAAAATATTTGTAAGCAAAAACAAATAGGTGCCATTCTCACGAGGACACATTTCCCTGTTCCAAAACTGACTGCCAATCGATTCCTTTGAAAAAATCATGGGAATGCAATTGCTCGTAGTCCAAGCGATGCTCCGGAGTTAATTGAAGCAGCTGTTCCAAAAGATCCTTAGCATGATCGGAGATATCCAAGGATTCGCCGGGATACTGAACACAACCATAGAGTTCCAGCTGCCCTGGATGAGTAACTTTGTAAGGCTAGAACAAATAAAATGTACCGGGATTTCTCTATCAATGATCTTCCACTTACCACTCCTAGCAAAAGCTGATAAAGCACAACGCCATAGCTCCACCAATCCGAGCGGAAGGTCAGCGGTCTCTCTGGGGCCACAAAGTGATTGGCCAAAGCGTCTAAGCTTAGGGCCTTGTGCACGTAGTTGTCATCTGAACTTAGACCTTCATTCTGGTAGAAATAAGTCAAAAGCAATTGACCTTTGGCACCAAGCAATATATTGGCCATGTGCAGATCTCGCAAGATCACACCCTTGCCGTGGAGACTGTGTATGGCAATGGCAAGCTCGCAGGCCCACTGACGCAAACACTGCTCTGGAATGGGTTTGTTTCGGATGCGATTTACATCTGCCTTTTGTTTTTTGGGCGTTACGACACCGGCTTGCAGGTTACTTAGTGTATTTGTCACAGACTTCAACAGCTGCTGAGAGCTGCGAACCAAATCACTGACCTCACTGTCCGCGGTAAGAGGCGTCTCCTCTTCTTCCTTATCCTTCTGCTCCTGATCCGAAGGAAACAGCTCCCCGTAATTAAAACTTTTGCTGCCCGTGGGCGAGTAGCTTTGCAAATAATCGTATAGCCTGCCGCCCTCCGCTTGACGCAACAGCAGGAAGATCTTTTGTTCTGACTGGAAATAGGCCAGCAGCTGAACCATATAAGGCACTTGTTGGGGCAGAAAGATGCTCTGAGTGAGTGAGTGACTGGCCGGTTTCTCGATGCCTTTCATAATGGCAGCTGGCTGCTGGGATGTGGTAACACACTGCACTTGCATCACTCGCTCTTGAAGCACCTGCAGCACCTTGTAGCGGGCCAACTGGTTCCAGGGGCACTCCAAGTTGGCCACACTTCCGCCGTCTGTCAAGTCCAATGAGAGTTGGAACTGTAGCTTCTTCGTCGGGCAATTGTTAGCTAAAAAATTGGCATGTATCTCTTCGGCTCGGGCCAAATACTTGGCTATCTTGGCCTTGGCTATAAATCTACGCTCTTCGTTGGCATCCTGTTTGGCTCCATTAAGTAATAGGTCCACTCCATGCTTGTACCGCTCATGGGCTTCCGCGTACTCCAGATTGACCTCTGCTTGCACGGCATGGCTGAACTCAAGAGCAGCCTCGTAGATGTAGTCGCTGTCATCGCTTTCTATGGAGGCCATGGGTGTTAGAAGACGGAGATAATCCCGCTTGGAAGAAACCTCATCCGGCTTGGATTCCTGTTTCGTTTCCATTTCAATTTTAGATTCGTTGGCATGGAAATCATCATTCTTGCTTTGCTCCTTATCGCATCGCGCATCTAGAGGCGTAATGCCTCCTGCATCGTTAGGGTCATAGGGCAAATCGAGTTTATCGCAAATGTCGGCTATGGCACCAGCTCCCGTTACTTTTTCTCCACCTGCATTGCAGCTACTTTCCGCCGTTTGCAGCCGAAGGGATCGCTCCACATACAGCTTTTTGAGCGGGGATCCATTGGGCGATGGCGTCTCTTGGAAAAACTGAGTGAAGGTTGAGCACTTGTACAATGCCGGATGTTGAGCGGCAAAATCCAGTAGCTGCAGGATGTACTCCTTGCGCCGCTGGATAACTGCTACATCGAATCGCTTGAAATAAGAGCTATCCGTCGGCACGGGCAATTTTCCGGGCAGCTGGAGACTCTTGTGCCGCCGACTCAGCTCTCGATGTAGCCGCTTCACGTCGTGAAATCGCTTCCAGACAACCAGGCAGGTCAAAGCCTGGGGCACAGACCTCGGGAAGACCTAAAAGTTGTTAATATTAACATTTGACACAGTTTTTCTGCCCCAAAAAATCGACTCACAATCGAAGTGATTTTGTAAATCGTGTAACCGCCTTTGTGCTCCTGTGTGTCGGTGACGGTGAAGCTGTGGATCCATCCCCCTAGGCTGAGACTCATTTTGGGAGCTCCTTAGACTTTGGCGCCTTAATTGATAAACATATTTTCCATGGCGAAAAGTCGTTTTCCCAAATTTTATCGCAAACAGAGCAGTGTGACCAAAGCTTTATAGAAAACCACAGAATAAACTAAAGATTCCCAACATTTAAAAATCGTTCGTGATTTGATGTAATACTTTTTAATAAAACCAAAAAGCATGCCCATGGATTTTTTTATTTACTTATAATCTATGCTGTTTAAAAAAACAAACTAAAACGGTCACATTTTTAATTTTGAAATAGATTTCTTATCGGACATTTTTCCGATTGTCGAACGAAAGGTTTGCGCCATAACTAAGGGCGAGCTTAAATAGGTTCAAGTACGTGGGTTTGGGTAATCAATAAATTTGTATTAACTTTTCTAACTGCGTCCGCGGCTCTTGAAATCTTCTTTATTCACTTATTAAATGCCTTACAAACATTAAAATAATTCAGAAAACTACAGAATCCTTATACCTATTATCTTATCTTATTATACCAGGTTCAGAACCATCGACCGCGTCTGCGCTTCCCACGGGGTATGTCTTTTTTAGGACCTTCTCGGGCCATCGCCCATCAATTTCAGTGTTTTACCCGCCCCCCGACACGGTCACACCGCTCGAGAAGTAGAGAAAAAAAGAAGGCGACGAATCACAAGCAGCAAGCAGCAAGCAAAATCGACGCCGCACGTACCGGGAGCATTTAAATAATTTTTTCTGTGGATTAATTTAACCGAAAAGGCTTCAAACACAATGACTGAGCGCGAGAATAATGTGTACAAGGCAAAGCTGGCAGAACAGGCCGAGCGCTACGATGGTAAGTTTTCGACAAAGAATTGACCAAAAGACAAGAAAAAAAAATGGTAGAAAAACGAATAGAGGTAGGGGAAATTTTCTCGACAGAGGAGCGCCAGCGTTTTGGGGAGGGGTCGCCTGAGATTTTTTCTGATCCGTCGTCGCGTGGTCGCTGAAAAGTCTCCAGCGCCGCTTTTTCTGCGAATTTGCCAATTGAGAAGTGTGGCAAAACTTCTAGATGAGGGAAAATCATGGAAATTTTCAGTTTTTACTAGTGTAGGTGCAGCCGAAACGACGCAGCGTCGCGATGAGTAGTATTTCTTGCGAAAAGACGAATGACGGGAGGAGAAGAAACTCAAAGAGGAGCAAGAAGAAGAAGAAACAGAGCGTCGGAAGAACGAAGAGTAGACGAAAAGAGTATAAAACCTGATTTTTACCGGCAAATATTCGCGTGGTTTTCGCAAAAAAGAGAAAGAAACGGAATTGCGTATTATAATTTACAGCAAATAGTTGGTCGGTTTTCATATATTTTTTTTAATAGTATTTGGCGGCTTAGAGGGGGAAATTTTGTGTATTTAGCGTTGCGAGCGAGGGCTGCGCGGCGGCCAGCATTTCAATTTCTTCCTTGGTTGCTAAGGGCTGTTTGTAGTTGTTTTTAGGTCTTTTTTCTTCAGTAGTTGTCAAGGCGTAACTTTCTAGAAACGACATAGTTTTTCGGTTTACTAAATATATTTATTCCACACCCAAAATCAATGATTCTTTGGGAGGGGTTCCCTTTTTGCCCCCTCTTTTTTTTTTTTTCGTAAAATGTGCTTTTCGTGCGCAGCAGCGGCGTTTTCGTCATCATGCCGTTGCTGCGAAAAATCGATGAATGAATCGATTGTGTCGCAGAGTTGTCGCCGGCCGACATCTTCCCTCTCGCTTTCACCCTTATTGCAGCTATTGCTTAATTCTTTATTTATGCAAATTAGTTGTGGATAGTTGCAAACGCAGTTATTCAGCCAGTTGGCAACTCTGTCTGATAGTGCAAAAAATATATAATTTTTTCTTCTGTTACTCTCGCATTACTCATGCTTTTGCGCATGTATATGAGTCCATGTGTGTGTGTCCTGGATGCGAGAGTATGCGTGTACGAATGAGTGTTCGCCGGGCGGTTTTTTTTTTTACTGTTGCCTTAGCTTTTGCTTATATATATTTAATTAAAAATACTTCAATTAATTAAAAAGGCAACTCGAAAATGCAGATAGGCTAGGAGGAAGGGGGTCGAAAAATTCGGCATTTGCAAAAAAGCGCGCGCTTGGCCAATCGCCATAAACGCTGTATGCGTTAAAACGAGATAACTAGTGTGTCTGAGTGTCGGTGACGCTTCACATACACAGTGGCTGTAAAAAGTTAAACAATTTGATGCGATTCCTTCGTCTTTGGTTGCTATACGTCGGCAACAACAATAATTGCAACAGTACTATGCTACTAATTGCCTGCAAAACTGACAACATTAACGAGCGGCGGCGGCAAAGAAGTCAATCAACTATTAGCGCACATATTCATACATACACTGGGATATTTGTGTCTGTATCACATGTTTGTCTTCTTATTTTCGTTCGTGTGTGTGTGCGGCTATACGTTTGGATGTGCTGATGTATGGAGCACTTGGCGTTGGCCTTGTCGCACTTGGACATTTTTGCGGTGGGGCTAATGCTGGAGCACTAATACCAATGCACAAAAAGAGAGCAGTGCCGCCAGCCGGCAATGTCTGCGCCCCCAATCTGAACTTGCCTCGCCCTCCGCCTCATCTATCCCCTCATCTCGTCTTCCCTTTTTCTACACACAAACGTCAGCCTTTAAGTGTGCTTTCTCAGGTGCTCCCCCGCCACCTCTCCTGCTCTTTCTCTCACTCTCTGCGTTCTATCTACATTTTTTTCGAGGTCGCGCGCTGCTTTTTCCGTTGATGTTCTTTCTCGTCAATGTCGTCAATATGCGAAAAAAAAAATAGCATACATAAAGTTGATTTATGGGTGGTAGGGAAAGGGGTTTGGGAGTGGGATGTAGGGAGCGGTAGGTGTGTTTTGTTTGTTGCTCTCTTTTTGCTTAAATTGCACCATTTAGGCACTGTTGTGGGTTTCCTTTGTCTAATTACACATTCTGCTCGTTGTAACGGTATGTGCGCATGTTTTTTCAGCTGCTGCGCCCTTATAACACACACACACAGGCGCAAGACACACCCACAGGCGTGTGATAAGGGAGGGGGTTGGAACATGAGGGATGAAGGAGCTGGCGCAAGGTGGTGAATGGGAGGCAACTCCTGCCCCTTTGGGTCCCTCTTTCGACTTAATCTTTTATTCCAGCTCGCACGACTTTTTTGAGTCTGTGCATTCTCGAGTTTTTGGGTGGTGCGTCGGTAGGTGGTGGTGGTGGGTGCCCTTTTCGACACCTGTCAGGGTTGTCATACATTTAAATAATTTGAGATTTTCCGAACACAATTTCAAAAACTTGCTTTTGATTTGTTTAGGAAGTAGTAGTAGTTAGTGTAGAACTAACCTAAAAATTCAATATTTCAATCATCTTACTAAAGTTTATTAATAAATTAAAATGAAATCAAATGAAAAGGAAAAAAATTTATTTTATTGATATTTAATTTCTACAGCCTCTACAATCTATTCTAAAAACTATAAAAGAAATTGACACTACGGATTAAATTAATGTTTTTAATTTTTTCCCTATTAAAGCAATAAAAGCAGTTTAACAAACTGTGTCTCCGTCGTCTATGTTTTTGTTTTAAAAGCCTCAGTAACAGTAACATTTTCCTGTAACTGAAAGCTATTTCCTTGCATTTCAGTTAAAATTGTCCACATTCCAATATCTGTTGATCGTGATTATAGACGTTTCGATATATGGTACTGTTCTTCAGCTCCTCAAACGATTTATCATGCCCGCGGGACATGGTATTTATTTTTGGGACGCATTTATTGATTTTCGCCTTTGTATATGTATAATATTTAGTGACTGGTCTGACGCGCATGTCTCATAATTGGTAGTGGATTACTACTAAGCAACATGTGCTGTATACTTTTAAAGATGGGAGGATCCACCAACCCCACTGTCCACCTCCCCCTGTATCTTGTTACGTTCTTTTTTTATGCGTGACGTTGCCTTGTCGTCAGTGTTGCAAAATGCGTGTGCATTGGCAATCGCGACTCATTACATTTGTTTTCCTTCAAACAATCCACGCCAATGCAAACAACAATTTTTGAAGTTCAACCGAAACCACAGAAATTCGTGAATCATGCAACTTTATTGGCAATTTTTCACAAATACGTGCTGCAACAAAAACAACAATTAGGCAGTCGGCAAATGTCCCGCTGTGGCTGTGTGTGAGGGTGCATGAGTGGGAAATACGTCAGCAGCTGACTGGTTAGCGGGTGCGAGAGAGAGGGCACAAGGTTTCAGTCAGCAAAGGAAACAAAAAGCAAATAAAGCTACAATTACAATATTTTTTTTATATATTGTTATCAACCGAGCTAGTTAACTAACCTGCATTTGACTTGTACCACACAGCTCAAATTTTCTTAATGGGATATTTTCACTTTGTAATATAATTTACAAATTTATTAAAACTACATCCAAAAATGTAAGAATTTAGCACTAGAATTTGAAATCGTTTTTTGGTTCTACCAAATATGTTATGTTCTTGCATCAAAAGGAAATGAATAATGTTAGATATATCAGCATTTAGCCTACGCACTTCTCTCTTTGATATATAAGCTACTTTTGTTCTGTGTGTGGAAGTCCGAGCATGTGATTCATGACGCAGTTTTTAGGATGGTGATGCAGAATGAGATAGAGATGGGTCCCTATGATACCGATAAGGCGGTGCAACAATGTGGCGGAAGCCGTTATCACCGGCTGATTGCCTGAGTTCTATGTATTGGTATGACAGAATCGGTTAAATCGGGCGTAGACGCAACACCAAGTTATGCATAAATATATATGTGCATGACTTATATATCATTATGGATTGGGCGTGTCGCTGATAAGGCGAAAAAGGTAGACTAGACACAGGGGAAAGCAAGGACAAAGGTAAATCCAAGATACCATTACTTTTTAGACCTTGAATATTCTTATCTATTTATTGCGTTTTATCGAACCTTATTTTGGAAACTACTAAATTTATCTAGCTGTTTTATTTTCATATCCAAATTTATTAGAAAGAAAATCATATTTGCATATTGAAAAACAATCATAACTCAACAATAATTTCTTAATGAATCACAATTTCAACATATTGATAAATGGAAATGATAACTTTATTTATTACTAAGTAAACAGAAAATAGGTTTTCCGCCTCTATTAAACTGAATCATATACAATATCATATGTTATATGATTGAATATGCTATAAGGTTTATATAGAACAGTGAGTCATGCGATTGGCAATTTAAAATTAATAAATAATTCCCGGAGTTTAAGTAGAAAAAAAGTGTTTCTTTCTAACACAATTGTTTTTTCTTGCAGAAATGGTTGAGGCCATGAAGAAGGTCGCCTCCATGGACGTCGAGCTGACTGTCGAGGAGCGAAACCTGCTGTCGGTTGCTTATAAGAATGTGATTGGAGCACGCCGTGCCTCATGGCGCATCATCACCTCGATTGAACAGAAGGAGGAGAACAAGGGGGCCGAGGAGAAGCTGGAGATGATCAAAACCTACCGGGGTCAGGTGGAGAAGGAGCTGCGCGACATCTGCTCGGATATACTGAACGTGCTCGAGAAGCATCTCATTCCATGCGCCACATCCGGCGAAAGTAAAGTATTCTACTATAAGATGAAGGGCGACTACCATCGCTACCTGGCCGAGTTCGCTACCGGTTCAGATCGCAAGGATGCGGCGGAGAACTCGCTGATTGCCTACAAGGCTGCCAGCGATATTGCCATGAACGATCTGCCACCAACACACCCCATCCGCTTGGGCTTGGCATTGAACTTCTCGGTGAGATTTAAGAAATGTCTTTCCTTTTGGAGATCATTACTAATCTATTTGTTATATTAAATCGTTTTAGGTGTTCTACTATGAGATTCTCAACTCGCCGGACCGCGCTTGCCGATTGGCGAAAGCCGCTTTCGATGATGCCATTGCTGAGTTGGATACGCTGAGTGAAGAGAGCTACAAAGACTCGACACTCATCATGCAGCTTCTGCGGGACAACCTCACATTATGGACGTCCGATATGCAGGCAGAAGGTAAGCTATAAAATCATACCCATTTGTTCGCCTCCGTTATTAAGTTCTAAATATTATACTAAGAAGTAGACCCCAACGCAGGTGATGGCGAGCCCAAAGCAGAAATCATCCAGGATGTTGAGGATCAGGATGTGTCGTAATTTAAGTAAACCCCCGCCCTTCCATTTAAAACACATTATATACCTTCTAAAGTAAATATAATACCATATAATATATATGCATACAACAACAACAAAAACAACACGACAGCAAACATCAACAACAAGAACAACTCGGAACCAAAACGGCAACAACAGCATCCGCAAGCAACGAACGGCAACCAACAATAGCATCAGACGAGTATAAACGTAGCAGCAGCAGCATCAGTAACATCAACAACAACCAAACCAACAAGCAACAATATGTCATCAACAATAAACAACATGGAAAACAACTGCACAAAAACAGAACAAACAAAACCAAACAAAATGTTTGAAAATTGGGCGGCCTGGTGGGCGTGGCATGGCGGCGTGGCTGTTGCTGCGGCAATAAATCGCAACATAAAGAATTCGCGGCACTATTATTTAGTCGTCGTTTTGCGATGTGTGGCTCCTCCACGTTAGAAAACTGCAACACATCAACAACAACAACAACTCTACTACATTTGAAATTTTTGCATTCGAGAAACCAAGCATTATATTATATTTAAATAAATATTATATTTAATTATGAGAAGCAAAAAAACAAAACAAATAAACTTCATTTAAACCACAAAAACAAACAAAAGAAATGAACGAAAGTCAAAAACATACACTTAACGAAAATTAAGAAACAATCACACGAGTAAATCACAAAAGCAAATTTCATCGAGTTGGCATGCATTAATTTTTAAACTTTAAAAACAACAACAGCAACACGTAAAATACAACTTTAATTTTAAGCCAATAATAAACGTGAGAACGAGGAAATAAAAACGAAACGAAAAAAAAACGATTTAATAAGCGCAAACGTAAAATTAAAACAAAGTCGAAAATGTAAGGAAAAAATACAGCAATTAATTTAAATTTAATACAAGAATAAAACGTAAAAGGAGTAAACGAAACGAAATGAGCAAACAGAATGAAAGATGCAAATAAAGCTAAAAACTATATTAAATGAGAAAAAGGAATGTTAGTTAAGCGAAATTCAAAACGAATTCTTAAGCTTAAATTTGTATGTATGTAAGTGTACTGTTCAAACACCGACACACGCACACACGCATACACATACTCTCACCCACTCGCACACCGACACACCCACAATACACATACGAACCGTTTGTTTTCTCTTAACGTTTCCTTGCTCTCTCTCACACTCACGATTATATCCATATTTTGGTCATTTTGCATGGTCAAATTAAATTTATATAAAAAGAATTGAACGGGAATTTCGTTGATTTCTGTTTTGCTTTTCGGTTTGTGTTCTCCATCGCAATCGCAACAATTTTTCTCATCATCTCTTACCTTGCGCAACAAAGAAAACATATTAATAATATAGAAAAGTATTTGTAGTTGCTAAATACAAGAAACAAAAAAAAAAAAAAAAAAACAACGGTACATATATATATTGTATACATATATACTTGTATATTTTCTATGCCTACCACTTATGTAATTTGTAGAGATTTTGAAATTTTCGCCCCCAAAAACCAAACTCCAAATCCGATCCCAATTTCTCCAAAATCCCCACAGCATTTAAAAACAGGAACCCGATTCCCTGGACAGATACTGAAAACCGCAATACAGACGATAATATCATTTGATTTAGCTAAAATGGACTAAAAAGAAATCCCCTACAAGAACAAACATCAGCCGGCAGCATTATCTCAGTAGCGTGTTTGCGTGATTAGCGAAAAAAAAATAGAATGACATGATGATGAGCCGCTACAAGAGAATTTTCGCACGAGCTTTTTCACAAGTCTTCTTTTTGGGTTTTTATTTGATAAATGAGGCGCGCAAAAAAGAAGGCAGACTAATATTTTGCAGTCTCTAAAAAGAAAAGGCCCGTGCAGAAAGGTAATTAACCATAAATCAGCCGCAGCAGCAACAACAACCGCAACATTCTTGAACGGAAAAACAACAGCAATACAAGAAACCAGCAGCTAAAACTGACATTCGTATTCATTTCAAATAAAAATCATTAAAAAAAACAACAATTGGGCATCACAATTTTTTATTAATTGAGTTTCGGACTCGTGTGTTTATGGGCTTGTGAAATGGGCAGAGCCAATCAGCGATTGATATAGAACATAGAAGAGCGGAAGTTTTGCTTTATCGGCAGAGTTAAAACTCATCAATAAATAGTTAAATGTTCTGTTAGAGGTTTTCTATTGCTAAATTGAAAAAGTGTCAAGATACAAAAGGTCATCTATCTTTTGAACAGAGATTTATTTAATGAAATCTTTTCATCATATTCACCATATATGTATAATCTTTACACATAATTTAAACGTTTTTTCTGTAATCAAGAATAATATCTTATTCGTTCACACGATAGCATCTACCGAGTATTAATTAGAGCACAGTAACTATAACAGATAATAACTTTTTCTACTTAGTATTGTTGCTTTACAAGGACGAAGCTCAGAAAGCGCACTATTGATGCTCGAACACAATATATGCCAAACTAAATCGCCAGTTTCAGTTAAGCACAAAAAGCCAGCCGGCAGAAAAGACAACTACAACGCTTCTGCGTCAAATCAGAAGTGTCCACTTAAGCTCAATGTCATTTCTGGCCAGCACTTTCGCTAGGCCAGAAGCAACAAGAAAATTGGGTCTAGTGGCCATTGTTTTCCACATGCTGATGTGCACAATGGAAAAGCCGTAAATACATATACAAATGGTTAGATATCTATATTTGAAAATCAAGACAGCAACTGGAAAAGGCAAAGGTACAGAAACAGTGAAAGAGCTCAACTGCGGTTTAGTTGCAAAACGTTGCTCGAGTCTCTGAGATGGCACTGCAGTTGCAAATTGAAAAGCTTAAGGGATTGGACAACTACAAGGCCTGGTCGATGACGGTGCGGGCGTATCTGGAGTCCGAAGAGCTCTGGACAGTAGTGGAGAATGGTCCCGAGAATAATGAAGAGGTGAGTTCTGGATTCACATACGCGTACAAGGAAACTCTTCTCCATCCGGCCTAATTGTTACAGTCCCTGCTAAAGGATAAGCGAGCCAAGTTTTTGATTCTCTGCCTGATTGAGACCAAGTTGTGCCAGTTTATGGTCAGCATCCGTACAGCCAGGGATCTGTGGAACTATTTGCGAACCCAGCACTCACTGCGCTAAAATCAAATATGTACATTTATCAGTTTCAGTCCGTTGTATTAAAGATATATATATGAATTACAGTTATCATGTGTAGGGCTGCAACCCTAGGGCTCCGGAAGCTCTATAACCACGGGTTGGTCCTCGGGGTTCTCGTCCAGTAGACCCTCAAAGACCCAGCCCAGTTTTTTCTCCAGTCGCTTGGTGAGCCGCTCGGCACTGACGCTTAAACCGCCCACATGCAGATTTACCAGCAGTTCCCGTACGTCTTTGTATACGGTATTGTGCGGACTGGGTATCATTAGTTCCTCTGGCAAATGGGGCAGCTGGTGGGCCAGAACCTCGCTGTACTTCATGTACACCAATTTGTGTTTGGTCACAGCAGATTCTGAGTGAGCCAGCAAACCTAGAAGCTTACGCCAGTGGGCCAGAGACTCCACCGAGTAGCCCACTAGAAAAAAAACGTAGGCCAACTGCAGTTCTTCAATAAGCCCGTCGGCATTCTCGAAGCCTTCTAGCAGCGTGTCAACAGCTTCTATGCAATCCATTGCATGTCGGGAGACATCGGCGGGCAGTGCATCCTGAGGAACACGCTGTGGGACTTTGCTAAAGCGTGGAGCTGTTCCCTCCACGGGTTTAAGGTCCGGCAGTAGTTCACTTTCATCCAGCAGTAGGCGGGCGGCAGCATTTCGCCGGCTGATGCTGGTTGATCCCGTACTTCCGCGTGGACGCTCTGAATCTGGGCAGGATTGCAGTTCGATATTGGTGCGAATAGTTCCCTCCGTCGGACGACATCGGCCTACGCATGGTTCCGTGACACTGCCGGTGAGCTCTTTCCACTGGATTATGTATCGGTAGTCGTAGGGTGCGAGCATTCTTTCCAGTTGAGCCAGGTTCTTGCGGATTCGATCACGCTCCACATCTGGTTCGGCAATTCGGCGCGGTCGCAGTTCCTCCAGTTCATGGTCCCATTCCCGTACCAAAATCTCGTTGGGATGGAAAAAATGTACAAAGCCAACACGAGGAGCTGCATCACCGTAAGGACCACGTGATGCACACCACACGTAATGGACTCCTGGAGGAATCATCTTGACACCTCGAAAATCTGGACCAATGGTGTAGGCACAAAGATCAATGCCGAATTCCGTACCCTCCGGCACACCGGCGATAACCAGGACTCCGCCGTCGGCCAAAAGGCGAAGAGCCAGCTGGGGATCCATTTGCATGCTGGAGTTGTCCTTATTCATTTTTGATATATGCTGATTTGCAATTATTATGAAAAAACAATTGTATTTTAAGTGCGGGTATTTCAGATGGTGGCCAGATCTGGTGAGTTATCGATAGATTGCTGTACTCCCTCAAAAAGAAATAAAGCAGCACTGCTTAGCCAATTAACGATAGCTTTAGGCGCGAAATTCATTTGTCATTTAATTTAATTTCGTATTCATATTGCAATAAAACTTATTATTGCTTAAGTAAGAAACATAGCCTTTTCTAGTTTTAATTTTTATTCAGATTTCCGTTTACCTATGCTAGATTATTAGTTGGGTTTAGTATTGTAAGCTGCGCTTAGTGCCGATATCGTCAAGTATTTGGCGTAGCTCCTCGTCCTCGAAACGACCCTCCAACGAAGGAATCAATGCCTTTGCCTCCTCGGGCGCCTCCGGGCACAGGTTACCCAGGGCGGCGAGTTCGAATTTATGCAACTTTTTCTGCATCAGTAAGCTTAAAGAATATTAAGGCAATACGTATTACCAACAGAATAAGCATTCTTAGGCTGATGTACACTACCTTCGCACGGACATGATGGTCTCCTTGTTCTTAAATTTCCGAAAACTGTCGGTATAGGCGTACGTCTTCATAAATACCTCCGAGAACTCTTGCTCCTCGTCGGCGGATTCGTTCTGTCGTTTCCGATGATCGAGAAGCATATGCACCTCCGATATTAGCAGCGTTTCGGCATTTTCAAACTCTGAAAGGAAGAAGCGAACGGGGTTCATTAGCATATGGTAAGGCATTAAATCCAACAAATTTACAAGTGAAACTTTGAAGAAAAACTAAGAGTTAGCCGAAGGAAGGCGGCCTGCTTATATGGCCGTGTTCCAACAGGAAATCGTAGATTTGGCGTGTTTTATTCACATCAATCTTGATAAGACGTCGCGCATCGGCCAGCCTTAGATATCCGAGCTTGGTGTGCTCTGAAACCAGTTGATTCTTGTATTCCAGGTATGATTGTGGAACCAAACGAGCCACACTGCACAACTTTCGTTCGCCTTCGTCCAGTTTGGAGTAACCAGGAAGGTCTGAAAAACAAGAAACACTAGTTTTAGTCGTCCTCCCACAAGGATGAGAGTGCCTCCTACCTCCAATCTCAATAGGACTTGCCTTCCGGCGTGTATTCATGGTATAGAACTTTGTGTTGATTCCAAGGGGCAGCTGCTCACCATTCCTGTTACTCTCGTAATGCTGTACCAACTGCTGCCAGTCGATGTTATCCATTTGCTTCTGTCTGCTATAATCCCGCTGAGCCTTTTGACGTTCTTTGTGAAGGCGAATATACAGCTTAGCTGCTGAATTAGTGCGCACGCCTTGTTGTCGCAGATTGTAAAGCTTATTTAACCGGGTGTGCAGCTCCCGGTAATAACGCAAAGACTCCAGCAGCATGTCGAATTGAATGGGATCTGGACAGATTTGCATGAGGCCCAGAAAACGCATGCACATCGCATCACTATTGAACGCGTGTACGTACTTGGAAATCCAGCTTATTGTACGATTTGGCATTATCAGGCCGTGCTGCTGCATGATTTTATAACGACGTTGTCGCTCCCTGTTGTTTCGAATATATTAATTATTGATTTCTATTTGGTTGTTATGAACTCTTACTTTAAGCGATTGTTGTACGCACGCACCAGTCCCTGCTGCAGTTCCTCGATTAATCCGCGTTCTGATTCGCTCTCCGTCGTCTCGTGATCATCATCCCTGCCCCTGTGATCCACCATGATGGATAACAGACTCTCGGCGGAAGTGTCATACGGAGTGTCGAAATCTCCTCTTGCACACCGATAGCCTGCACTCATTTTAAACTGCATAGAGGCGATATCATCGTGTCGGGGTGGATCTAGGCTGCGCATTTTGAAGACATACGGCATTCTCTCGGGGAGGTAGCTGTGCCTAGCATGCTTCAGGTTAAGCAGTCTTTCAAAGATCCCTCCAAAGTAGCAATCGTGATAGTGACGGCGCACTTCAGAAGGCGTATGTCGCTGGTCCAGAGCCTGAGATATCGCTTCCCAGTTACCGTAGCCTTGTGTGCGTAGCGTCCTTAGGAGTATGCGCTCATCGCGGGCCGTCCAGTGTGGTTCTTCGGCAAAAACCTGGATATTGTCGCGGACTATGATATAGGCATGGTTATTGCGGTGCGAGAAGGCCTCCCGTCCCTTCGAAAAGCACTGAAGGCACAGCAGAATGTCCAGGCACTCGGAACACTTTATATAGGGCTCTGTGAGACTGCACCGACACGTGGCACATCGACTAAAGTCCGTTAAAGACACTGGTACGCTGCTATTGTCATCCCGCGCAAGTTCCTCTAGCTGCTCCAGTTGTCTGTGCAGGGCGTAGGGCTTATAAGAAACCACGGATCTCCTGGTGTTTTCATCTTGACGTGCATATGCGAACCTCTGAACCGGATCCCCTAGAGGCTTAACTGTAAAAAGGTAATTCAGTGTGGTAAACATGTGGAGGAGTGCCGCTTTCGGGACACTCAAAGCCAAATTTCTTCAGCAAGTTTCACTTGTAAGTTTTATTTTGTTAGTGGGCGGCGTTTTTTACCTTTAGGAAACTGCAGGTCGGCGGCATCCTCATCCACCATGTCCACGGGATTCATGAAAGACATACTTAATAGCTTTTACTCAACTTTTTAATGATAAATTATATTTTTACGCTAATTTAATAAAATGCCGCTGATTTTAGTGATGGAAAAACAAACCGATAGGTAGCAAAGAAGCTATCGATATTATAAATATATTTTGTTCAATAGCTATGGCCACACCACACGGCATGCACAGTTTTTTCCGGTTGTTTTGATTTAATTAAGAATTTTTCGCCTATCTTTAAATATTAAAGTAATGTCCGAGGAGTCTGATGTTGCTGCCCTGAACATCCCCGAGTACTGTAACTTCTTCAAGACCTTGTTGGTAGAGGAGCTCCAGCTGGCAAAAGATTATCGTAAGTTACACTACGGAAAGTGCGCCATTATTGGACGACTGGCGGTCAAAGAGAAACTCTTTTATCTGGAAAACGTGCGCGTTAAGGGTCTTCCGGCGTAAGTATAAGCTATACTAATAATGAAAATATTTTATTTGTTTTTTTAAATCTTTCAGAACACATTGCTTGCCCGGGGGCACCATATCCTTGCTCATTTTGGGATTCAGTTTCGACAAAGTCGCTGGCCAGCGTGTGACTACCGGTTGCTATTGCATAGTGCGCGGCGAAGCGGCTCTTTGTAATGTTCTTCGCCCCAACAGTCCTCTTCTGTCCTCCCGCGGAGTGAACGAGCAGTTATCGAATCTGTCCCACGATCCAGCAGCCCAAAAACAACTGTTGACTCAACTAAGTCTCAGCCACAAACCGGCCATAGATTTGTGGTCCATCCAGTCCATTAGCCATCCTGAAGACCTTTTGAGCCGCAGGCTGGATATCAGGGGGCATACTGTGAGATGAACACACACTACCTGACCACCTCTCGAACCAACCCGCAGTTTTACATATTTAGCCAACTCTTTGACCACAACATAGATTGGAGCCTATGCGATTGGGAGGGAATTCAGAACGTTTCCTGGCAAGAGTTTTGGCAGCGTGAAGGACACGAGCTTCTTGAGCAGAAGTGGCACAAGCGATTTCCTGAATACAAAGACCTCATCGAAGTGGTCACCGAAGAGGAGAAATCTTTTTGGCAGGAGTTGTGGGAGGAGCACGCCAGCGAATCCAGTGTTAAGTTTTGGCACATTTTCAGATGTGCTTTTGAGAACTACCAGATCGAATTGACCAAAGCAATAGGCCATAACTTTAATGAAAACCAAGAACCTGTTGAGCAGGACTTACAAAACTTGAGCCTTAACAATAAGCCAAAGAAGTCGAAACAACCAAAACCAAAAGAATACGAGGAAGAAGAGTCCTATCTGACTGCCAACGACGATCCCGAAAATTACGATGAGGAGCAGCAATTGCTTCTCTTAGGATTGCCCACATCTTTTTCGTCTAAGGGAAATATCAGGACTCGAAAGCAAAAAAAGCCTCTGATCGAATCTTTTAGTAGCGACAGCGAGGAGAGTGAGTATAGTGAGGATCTGTTAATCATGGAAAACAACGAAAATTCTGTCCTCCATGGCGTTAAAAACGGTTCCATCAAAAAGAGCAAACGCCGGCAAAGGCAAGCCAACAAACTCAAGGGCACAGATGCCCGAGTTTATGAGGGAGGAGAACAGCCAGATGGTCAAGTATTGGTTAAGGCGTTTCTCATTGTTCTCCCGCTTTGACCAAGGCATCCGGCTGGACCGCGAGAGCTGGTTCTCGGTAACGCCCGAGAAGATTGCCAAACAAACGGCCCGACGCTTAGCCTGTGATCTGATCGTAGATGCTTTTTGTGGATGCGGTGGCAATGCCATCCAATTCGCCAATACCTGTGGCCGTGTAATTGCCGTTGACATTGATGCAGAGAAGCTAGCTATGGCGCAGCATAACGCCCATATTTATGGCGTGGCCCACAAAATCGAGTTTATTCAGGCCGACTTTCTGCAGTTTGCGGCAAGCACTAGAATTCGTCCGAATGTAGTATTCCTTAGCCCACCTTGGGGTGGACCAAACTACCAGAAGCAGGCCACATTCGATATAGAGAAAAGTCTGTTGCCCGTGGGCGCCAGTCAACTGATGCAAGTTTCTCGCCGTCTGGCGACTGACGTTTCATTCTTTCTGCCACGCAATGCAAATATGAGGCAGGTAGTTGCCTTGAGTGGAGCGGGTCAGCAATGCGAAGTGGAACACAACTATCTGGATACGCGAATGGTGGCATTAACTGCCTATTATGGTAGTGGGATAATTAAGGGGCCGTCGGATGAAAAGGTATAGGATTTCTTTTTGTTTATAAAGAATTTTAGTTAAAGTAACTTACACCTTTTATAGTTAAGTAATTTGTATATTAATTATAACTCAGGATTTTAAGTAATGAGAAAAAGATATGGAAAATTTAATTCATTTGTCCTACTTTGACAAGTAGAAAACCGAATAAAGTTTTTAAATAAATTTTATAGGAAAAGTGTAAAAAACCAACCTTTTAGTTAAACCACAAAAATGTTTAAAAAAAACGTTTGTTTAAATTATTTCTGTTTGAACCGAAAAATTTAAGTAAACAGAAGTCGAAAATCCCTCTAATTAAGCATCAAAGAAACATGATGTCGCTTTTGCAAACCTTTATTCCCTTAAGTTTTAGTCTCCGTTTACCTCATGACTCGGAGAGAAGTTGACTAATGAATAAAGTCGCCACACATGTAACAAATCTGCAAATTCTTTTTTACCCATGCCCATCATTCCAATCTACCGAACTGTGCAGTGATTGTTGCCAAGTGACCAGCAAAGCCAAAGAGTCCAAGCTCTTTAGCCAATTTAGACAGCTTAACAAAGCTCAACTGACCATTGGTCAATGGTCATAACCATAACGTGCCCCAATCCCTTCTTTCAACTCGCACTGGACTTTTAATTAAAAAGCAAAAGGAAACAAAGCGTGCGTCAATTTTTAAGAACTTTGTGGAACAAGTTGTGACTTTGCACAAAAGAGGGAAGATGGTTTCGAATTCTGTGAACCTGACAACGACGGTCGGGGGCAATTAACATGTTCGTGTCACAGCAGAAGCTACCGCTTCCTCCGGAATTCCATAGCAGGCAACGAGGCAGCCCTTTTCATGGCTTACAGCATACTTAGGGATTTCGGTTGGGGTGAGTATTTCTGATGAAGGGGTTGCGGTATGGGGCGGGGCATGTGCGGAATTTATAGCTGCCAACTGGCAACGGAGATATTTTCCTCCATCTTTCCCCCGATTGCGGAAAATGCTCTCCTCCACTGCAATTAGTTTGATTAACTTATTAGTGTGCGTTGGAGCCACTTGGGCGAAATTTAGAGCATACTTTTCAGCGCTGATTTGTGGGTAGCCTTGCAAATGGTGGATTCTATTGTGTTGTCTATGGGAAATATCATTATTTTTGGCACGATTAAGATGAAAGCCTCAATAGAAAGTTATCTAGTTACAGGAACAAATTTTAGATTAGATTGTATATATATCTAACAAGTTTAATATTGATTCAAAAACAAAATGTTTTGAATGATTTTTTTGGTTTATTCCTCGACAGTTATTTAAAAGTAAATTATAAATAAAATCACTTTTAAACGGAGATTGCCGCTATAATCACACCTTATGGTTTCCAAACCTTTTACAATTTGTCACTTATCGTCTTTATATTTATAAAAATGTAATATATTAAAAGAGCAATATGTATTCATTATAAATTCTGTAATATACCCATTTCTATTAAGATCGTAAAGTATGCTCTGTTGTCGGTGATTAAAAGCTGACTTTTATTGTTCCCAATTGTTATTAAAATACCGGAGAATTGCCCGTCACGCGTCAACTTCGGCATTATCAGCTACTTAAATCTAAGCTCCCCTTTCTTTTTGAGAGTCCGTACCACCGTTATCCTTTATTAGATACACGTAATAGTCGTTTTAACGCGGGGTTGACAATGCCAACAATTTCAATATCCTGACTGGGCGGCCTATAAAAGGCTGGCATCTCTACCAAAATATATAGAAATATATTTTATTGAAAAGCAAACACGTGTTCACAGCTCATCTCATCGTGCGGCAAGTGGCTGCGTTCGCCGCTCAGGCAAAAAACAAATTAAGTCACCCTTTTATTACGCTATTTAATTTCCAGCGTAATGTTGTCAACCTTCTTGACAAATGGTCACCCAAAACAACGAGGCCTCATCCTTCCACATTCACCCCTCGAAAGTCGACTGGATGACTGCCTGTTTGATCTGTAATTTGCGCCACTTGATGATGGTTTTAGCCGGGGAATCCGTACTCGAGTCCTAGAATCACTAAGCGGCGGGGTGGTTTATTTGTGCCGCAAGTTGCGACAATGCCGAAATGCGATTACGGCGTGCAGTCCATGGGAACTGTGGAAAATGCGATTGTTCGGTTCTGGGTGCAGGTGCAGATGCTTCATAGGCGCATCTAATTAAGCAGGAGGGGGTTGTTAGTAGTAATTGTCAACTGATTTATGTCCGATCCCTAGACCTGCTTTGGGTAAATATTGATTTAAAACAGAATGCTTGTGCTGAGGTCTTAGTAGGCTTAACACTGGGAATTAATGTATTTTCAGTATAAAATTTAATTACAAAATTTGTTATCAAACATATCTTCAGAAATTGTTAGAATATTATGTTTTATGTTTTATGTTATATTATGTTTTGGAATATTAAAACTTTAAAAAATAAATAATAAGATTTTTTGGATAACTATTTTTATCTATTTTATAAATTACTTTGTTTTTGTACTGAGAATATTAATATTTAACCATGGTTATTTCATATGTCCTTGATTTATTTAAATATAAGTCAATTGATCAAAAAACTTTATAAGAAATATTTTACTTTAAATTTTAAGAAATTTTTTAAATAAAACCATAACCTTTTAACATATTTTCCATCCATTTCCTTCTCTTTCTGCCTCCCTAAGATTTTTACAAAATGGTCGCATGCCACTTATTGATTAACCGTTATTCATTTGGTGGCAGCCATTAAAATTAATAAACGGTACAGGCACTCACGCCAGCCAACAACAACAGCAAAGGCAATAACAACAACCAGAAAACCAGGAGCAATTATATACACCAGCATCATAAAGATGAAGAAAAAGTGCGAGGGGAGGGAAAAGAGAAGAGAATGGGAAGCAGCACAGTTATCCGCCCACTTGCCATTGATGGGCAATAAAAAAAGTCAAGTAGAGCGCAAAACAAGAGCAATAATATTTAATAAATGTGCACAGGGCCGAGCAATATTTATATGTATATATATGTACATATATGGATGGAATTTCGCTTGTTGTTGTTGGTGGTTGAATACGAAAAAACCATAAATAAATAAACGAGCTTACGCACACAAGTACATGTAAGATTACAACGTGTTTTCCCACTGCAACACTGAAAAAACCTAAATCAAGATTAGAATTTCAGAAATTTAAAATTAAACTATTTATATTTATACTTAACTAAACATTTTACCACGTTAAATAACATACGAAAGTCGAATAACTTGTGCAATTTGTTTTCAGTGTACCCTATGCCTCTCTCTCTTTCTTTCTTCCTTCGTATAGGTAGGCAGACTCTATGTAGGTGCATGCGTTTGTGTGTGTGTGCCATGCATTTTTGGTTGAATACTTGAGAGAAGCAGAGGCAGCAACAGCAACAACAATAACGCAGAGAGAGTCGCTCACTTACAGGCAATTCACCACCCCCTCTATACCCCTCCCCCGAGACCACCACGCAACATCATTCTTCATGGCATTTCGGTGAAAAAGAATGCTTTTGATCTTCACAAGCGAATGATTTTTAATATGACCTTTTTTTGTTGTTGCTGACGGCAGGGGCTGACTTTTCAGGGGGAGCGGTGGGCGGTGGAAAATATGTTTAAGCCATGGGAAATGGGAAAGTAAAGTGCGCCGGCAGTCAATCAAAAGCAACAGCACATTTATTATACGTTTTTAATGTGTACATATACATAATGACTGTGATAATTAATTAGCTTAATTAAATACCAATGCAAGTGTAGCTCACCCACACACATACACAAGGTTGGTCAACCGCAGCGCCTAAAATTAGGCAACGTTTGAATTTGGTCAAGTTTAACCGAAGAAAGGAGGAGACAGGCAGAAACTCGCATAATGATGGTAATTTGTTGGTTTCGGCAAAAGAGCAAACGGCATCCTTGGAATTTCAATTAATTTCCATAATTTCCAACGCTTTATGAGCGAAGAAGCAAACCCCAACGGAGGGCAGAAGGAGATGGCAATTGAGACGAGCGAGCGCGAGTTTTCCCCATCGAAGGGGATGATTTTTCCTGCCCCTGGATTACCACAGTGTGTGTCTTTTGTCGGTGGGTGGTCTTCTCCGCCCATTTAGCTTCCGCTTTGTATGTAGGCCCGGGATCCCATCGCTCAACGCTAAATGCTTGAGAAAGTGTCCCGAATTCGCGAAATGGCCCAGGTGAAAAGGTCCCGAATTTGTGCGGTATTAGCTGGATGCCAATCAAAAGAATATTTGTATAAACTTCGAACTTAAAGAATTCCTTAAAATACCTATGAACTCAAGGTTTCTACTGAGATCATCTGTAAAAAATTTATTAAATTTACTGATTTTGTGGTCATATTGCCGTGCCATTAATCAAAATAAGTTAAATTATTCCATAAAAATTCAAATTGGTTTTCATTCGATCAAAACTTTTCCTCGAATTACTTAACAACATAACTAAAAATAGCATGAACAATGTATAACCTCATAGTTCTTCGGAATTCGCATTACCATGGCAGCTGGTCACGGATTTTAATTAAAATCTAACAACCCACCTCGCCCATCAACCAACAATATGCAATTAAAAACGCAGTTATTAGTGCTGCGAACATAACCAAATAAATTTCCAATTAAAACAATGACAAGCCACCGAAAAATCTGTTTAGGTTTTGCATTATTTTCTCTCCTAGCGAAATGGTATCAAAAAATTGAAATTAATTTTTGGCGGACTGAAATACGCAACTAAAGGGGCCGAAAAATATTTGTTTCGAGTGGCTCGCCATCAGCGTAGAGTGCAGAGATTTTGGCCAAAAACCAAACCAGGACCAAAAACTCATTTTGAATATGACCAAGAGCGGGTTGCATACACACTCAAGTGGCCTTAGCGCGGTAGCAAATGCAGCGGAAGAGCCACCGGAATAGCCGGATTTAATTAAAATCGCAAAATGGCTGCCCATTCACCTGATTTGCTGTTGGCCATTTGGACGTTTGTTGCCGGATTTTGAGGGCAATCGAAAAATTTCTAATTTGCCGCTCATTATAAGTTTTGATTTTGTAATTAGTTTTTCAACGGGCTTTGATTTAGCGTTTTGAGAGGACTCTAAAAATTCAATAGCATGAAAGTATCTCTCGATGCGAGGCCATAAAAAAGAGATTAACATTTTCGTTTATTTCGACCCATAAAAGGAATTCTGTGCAAAAATACATCAAAAAGAAATGGATGTGGGGAATGCGGAAAAAACGAAAATGGGGAAATAAAATTGAGGAAAAATCAACATTATAAACAACATTATTAAAAACATGCCGCAAATGTTTTGCTCCTCTCGCATTTTTGAGTCTATTTTGTTGTGAGCCAGTGGCCAAGAAAAAAGGGGCAGAACGAATGGGCAAGGAGCCGAGGGGGTTGGATGTTCAACCTCATGATGATGTTCTGCCCGGCAAATGAATGCTGCCAGTCGAGGGGTGATGGCGAGTCAAGGAAGAGGGCTAATAAAATTAAGCTCTGCCAGGAGATACAGCCAAGAAAGGGCAGGATGTGGCCAGCATAGGATTAAGTTGGTGGAGCAGCTTAGGCACTTTGTTCCTGCCAGAGAGATTGTGTTTGTGTGTGTATGTGTAAGGGGGTGTCTGTGTGTTTGTGCCACAACGTCATGCCGCTCCATAATAATAAAAATATTCTCATTAAATGAGAAAGGATAGCAGGAAGAAGCACAGAAAGTGTTCTTTATCGCTTATTTAAAAGCTGCTTAAGTAAAATAAATCTTTCAAGAATTCTGTCTGATCCGGAACATAATATTAAATATTAAATTAATGCGAATAAAAAAATAAACATTTAAATGCCTCTGTAGGTATCGGCTTATTGCATTTTCTTTAGTGCCTAATGATAAAAGAATCGCTTTTTATATTATCTTTATGAATATAAAGGAAAAATATAACTTATTTGGGATAATCTAATATAAAAACAACAAAAATTAAAATGCTTATTCGTATTAAGCATATTAAAGATAACATTTTAATAGGATATTTAACTAACATAATAACAAATTCATATAATCAATACGTTGTGTTGCCTCCCAATTCTACAGGTTAAGGGCGCACGAACAGTAGGCAAAACTATTACCCTAATGAAACCCGCGATGCAGCCCTGTGCTCGGGACTAACGGTAATTTCATTTGGCAGTTTGCCGAGCCTTTCCTTCTCCACGCGCTTCTCTCTTTTTCTACTTCCTTCCACTTTTGCCGTAATAATTCATAATGAAAAAAGTTTTCCTGCCGCTTGTTTGTGTTTTATTTATTAGATAACATTATAATGTTTGTGTGTGGGTTTTTATTTAATAAAAATAAATAAATGTTATGGCTATGGCAACCCTCTGCCCTCTCTTTTGCTCCCTCCCAATATTCCCTTCCCTTTCCATTTCTTCCTGCAAAAAAGGGACATCATCATCATTACGCCTCTCATCTTATTTTATCTCTCGTCCGCAGGGCCATAGCAAAAACAACAACGACGATGAAGTTTATCAAAAGGCCAAAAGCACAACAACAATGGCGATGGCGGCAGAGGACCCCAGCTCCAACTGCTGTCTTCTCCTCTCTTTGTTCCGATTTAAGAGCATGCGCAGAACTCGCTAGTGCATCACAATGTATGTGAGTGTGTTTTTTTTGCTTTCGTATTGTTTTTGTTGTTTGCACCTCAAAAAATATTAAAATTGTGGTAAATAAATGAAAAATAAAATATGTTAGTATATAAAAAGTATGTATACACACGCGTTTCCTGGCAGATTAAAAGAGATTTCCTTTCGTATCCCCTCTCTCTCTCACTCTCTGCAATTCCCCCTATCTCATTCGCTCTGCTGCGGCCGCCATTGCTAAACGGCAACGCCAACGACTGCGTCGACGTCGGCGTCAGCGGCAAGTGGCTGGCCAATTCTTGTGGGTACATTAGCACTAATGATGATTGAAACGACAAACGTGACGCCGAAGCACCCGAAAGGATCCTCTCCATTCCGCCCTCTTTCCCTCTCCCCTTTTTGGTTGCAAATTCCTGGCTTTGATTTTTGAATTTGTCTCTCTTTGGTTTTTTGAAAGAGGAGGGAATAGGTGGACATGTTCAGGAGAAATGAACATAGAGAGAAAAAGGCAAAAATTTAATTCTTTGATCTCTTCTTAATTACTTAACAAAGTAAATTCCCTAACACATTTCCCACATAATAGTACAAAACAAATTACTTAAAAACTAGATTAATAAATTTAAGTCAGGATGGTTTATTGGTTTAATTTACATTTTAAAATAGATAATGCTAAAAGGTATGAAACAAGAAAGAATCAAATATAAAAAACATCTGATTCAATTAATTAAAAAATATTGAAAAAAAAAATTTTATTAAAAAACAAATTTAAATCCTTTATTAAATCTATAATACTTTTTCATGTGCACACTCGCCATCAACCATTTACTTTTTTTTAGGATTTTCGTTTTTTTGCTTGCTTTACGTTCTCTTGCATTGATTTACTTTGATGGGCCGCTAATTGGGGCCTCCTTCGTCTTTCCGTTTCCGGCAATTCCGCTGGCTCGTAATGATCGTTGGCATTCCGTGTAGTTTATCAAACGGTAAATTGAAGACCCATTTGGTGGAAAATGGGTTGGAGCAAAGGGGTGGCTAATTGGGGGGATGTTGCGAACGGAGATAGTTCGAATACAACTTAGTTGGCCGATTTCGGAAAAGAAAAAATATTTTAGTGCTGCAACTTTTTTCAAATATGTTTTATCATTAACAATCTGCAACTTTAAAAATAAGATATACTTGCATGGGGACTATTAATCTCTCAAAAAAGTAAGTTAAAAATGGTTTTTTATTTATATAAACCTTTAATATGGTTAGGAGTCATAAAGCCTAACCAATTTTAATATTTTATTAATATCTTCTTTATATTTTCACCTGCACGATTTGTTTTTACCATACCTCTTCGTCCTGCACAATTGTGGATATTCACTTACTTATTCACAATATGATTTCATCGCTTATTGCTTCATTAATTATGTCTGACCCCACATCCACGTCCATCACAGTGACATCTCCGCTTATTCACAAAATATTATTTATCCAGCGTCGCCATATTGTTTCGCATTTATTTTCGGGCTATTTATGGTACCGCCCATTTGCCATTTGAGCAAGGGAGACGGAGCAAGTGAGCCAATTATCCATTTATATCATAATTTCAATAACTTTTCATACACTCGCCCACGAAATGGGGGTGTGGGTATGGTTGCTCTGATAGGTGGGTGGTTCGGGTGGTGGGTGCTTGGTTTGGTGGGTGATTCCTTTTTATGTAACTGCCTGGTGGTTGCTCCAGAATAATGATGATGATGATGATGGGGCTTCGGTTGACGATGTTGTTATGCCTCTGCCACGACTCCTCTTTCTTCTTCTCTTTCTTTTCCTGTGACTCTGATCTAAGTTGAGCAGGGTTGCCAAATGTTGTAAATAGTTACCTTAAATTTGCAATAAACAATTATAGGCACAAACTAAAAAAATTTCTTAAAACAATATTTTTGTTCTCAGCTTAGCTAAAATCAATATATAATCACTTTTATGATTTCATACGGGCTAAAATGAAAATGTAATTAAAATAAGTACGATTCGAAATATTGTTTTTAATATCAGTTAAAATATAATAATATTTTTAATAATAAATTTTAAAACAAACCATATTTTTATTTCTTATTATTATTATTTTTAAGTGTACAATCGTAATAGCTTTGACAACCCTAGTTGAGAGCAAAAAACGCAGAAGTAAAAGCGGCTAGAAAAATCACAACGGCAACTCTCGCACACCCACAAAAAGAATCACTCACTCGCACTCACACACACACACTCACAGTCACCCCATAGCAGCGCTGCAAGCTTCGCTGCCAGCGTCGGCTGCCAATATTGTAAAAATTTTACGGCTACGAACTTTTCAATTCAGTTCAGTTTGCAACACGTTTGCGTTCGCATGCGTTTCCGGTTGTAAAAGTTTTCTTTCGATTTTTACTTCGATCTCCAGTGCGATTTCCGTTAGAGCTGACCGTAAAGCGCAGAACTGTAGGCAATACTATTTGAAGTGCCGTCGGAAAAACTGATTTTACGGATTCTAAATACATTTTGTGAAAATAAAAGTGGAAATTGTAACTACCGTAAATTATTGGATTACCGTTTGAATGGATTGAAGTGGAAATTGAATTAAATGCAGCTGTAATTCAATTGTTTGAAAAAAGGTGTGTAAATGATAAAAAAAATACCTTCTTTTCCGACGGATTTTTAATACAAGATGTATTGATAAAAAAATTGTAATCTTGAATATTTTAATGTTGTTCTTTACAGAACGCATTGAATATTATATGTCAAGTGTATTATTAGAATATATTAGATGTTGATGTTATTAGATGAATATTAGATGTTACTTGCAGGAAATGTCAATGTTCTATTTTAAGTTGTTTATTTCGTTATTAGGTTCCAACTTAAAATTATTATACTCAGAAAAATAGAAATATATAAATTTTTAAAACATTAGGTGTTTAATATTTTACTAAATGAAATTATTTTCTCAATCTTTGATTTATAATTTTCCCCCGTTATACTATATCACTATATAATACCAAAAGCATTTTATATTTGAAATGTGTTTTTTTTTTTCGGACCATATTCTTCTATTTTCATTTTTAAGTTTTAAACAACTTTTGTTTTTGGAATAATAATAAATTATAATGAAGTACCACAAACAAACTAACTAAGTTAGGTGAATCAGAAGAAGCTTCTCTCCGGGATCAGGACTACACAAGTAATGCAGCTAGTTTGTGTCCCTAGAAATTCCTCCTCGGAATGTGTGCGAAATCCACTTGTTACACCCAATTTGCATTCGCCTAATGAAGCTCATTTTGCTGGCACACGACGTTGGCTTCAGCTGTTTAGTTAAATCCGCTTAAATGCATCTTGAGACATTCACATATTTGGCCAGAAGAACAAACAATGGCAGTCATCTGAGTTGATGGCTGGGACTTGGGATGGTTCACGCACCTGGGAGAGCAACTACAACGGCCACAATGAGGCAGCAAACTGTGACAAAGTCTCAATTAGGCTATCACATTGCCACAAACCGATTCAGGTTCAACTGGAGAATGCGTGCGAGCGAGGGGACATGCAATTAAGCAAATGAATGCACTGGTGAGACTGTGAATTGCTACACTGAACAAAAATGTGATCTATTAAAACATTTAATAACATATTTTGAAAGAATTGCTGTGTAACTACATATATAAAACGAGGACCGCTATGACCAACACATTGTTTTAGCAAAAATGAATCTTGTTGATCTAAAAACTAAGAAATTTCGTTAAACTAGTTCAAATATGTTTCTTAATGTGACATGTGACATTAAAAACTATTAATTTATGTTAAAATTGGTTTCGAATACTCAATTTCTTCATTACTTTTTTACTCAAATTTAATTTTGCGAAAGTTTTATCACAGAATCATATTTAGTTTTTTGTTTTAATAGTAGTTTATAAAATATTTAAAATCCGATATTTTCTTAAAGTTTATTTAAATGTGGATGATTTTCTCTGCTGACTGTATGGAAAACCTCCTAGGGAGGGGAAAGCCTTAACCAGTTGTTGTTCCATTGTCCCATGGCAGACCATTGCTGACCAAGCACTTCATGGTAGAGCAACTTCTCTAAGCAGGGATCAAATTTCAGTTAATTGTGGATTTAATCAGAGAGTCGTTGACACCTGGCTGCCTGACTGAAATACAACAACAATTCAGCAACAATTAATTTGAGGCATTTCTCCCATTTTCAGAGACCGAATCAAAGAGACCAAAGGCAGACGACAACAACTTGGAGACAGTGGGAAATACCTAAGCATGCTGCAGAATCCTTCCAAATATCACGCAAATCCCTTGTCGCACTTCCTGGCATTGCATAACACACAAGCCAGTGGCGGAGGCGGCGGCCTGGGCTCAGGGGTCGGCGGATTGGGAGGCTTGGGTGGGGGCATCCCTGCACATGGTCAACCGCATCATGCGGCACTGGCAGCAGCTGCTGCAGCGGCAGCCGCCGTCTCGGCGGGTCAGAGTTCATACCAAATGGAGCACCAGCAGCAACATCATCATCTGCAGCAGCAGCAACAGCATCATCAGCAGCAGCAACAGCAGCTCCATTCCCACCACCAGGATGGCCACCACCCACACCCACCGACAACAGGAAGTAGCAACAACAGCACCACCAGCAACAACAACAATAGTAACAGCAGCAACAACAGCCATAGTAGCAACAGCAACCACCGGGAACATTTGGCCACTGCGACGTCGCACGCGCAGCTCATCGAGGCGGCAGCGGCGCATTCCTCCCTCGACGTGGGCAAGTCCTTTACCATCGCCGCCATTTTGGGCCTGCAAAGCCAGCGCAAGGACTACAACAATGCCATCAATCTCTCCCTGCACGACAACAACAACATTGCCGAAGACAACAACAAGTGCTACCTGAGCAACAACAGTGGTAGCAACAACAACAACAGCCAGAGTGTAAACAACTTTAATTGTGATAGTGGTGCCGGCAATGGACGTTACCTGCACGGTGGACATCCGCATCCACATCCTCACCAGACGGGATTTGCGGCAGTTGCTGCCGCTGTGGGAGCAGCTCCCTCTGCACTGCAGAGCCTACAGCAGCTCCATCAGCAACACCACGCCCAACAGCAGGCCACATTGAGCTTTCAGCGGGAAAAACTGAAGTCAGGTAAGAAACTCTTTACTTTGAGCTTAAAAGATGGTGCCCAAAAAACAATTTTTTGCCTGTGATTCTAAACAATTCAGATTTTGAAACATTTGTATAGTAGGTCAAGTAGTAAATCTAAATTTCAAATTGGTTTTCAATCAAGTCAGCCTTGATTTTATTGATGTCAAAAGTATTAATGTGCCTTAGGAAAAAGATAGTTCAGTCCCAAAGACCGCGGGGTAAAGACTTGTTTCAGTCTTCAAAAAAAAAGAAAAAAAAAAATAAATAAAATGCTAATATTAATATCAAAATTTTAAATTGTCTTAGAATCAAGACAGCTGTGCGAATATGTCATATGGTTTGATTTGGCATAAAAGTGAGTTCACTTCTAAAGCCCGCGGGATAGAAACTAGGCTTAGTCCCAAAAAACCGAATAAAAGCTCAAAAATGCTTAAAATAGTGAACAAAAATTAAAAATGAAATGAAACCTTACTATTGAATGACTGATGACAGTATTTCAATTTATGCAATTATTAGGCAAGCAAGGAGTGTTACCAAAACCGCGGGCTTCTGAAAAAATAACTTTATTATGATTGCAAGAATAGGAGCAGTGCATGTATTTCAAATGGTAGTTGATATTTAAAAACCAAAATTACTAGTTTCAAAGTTTGTATTAAGGTTTATTTTGTGTTCATTATTTCGCAGACTCTCACAAGAAAAGTGCTCTGAAAAATAAGCGCGTTCGGACAATCTTTACGCCGGAGCAATTAGAATGTCTGGAGGCGGAGTTTGAGCGTCAACAATACATGGTTGGACCAGAGCGGCTCTACCTGGCGCACACACTTAAGCTGACAGAGGCGCAGGTGAAGGTTTGGTTTCAGAACAGAAGGATCAAGTGGCGGAAGCATCATCTGGAACTCACACAACAGCGACTGGCCTTGATTCGACAGACTCAACTGCCAGGTACGTCGATCTTAGGAAATCAGGTGTCAGTTGCTGCTGCCAATGCGACACATTCTTCGTCCACTGATATCACAACCGGATGCAGTGCAGCTTCGCCTAGCTTGCAAGATGAGGACAATGAGGATAGTAAGCACTCTCTGTCGCTGTCCGGTGTCATGCCGCCGCTGAGTCGTGCTCAATCTGAGTCGGATCTTTCCATATGCAATGACTCCCTGGACGGCGATAGTCTCATGGATGGCAGCGAAGAGGCCTAAATACCATAAAGCAAGTTTCCTGTAAATATAGTCCAAATAAATATGTAAAATATTGGTTTTCTTTAAAGTTTTGTCTTTTATCATTGCTGTGTAAATCAATATTTTGTAAGCCACGCCTAATGTATTACAGTTGAAATGGTTTACGAATTAAAAGTAACTTTTTAAACGTATTATGTGACATAAAAACGTATTGATAATATCGATAAGGCCATATGTAGCTGTTAACGGGAGGTAAGATGATGTGTATCTGGAGTTATAAACTTTTTACGTTGAGATTAGGAGTTGGTGCCTCAAATTATAAATATTTTTTGGTTGTGATTCTTAGCAAACAGATATAGAACCTGTTAAAGTAGGCCAAATAGAACAATACAATCTTAATTTGAAATTGGATAGAATCAAATTAGCCTTGATTGTATATTAATGTCATAAGTATTGATGAGTCTCTGGAAAATTTAGTTCAGTTCTGAAAAGCAAAAAACTAAAAAAATTAGAAACGGCGAATATTAAGATATGAATATATGAATAAAAGTTAGTTCACTTCTGAAGCCTGCGGGATAGGAACTAGGCTTAGTCCAAAAGAACCAAATAAAAATACAAAAATGAGCGAAAAGATTTTTATTGGCATATATTTGGTATTTATAAATCAAAATCATCAAGGTTTTTATTAAGTTTAATTTTGTATTCATAACATCGCAGATTCTCACAAGAAAAGTGCCCTAAAGAATAAGTGCGTTCGGACAATCTTAGTGCCGGAGCAATCCCAGTATCTGAAAGCAGAGTTCAAGCGGCAACTCTGGTCGGACAAGAGCGATTGCTTCCCCTAGCCTGCAGGAAGAAGACAACGATGACAGCTGCACGCAATCTGAGTCGGGTCTTTCTATCTGCAACGACTTCCTGGACGGCGATAGTTTCATGGATGGCAGCGGAGAGGCATAAATGCTATGCAAGATTCAAGGCAATGCAAGATTCCTGTATATGTAGCCAAATAAATACGTACAATATGGTTTTTGCGTCTTTTATACAAGCCTAGCTAGATAATCGTTAATAATAATTATACATATAATTCTCACTTTATACTTTGATCAGTTATCACACATTATATTTATTGATCACCAGCCGCCTTGGCGATACGATCATGGCATGATAGGTGCACTATCTCTCCGTTTGGGTAGCGCACAAAGGCAGACTGACTGGGAAAGCGCTTCTTGCATTCTGCACAAACGCTGAACTCGTTTATCTCGAAGCTAATGTTCCGTTGCTTCTCTAACTCAGCATCTAAGCGGTTAGACTCCGCCTCTAGGAGGCCGCACATCATCTGCAATTGATGCTTTTTGGCCATTTTCGCACGTATCGATTTATCTAGATATTTTTCCAACTTGGGCATAGGCAGGTCATCAGGAAGGTACTGCAGAACAAAGTTAACATTCAGCATTTACAAGTATGCATAAATTCTAAGTTACGATTACCTGAAAGATTTCGAACGGATCGATTTTAGTGGCGTGGGTGTTTAGTATTTCCAGGGCCACATCCACATTCACTTGAACGAAATCTGGATGCAAAGAAACGCCTTCGTAGGGCGGCTCAGTTGGTGGGATCAATATGCACTTTATAAGTGTGTGGAATACATTCTCATCATCCTTGTAATTTGCTTCCGCATACGAAACTGCCTTGGCCACATCGCCCAAAACATTAATATAGATCGACAGCACTTTATCGTGCTTCTTGAGCCGCCCCAGAATAAGGGCTCGCTCCTCCAGCAGCATATTGGTGGGGAATTCTTCTAGTACACGATCTGGCGAATAATCATTGGACTCGTCCAGCATCTTGTACATCTTAGCCCGCATCGGAATCAAATCGGGGACTTCCTCTCTAGAAAGCAATAGATTAAAATGTTGGACCCGAAGGAAAAACTATACTCACCCTTTTTCCTGCTGGGCAAGAAGACGCTGTACCTGTTCGCGATACTGTTTGAGGAGCACATTGTGCAGCAGAGTGTTTTTGTCTTTCCACTCAGTTATCATATGCTCTAAATAGGGAATGACCAGTGCTTTGTGCTTACTGATCAGAAAGTCCAGAACTTTAGCGCGTGGCAGAGACTCCACCTCGATAAGTGTGTCTGTAAATATGGTCAGACCTTCTTCGGGATAATCTTTCAAGACCCAATCAGCGAACTCAAATATAAGCGGAAGATGATCTCCGCCCAGCTCCTGCAGATAGCGTATTGTTCGCTTGCAGCCCTGGAGCACCGACCCTTCGATACTCGCCTGCTCGCGGAGCAAGTTAAGGGCATTTTTATGCTTGCCCTTCATTTGATAGAGAATGATTAGTTCTGAAATCTTATTGTGTTTCTTCAGCGTCTTCTCCGATTCCTCCAGGTGGCACTGGTTAAGCCGGAGGAGCGGGGCCACCAGAGAATCGTTCGTCTGCAAATAGCACTTCAGCAACGTCGTATCTATAATCTCCAGCAGGGACTTTGAACTATTCTTGGTGTCGCGCAGCTTGACCACCTCTCGCTGACGGGCTAAAGCTAGGTACTCAATCAATGCTAAATATGCGTTCTCCAAGTCGCTATCTTCCAGCGGTGGGGCACTGGAAGTAGGCACAGCGATGTCATCGCTTCCAGCCTTAGGCTCAGGGACCAAGTTAGGAAACAGTCTTATTACATCATAGGGGTCTATGGCTGCTTTTTCAAACTCTTTCATGGCCGCCGAGAATTCCTTGTTGGTGAAGAGTTCCTTGGCGTAGAGCATGTGTATCTGGCGAATAGTTTGTACTCGCTCTGCTTCTGGCTCATCGGAAATTTCCTGAAATAAATGGTTATATGAATCTGCCTGTGAATATTCCTATTTACGGCTCACCGTCAGTTCTATGGCTAGTTGGAATCTTTTTTGCTGCAACAACTGCTGGCGCTGAATTGGGATTTCCACCATACGGATACACCAGAGCTCCGAGGTGGCAGCAGCAAAGATTGTTCCCTTGTCGGCATGAACCAGGAATTTTGTCTTCTGCAGTTCAGGAATTGTCTGAACTAGGGTGTCTTTACCTACCAGGCTACGCACCTCGATAGCATTGTTGACCCGACCAACGGCATATGGCTCATCCCAGACTGTAATTAAACTGATTAGATGTGGGCACTGTAGAAATTAATAGATTCTTACCTAAATCAAGCAAGGGAGTTGACCACAACAGAGGAGTGAAGGAACTCTTACTCTCCATGCCACCCGTTCTCATATCTGTGGAGGTATTTTTGCCATCAGGCTCCTTGTACTGACTGGGATCTACTACCACAAGGTAGCTGTCCTTGGAAATGCCCAGCAAGTTGTTTCGGATAAGGCAGATGCAGGGATCTCTGCTGATAGTGGAAGAGGTAAGAAAAAGATCGTGCTTCTTTGGTGTTTTTCCGGATATCTAAAAAAATATATGTAATCAAACGTCTTAGAAATCTAGGTAACCATTTTAAGAGTGCAGATCTTACATCGTAAACCACATATTCATCTTTGTAGCCCACACAAACAGCATGACCCACCCAACACAATGTCCGAGGCACATCGCTAAGGTCAATGCTCAGTTCAAGGGAATTCAACTTGTCCTCCTTCCAGAAGAAGAATACCAAACGCCGGCGGATGGCGCAGCACACTCGAATGAAGGTGGCCACACGTCCTGTGGTGGATTTTGGAGTGTCTACGTCCATAGTGAACAGAGTGCAGCCTTTTGTGTCCTGGGCACTGTGCATGAATGCAAAGTTACTCTCAATCCTTCGGATGTCGCACACTTGAATCTGGTTGTCGGTGAGAACAAAAAGCAGGTTCTCAGACGCAATCACCTCCATTTGGGTTATCGGTTTCCGGCTAAAGTTCTTATTAAACATCCGCATATCCACTCCGGTCTCTTCGTCAACGGAGTACATGATAAGCTGTCCGCTGCGGGTGCCCAAGATGACATGGTTGCCTAGAACAATGCACCCGGTGAGTAAGTCTTAAAAACTCCCGATTTGCACTCACCATAAGCCGCTATCGATTCAATCTGAACTCCCTGCTTAAGGATCGAGTGAACACTGTAGGCCTGATGCATCCTGGCCAAATAACCGGAACTGGAATTCCGGTAAACAAAGGTTTATTTTTCTAAAAAGCTCATAAGAAAAACAGCTGGGAGTACCACTAACGATAGTATCGATATATTTAACCATTAGTAGTTCGATGTTTTAATAAGAGTTAACCAAAAGTATAAATGCATTTTTTATTTTTTATAATAACAAAAAATTTATTGTTAAAAATAAGTTGTAAGTTAGATGTAAGAAAACGTACAACCAAAATTTAAAAATAACCGATTTTCATAGATTTTGTTTCAATAGTGCTACCAGACTTTTAACAGTTACCGATGAGTCCAGTTCGATATACTATTTCCACGCGGAACCACCCACCTCTAGTCCTTTTCACTTTAGCGAGGCGAAATTGTCACATTTACATTTGACAAAATTGTAAGTTTGGAACACCTCATTCGAAAACATTAGTGCCAAATATGCTCGTTATATTGCTATCCGCATAGTGCAGTTGATAACTAACGGTTTTATATTGTTCCCGCATCAGCGTCGACGACACCCCCGCAGACAGCAACAACAACAGTAACAGCACAGCAACAACAACAGCAAACAGCCAAGATGCCCAAGAATAAAGGAAAAGGTGGCAAGAACCGTCGTCGTGGTAAGAACGAGAACGAGTTCGAAAAGCGTGAACTGATCTTCAAGGAGGACCAGCAGGAGTACGCGCAGGTGACCAAGATGCTGGGCAACGGTCGTCTGGAGGCAATGTGCTTCGATGGCGTCAAACGCCTGTGTCACATTCGGGGGAAACTTCGCAAGAAGGTGAGTTTTTGCTCTTTGTTTGACTCTCTTTAGAGTGTGTTTGTGTGTGTTTGGGGTGTGCTCTCTTAAGCTTGGGGCTTTCCTCTTCTACCACTCTCTTAAGCTATTTTGGCATTGATTTACCAGCGAATGCTACGTATTTACATTATTGTCATTGCAATGTTTATAGTAATTGTGCGATTTTGGGTGATTTCGAAAGTTCCCAAACTCATTCGCAAATCATTAACTTTGCTATACCCCTCTTTGTTTTTTTTTCTTTGGTCCATTCTATTGACTGGGTGTCATCGTCCTTGTGCGAAACAAAGACGCTAGGCGGGGTAGCAGAGGCAACTGATTAATAATATACAAGTGCATGTGTACAGATGTAGTTGAAAGCAAAACATTAGCTTGGCAAATACAAGGTGCCTCGGTATTTTATTTCTTTCAATGATTGTTTTTTTTTTACTAAGTGAGCTTAGTTAAAGAAAGTAATGCAGTATTTATTGCAAAAAGATTAAAATGATTTAATTTATTTTGTTTATTGCTGTAAATAAAAATAAATAAACTCAATTTAGTTTGCAATATGAGTCAATTATTTTTATTTTCAAAAATTTAACCAAATACTGGAATAAGGTATCAAGGTATATTGTCAATGGCTTAATGAAAAACCATTCATAACCATGTTTAAGATCTTCTGCGAAAATAGTAGATTTTATGTATACTACTTTGCATTTTAAAAGTCACGTCAGTTACCTGAAAACTTCTGCAAAGAGTTCTGCGAATTTGTTATTTTTAAAACTGGAGGTTTACAAAAGTAGGTCTGCAATTGCAGTTTTCTCTTATCATCTACCTGAGTTACCCTTGGTCGTGGTCGTGGTTGTCCATAAACCGATTAAATCAATTCCTCTGAAAGGTATGAGCACATGTCAAATTTTGGATGGTGCTTCACCCCGCCGGAGACGGGCGTCATAAATAAGATTCCAAATCGACTACGTCAAGATCCATAGCGTAACTGGTGACGTCTTGAGACTCTAATAGGTGTCAACAATCTACAAGACTGTAAATGGAGTCCAATCGAAGCGAACAAATCAAACAGGGAGTTATAAACAAAATGTCGCAAGCAAAAAAAAAAAAATTCCCAGACAGTGAAAAACATGTCACAGGTTGATTGCTAGATATAGTCATTGCAAATGCAAATTGAAGTTCATCGAAATCGAAGTTCCATTTGGAAAAGCAAATAAAAAGATAGGGATCTATTTTTGCACCTGGAATTCCATCGAGTTTGAACAATAGATCTATAACTTGTTTTATCTTTATACGTGCAATAAATAAATTCACAATTTAATAGATTATTTGACATAGATTGCGAAATCAAATCACCTGGATTATTGGTTATTTCGATTAAACTTATAGTTTGCAATAATTAAATTATATAACTGCCTTACCTTTTCCATTTGTAATTTAATTGATTTGATTTCTCATGAAATTTCTAATGAACTAGGTGAAAGAATTTTTAAGTATTAAAACACGTGCTGCGCCATAAAATTAACCTCATATAACATCCTGACTTGGCAATTATTTGCTGGTCGCATTTGGTCAACGGGTTGGGGGGCATTTATCTAATCTACTGCTGAAAGTCATGTCCAAGACATTGAACGACCAGGAATTTATGTATATTTCAAAGGCAAGTGCGGCGTAGTTTGGTACTTTTAAATTTGTGTATTGATCTCCATAAATGGATTTCTAATCGCACATGATCACATAATGGATCGTTATGTAATACTCGGCTTTTAAGTAGGGGATGCACTCATGTGCATGTGGCTCAATTAACATTAATTTCGCTCCTAATCTTTCAAGTAGTTTTCCTAAGGAATTTATTGGTACTGGTTAATTTATGTGGTTAGCTCTTAGTCTCGTTATGGAGATAAATCAACAAACTTTTCCAGGCTAGTTGGGTTCTTATGTACCTATGTATATATATGATATACGATATATAATATATGTATAACTGTATTATAACTAAAATGTACCTTTAACCAAATGTAAATAAAAATGACTCAAAAAGTGGAAACCCAGTAGATTAAATATTTATCCTCTAAACTATCTAAAAAATATAGTTAATTTATTAAATTCCTTATCTTAACTTTGGAAAATGCCTTATAATTGATTTGATCATACCATAAAATTTGAATACATTATGGTGGCTTCTGCAACCACACTTTCTGAGTTATCTATCCAATTGAATAATTGATAATTAATAATTCCTGGAAATGAGGAATTACAGCTTTTCAGCTCCCCCAATTACTCAGTTCTCGAGGGCTCAAAGTGCAACAGTTGGACTGGACTCAAGGTTCAACGAGCTATAGCTCTCAGATGTCTAGAATCTAGAATCAATTTTCGTGGCCGTAAACGGTGCTATATTTTTTTTGCACAGTCTGTCCTCAAATGTCAGTCAATCATCCGGTAGTCAGCTGATGGCCCCAATTAACCGGTCTCCACGGGCTCCCTGCTAATCTAGTCGCAGATCCTAATCTGACAGTCGTAACATGCTCTCAATTCACCATTTTTTTTGGCCAGACGCTGCATGGTAGCATGACTAATGCGTGGAAAGGCGCCAGGTTAATTGTGCTTTTGCCCCGCCAAAACTCTACCTGCTCCTCGCCCAGTAACAGACGTGGAATATATCGCGATTTTCTTATCTGGCCGAGGGCCTCAGCTTATTTCACAATTACTTTCGACCACGCCAAAAAGGCAAGAACTTCTGTACCTACGCACTTTTCTAATAAAAATCTGCGCAATTTGATTTAATCTTAAAGATCGGTCTGGAGATCTATTTTGGTTCTTATTTGTTGAGCTATTTTGGTCAAAAGCAAGAAGATAATAGTTACTTCTCCCTTGTGATTTAATAATAAATCTATGGAAAAATAGGTCACATATATTCTATTTTTATCCCCATTTGTTTATTTAGATTATCTAAAAATAAAAAGACAGTTGATGATCTTTGTTTTAGTTAAATATTCACAATTTTATTCATGGGGCTTAAACTAGGTCTTAAATTATTACAATCAGGGCAGTATATAATTCTATATTTGTTCACCTTATTTATCTACTGAGATTATATAGAGAATCTACATTTTTCTTTGGTTTTTCGATTTTGTTTTATGCTTTTTTTTTTTATATATATTATATATTTAATTTTTCGATATCTTCACATTCGAGCGCTAATTTGTGGGAGGATCTTCACAGTCCTATCTTTCCGATGGTCATCTTACATGATCTGGGTGGCCGAGCTGATGACTTGATTAATCCAATCCGTAAAGGCGGAGACACGGACAAAGACCGAGGGGGCGTTTTTCTGCCCGCAGGGCATCTTTCCCCAGGAAACAATGCCGATGACAATGTTGGCCTGTTCGAAATGTTCCTCGCAGCACTGTTGGATCAGCGGTCCACCGGAGTCAGCAGTGCAAATGCTAACGCCTCCTGTCAGCGGACCAGTGCACAGATTTGTCTCGTGCAGCTGAAGACCGGAACGGGCGAGGATCTGCTCGCATAGCTCCATGTCCAAAATGGGCATGTTGGCCTCTTGAAGGCGATGCGGATAGTTGGGAACAGCAGTCATCGATACATTGCCCCAGCCGTACAGGGTTCCGTAGCCCTCTGGTTGAGCATCCTGCTCCGGCAGAGTTGCTGGCTGGACATAGGAGTCAAAGACCAGCGGTGTCTTGGTGTAGATCAGAGCAATGTCGTAGGGATTCACTCCGCCAAGGTAGAGCTCGTGTCGCACATAATAGTCGATGTGGCGCATTTGAATGTTGGTCGCTTCTCCTTTCTGATCGTGGATGTCGTGGCTGCCCGCCACTATGACCGAGTTTTCCACTGCCTGGGGTGAGCTCAGGCAGTGGGCTGCCGTCAGGATCCAGTGCTCGTTGATGACGGTGCCGGCACAATAGTGTACCAATCCTTGGTCAGGCGTCATCATTTGAATGCTGACCACGTACGGCGCCGAATGAGGAGTTGCCTCCCGTTTGGCCAGGAACTTCTTGCTCCAGTGCGTTTGTCGCGGTGCTTCCAGAGTGCTAATCCTGTTCTCCAGCAGCCCGAAGGCCGCCAAATTCATGGCCATTGTGTGGGCTGCTCCAGTGGAGCTGCCACTGCCGCATTTGCGGACGGTGGGTAGCTGCATGGAGCCGGAGGATGCCGAGCTTAGAACCACCATAATACTGGCTATGGTGGACAGCAGCACCGAGTAGATGCATCGGTAGGATAAAAGCATGATGTCCTCGCTCTGGTTGCACGCGCCGCACGAATTCGTCGAGTAGTAGTAAGTAATTTTGACGGTGTTTTTGGGTCTTGGTTGTAAGGGGCGCGACTCGTTTGTGGATATTCGGGTCGCGACTGTTTTAGCTTTTCGCCCTTGTTCTGGCGTATCGATAGCACTTCACTTGTATTCCGTTTCGCTTTCTCATGGAATTCACTTTATTCGGCCCGATTTTGCCGTGTTTTTTAATGTTCAGGTGTCTCTTGTTTGCTGCCGATTTTAGATTTGCCCGACGACGGCGAGTGGGGGCTGTATTTATAGGGAGAGGCACTCTGGAGAGAGTCGCCCCTTACCAAATTGTGGTTGGTGGCTCCTTATCGCTAAGAAAGCGAGAGCGGGTTGCCTGCCCCCCATATATGGTTTCCTATCAGTGACGAGTCGAGATAGTAGAAATTTTGGCGAGTGCCAATCGCTTGTCTAAGTTTCTGGGATTGGGTATGCCTTGTTCAGGAATGCCCTACATTGAGAAGATTCCTCTCTAATCGGTCCTAATCTACACTAGTTTCTTTTATATGTAACACAAGTGTATACACTTGGCTCATGATAAGAAGAGCGTGGGAAGAGAATTACTAGGAGATCATTTGGTTTAGTGTTTAGTGCAAGGAAACTCCATAAAAGTTTATTTTGGGTATATATTATTTAGTTTAATGTTTTTCAGTGTATTAATGTTTATGACACATAGAATTATACCGAATAAGTGGTTAAACCCGTGATTAAGTTTATAGAATTTTTAAACTGAAAACTCATTATGAATTGAATCGATTGGAGTGTGTAAATAATATAGCTAGCTGTTCTTTTTTATTATTTTATCCTTTTACATAAGTCGATCTATGGAGTGATAAGCCTTCTTTTTAGTCAATCGACGCAAACCGGTGTAAACTGCCCGAAAGATAACTTGAAGTTCAATGATGTCTATGGCTATATATAGTATATCAAGACCTGCTGCCTCGAATGCCAAACCTCTGACGGATCACACATACTCGTTAACTTACTCATTGGCACACTGCCGTGCAATCGGTCGAGGAATCGGGTGCTTCCCAAGCTAGCTTCTCTCTTGGATAGGGAATGGGAATGAGAGAATGCTTATCGGCTGGCTATCGTAATAGGGCAATTTCGATTCAATTTAGTCACGATTCTTTACATTTGGCATGATCTATCGTGTTGGGTTTCCGCGACGTGGTATACTTTTCGGAATAGATAGCAGGATGGAAGTGCCAAGCGACGCCATCTATTTCGATTTAAAGGATGATAAATACTCCAAAGTTCGCTGAGGGCCCAAAAACGTTGTTTATTTTCAGCGCATACGTAATGTGGGAATTATTCTGCCGTAGCTCGAATTTCGTTTAATTAATTTTAAAGCCAACCCCCGGTATCGTTGCTTATCGATCTTTACGTGGTCAACGGATTCTATATATGTGTCATCTATGCATGGCATTGGAATTTATATATATTGCACCCACTCGTACGTAGTGCCACTGACAGGAAGTAGCTGTAGCTTTGGGAAATGAATTTATGAATGGGCTTTGAATCACTCGACGAGTGCAACTTGTCCTAGGTCATTGACTTTGCCAAGTTGAGTAAGATACTGTAAAGGGGGTTTTCTCATTGGTAACTTAGTTTACTGCATTTTTTACGCTTCCTACATCTCCAATCTTCCCTTGACGTCATAATCAGGGGATATCTCAATCTGTTGTCAGGCCTCCTGCGTTTTTCGCATCTGATTAGGTAAATGTTTGCTCAAGAGGCTTGTTATTTATATTGCGGAAAGACTTTCTTATCACAACAGTACCGAAATTCGGTTAACTCGTGATTGGCATTGAGATATCCCAAAGTGTCTTATCTCTCCAGTAGCAAAATTCTCCGTCTTTCGTGGAAATAGCCAGTGGCATTTCATTCAGGTTGCCAATTTATCTCCTTTTTGTAAATCTGTACTCGTTTAAGGAGGGTCTTGTGGTTCGCCTGCCTTTTTAATCTGGGACTACCCATGTTTAATGATTTATTTCAAGTACTGATTGTTATCCACGAGAAGTTAATTACTTCACAGCTCACGTGAGCTTATGCTCCCTTTCCTTGCGAAATTGTTTCAAGAGAGACCATCGTCTCTACCTTACAAATAATTTCATATAAAAAAGAACTTTCTTGTGTTTGCCACACTTTTTCCAAGGTCAACAGGCATGGCGATTCGTTGCGCTCATTTGTGAAATTCCCGGAATGGAGTCGCTCTGCGCCATAGATCATTTATCTTTTATCTATTACACGGAATACAAGCTGCAAAAATTGAATTTGCTTTTCCCCCAACGAATTACTCATAACACAAAGAGGCCTTTCCCAAAAAGTGTTGATAACAATATTTATTTACGTATTTTCCCTTGCAGGTGTGGATTAACCAGGGCGATATCATTTTGGTGGGATTGCGTGATTACCAGGACTCGAAGGCGGATGTGATCTTGAAATACACTCCGGATGAGGCCAGAAATTTGAAGACGTACGGAGAGTTCCCCGAATCGGTGCGCATCAACGAGACGGTCACATTCGTGGAGGATGGCTTTGATGAGGACATCGAGTTCGGCGATGAGATCAGTTCGGAGGACGATGCTGACTCCGTGGACAATATCTGATTAACAAGAAACAAAGTGACGCCGGGAGGGACGACAACGGCGGGAGCGTCTGGAACGTCCGCCTCGGCAGCACAAGCAGCAGCAGAGTCAGTTCGAGAATAGTAGGGAATTTAACCAATTGTAAAAAGCAGAAAGCAAGTAGCCGCGAGTCCTGACTACCGTGTCGAGATCCAAGCAAACCATCCAATATCCAACATCCACAGAGCGGCGCAGCGTCATCAAAATAGCAAAGATACAAACAACGGAAACCAAAACTATAGTATCAGTTCATTTTTTAGCCACCTTTAATGTTCAATATTCTCTTAAATTTTGTTAAATTTGAAATTCAAGTGGGTTGCAAAATTCAAATGGTTTGGTTTATAGCCACCTTAAACAACAAATTTTGAAAGAAAACGATTAGTAAGAACTGTTACACTGTGCATCTTTGCTAAACATAAACTTATTTTATTTGAATTAAAAAGTAAAGAAAAAAACAAAGAAAAACATGGATATTAGTTATTATTTACCCAACAAATCAATCAATCTATATGAAAAAGCAACAAAGAAAATATACAAAATTTTAATGAAATCTAAAACTCATAAATATAAAATAGGAGTTTAGCGAACACTAATGTTTAAGGCAAAAGGGAAGATTATAGTAATGAACAATAGACAGCGAGAAGAGGTTAGAGTTTCGATTGTAGCTAGAGAGTAAGCAAAATCAAATCCATGAGTTTTCGCCAGAAATATCTGTGCTCCATCCCCAAGTGTTCCTTCTCAGCATTTCGTCTCATTTCTTGTTTTCTTTATTATATACCTTTGTTATAAATCTTGATGATTTTTCATCGCAGTATCATATTCCAAACCCCCCTTTTGTTTTTTGCTGTCCATGCATTCAGTTTTCTCTTTTTAGTTGTAATCTAATTCGAACCAAAACGAAAGATGTGTAAAAAGTAAAGAAAATATTGATTTTTGTAATGAGTTGAACTCCAATAAATGGCGTTGATTAACCCGAATGCAAAACAGCAAATATTCTAAGGTGTTCTTCTTCTTGATATAGTTAAAATTCATGCTACAATTTATTATTAAATGCAGAAACTCGTACATTTCAAATGGATATAAACCCAACAAATTTGGCATCGTTTACAGTTCCTCGTGGCGCGATGGGAACTTCTTGAGTATTGCATGGTAAAGATTGTAGAAAGCGTACACTGAAACCGTGATAATCACTAGCAGGGCTCCTCCAAAGGCGATGCTTAGAAAGTTGCCGTCAATAATGCCCGCAGATCGGTGGCGCTTGGTGGAGAATATCTCCTCCGTTGTTGCCGGGTTGTTCTGTTGCTGAGATGTCCTCTCGGCCATCAGCCGCTTCATGGTGCTCAGCCGCTCCCTCAAAACTTCTACAGATTCTGAGTCCAAATCAGATGTTCCTAAGGGTTTTCAATTTATCAATTAAAGTTGATATAATAAACCTTATTTCCTGTACCTGTCGATTGGGAGGCGGAAGCACTGGGATAAGACATTTTTAAACTTTTCTTTATCAACTATTTGTGCAAAAACTGCAGCTTGAGTTGGTTAAACAGAGTTATCTCGGTTGATTTGGGGTGGGTTTGTTACCTTTCAGCGTTTAAAAAGCGCAGGCGCCTAACGGGAAGTACATGGAGTTGCCAGAAATATGCGTTGCCAACTACTTTTAGTCGACGCATAAACAAATACTGCCAACTTTCTTGTAAATTTATTTGAATTACGCGGGAAATGTGGATTTTTTAGTACAAAATAACAGTCGAATGCATTTGGTATGAAAGGCATTTCACTATCTGGTAACACTTTGTCAACACGTGAAACGCGGTTTTGAATTAACTTATGTGTTTTAAATGCTGAAATGGGTTTAACTAAACAATATTTGGCCTACCGGGCTATAGACAGCTTTAATATCATTAACTCCGGCCGCGCTAATGTAAACTTTGCTATTGTGGATAAAACGGAGGGCCGATATGTGGCTGCTCCGGCAGCTGAGAATGTGATCGTTTGGGATTTACGGTGAGTTTTCGTAGTTTTCCAACAGTTATCCAAACTTATAATTAATATATTACTACCGACAGAATGGGCGATCGTAAACTGACACTACGTCGTGAGAAGTTTGAGGTCACCTGTCTACGGGTCTCCCCTGATCACCTCCACATTGCTGTGGGATATGCGGATGGCATGGTCCAGATCTTCGATATTAGCTCGGAAAGATACTATGACCCCATCTGCACGCTAGCCCTCCACAAGAATGCGGTGAGCATTCTGCGATATGATCTGCAAGGCATGCGACTAGTCAGTGGAGGTCTGGACACCGAACTAGTTGTAATCGATGTGGTGGAGCAGGCGGGAAGAGCCAGATTGAGCGGCCATAATGCCGCTATCACAGATGCCCATTTTCTGCAGCGGTTGGTCGACGAAAATATCGTTGTCAGCTGCTCGAAAGACACCCAGATTAAGTTCTGGAACCTGGAAACGCAGTTTTGCTTTAAGACCATTGTCGACAACCGTACCGAGGTCTGGGCACTGGCCTTTTTTGGTGATCTGATGGTTGCTGGAGCTGGAGAGAGCGGCATGAATGTTTACCGCCTTAAAAAGCAAGATGGCACCATAACAGAGACCTTAGAGTCAGCTGTCGAAGGCCTTTCCATTGAAGACGAGGACACCATAAGTCCCATCAGAGTCAGCAACTGTGGCACCATCCAGCGGGCTGGAAAGGGTCGCACCGTTAATCTGGTGACCGATCCCAGTGAACGAGTGCTCAGCTGCCACGGCACCAATGATTTAATCGAAAACTTTTATATCTGCACGCCAGAGGAAGTGAAAAAACGTCTGTCCAAGCGGCTGAAGAAGGAGAAAAAAACCGCAGAAGAGGAAGGTTCGGACGAGACCAAGTTATCTTCGGAACAGTCACTGAGCGATGAAATCAAGCGATTGGAAAGTATTCGAGCCAAACAAAAGATCAAGTCCATTGATGTGGTCTTGGGCCAGAACCAAGAGCTGCGTGTCCTTGTCAGCTTAGCCAACAATAGCCTATCATTGTATTCCCTAGAGGCGTCTATTAAAACACGCAAGGCAGCCGATCCAAGTGTGAAACTACTCAGATCGATTACTCGTCTCGGCCATCAGTCGGAGGTGCGATCCGTGTGCTTCAGCAACGACTCTTTGGCTGTGGGATCGGGCGCTGGTGAATCTTTTAAGTTCTGGGATCGGGATGCTATGCAGTGCCTGCGAACTGTGCCAACGGATTACATCCTTTGCTCCAAGTTTGTTCCTGGCGATCACTACGTGCTTCTGGGCATGAAGAGCGGAAAACTGCTTATTGTGGATGTGGCAGCAGCTGATATTGTGGAGGAGATTCCGGCCCACGAAAGCGAGCTGTGGTCTATTGCTTTACTACCCGATCAGAAGGGGTGTATCACTGGCAGTGGCGATAATACCGTAAAAATCTGGACATTCGAACTGATAGATGCCGGAGAAGGCGCTGCACAAACCAAAGTACTGTCCCTGCTGCACAAAAACACTCTAAAGCTAGAAGAGACAGTGCTCTGCGTGAGTGTTAGTCCTGACATGAAGTATCTGGCAGTGGGCTTACTAGATGCCACCGTCAAGATATTCTTCCTGGACACATTCAAGTTCTACTTATCTCTATACGGACACAAGTTACCAGTGCTCTGTCTGGACATCTCCTACGACTCAAATCTTATTGTGACCGGATCGGCGGATCGTAACGTAAAAGTGTGGGGTCTAAATTTTGGTGACTGCCATCGCTCCATCTTTGCTCACGATGATTCGGTGATGAGTGTACAGTTTATTCCCAGGACTCACATGTTCTTTACTTGTGGCAAGGATGGCAAGGTAAAACAGTGGGACGGCGACAACTTTGAGAAGATTATTACCCTGCCCGGCCATATAGGAGAGGCGTATTGTCTGTCAGTATCTCCAAATGGTCGTTATCTGGTCACCTGCGGTTCGGATCGTACTCTTAGGTTGTACGAGCGCACAGAAGAGACTATTGTACTGAAAGACGTGCAAGAGGAGGAGCGAGAGCAAATGGAGAACGAGCAACTGGCCACTGGAGAGGATAACACAGTACCCCTTCTTCCTGGACTTAAGATGCCCTCCCGTAAGACTGTGGGCTCTGAACAATCTGCTGAATCGATTCTCGAATGCTTGGAAATATCCAAACAGTTCGAGCTCGAGGCAGAGGAGAAGCCTGAATTGCATCCTTTGATGCAGGCGCTGCAGGTAAAGAATCCGGATGACTTCCTGGTCAGTACTTTTATGCGGATACGTGCCTCTGATCTGGAGGAGGCACTGCTTCTGCTGCCGTTTTCCACTGTATGCGAAGTTCTCGAGCGCCTGCCAACTCTGCTAACTCAGCGACCTGATCAACTGGAGCTACTATGTCGCGTCACAATCTTCCTTTTCAAAGTACACATGAAGCCCATATCGGCGGCAAAGAATATGAAGCCCTTGCTGGTTAAACTTCTGTCTATGCTTAAGCGAGATGTCGGTCAGCTGCGAGATGTTTTGGGATGGAACCTGCACGGCCTTGCCCTGCTTCAAACCGAAGTGGAACAGCGCGATGGTGTCCAACTCTTCCGCGAGGCTACGCAGACTCGGAAAAAGCGCGACAAGAAGAGGAGAGAGGCCAGCAAACGGAGGCTGCAGATTCAAATGGTTTGAGTCATAAGACCCCTAGACTTAATTGTACAAATCCAATTAAACCACGTTAGTTATCCTATATTTTACTGAATTTTTATATTTCTGTAAACATACTTTAATTTGACAATGAGGAATGCATCCCAATTATTTGGTCACGTGCAATTTTCTGTATATACATATTACATAGACAAATTATGATAAAATGGATTACAGAGACAGTTCAGATAGTGAGATCGCTGTTAAACTTTTACAACAAAGAAATACCGCATCTTTTTTGAGACTTGGACTGAAAGATTTTGGTACAACACAAAACGACGAACTCGGGACAAGTTTGGTGCAGGACAATCAGGGAGCAATCAAAATGTATTTCAAACTCAACAAATGCCGGCCGTGGGGAAGTTGCCATTGCCACCGCCAGTTCCACAAGGACCTGTCGAATTTAAGTAATTTTCTTTAAACTTTTTGAAACGATTTAAAAAATTATCAACCCACCGCCACAACGCTGGAAGGCACCCGGTGGACCGTAGCTCAGTTTCTGTATAGTACACTTCTCAATGGGACCGGTTGGCTTGCAGTAGGATGAGTATCTGGCCCATGGCAGAGGCTCTTTGGGCGGCACACAGTTTGGCAAGTAGCTGAGTTTGTAAGTAGTGCACTTCTCCATGGGTCCTTCGTTGCGGCAGAAACCCTGTCGTGGCCGAACCGTTTCAGCCCGCGGGAAGCAGGTTACGTCCACCGGCATATAAGACAGCTTGTTTACCGTGCAGCGCTCCATTGCTCCGGTTGGTCGGCAGAAGGCGGTCCGCGGCATAATTGGTGCCCGTCTGACATGCGGCTTGGCCACGAAATCGTGCTTCTGAGTAGTCATTGCGTACATGGGCCCATCGAAACGCAGTCCGTTCTCCATCGGACGAATGGGTGGAGTACGCTCCGTGCAGTTCGGCTGATAGGAAAGCTAGAAAGGGGATTAGGTAAGTATTTTCTTTTAACTAATAACCTAGTTTTCTGGACCAAATATCGATTGCTATTAGATTTACCTTTTGAATGGTGCACTTCTCGAGCGGCCCAGTGGGTCGGCAAAAAGTATCTCTGGGTAGGACGGCCGCCGGTTTGGTCCTTGAAGCATCAACTGGCATGTAGCTGAGCTTGTAGACCGTGCTACCGGAACCGGAATCGTTGCCACAGAAACGCAAAGTGGTCAGCGGCATCACCGGAGCTGTGCGCGCCTCGTTACAATTGGGCATGTAGCTCAAGTTGTAAGTGGTGCAAACGTTTGAGTAGCGTGGCGGGGCACACCGAATCTTGTCGGCCCAGGGAGTGGGTTCCTTGGCCGGCAAGCAGACCGGCATGTATGACAGCTTTTGGATAGTGCAGCGCTCCATGGGCCCCGCTGGCTTGCAGTAGTGCGATCCCTGCACCATGGGCTTCCGCGGTGGATTCTGGCACACATCGATGGGCATATAGCTCAGCTTCTGGATAGTACAGCGTTCCATCGGAGCATTCGATGTGCAGATAGCCACCCTCGGTACAATGGGATCACGCTTTACGATCCCTTTGGGTACGTAGTCATGCTTCTGCGAAGTCATTGCGTAGATGGGACCCTCAAAGCGGAGCCCACTCTCCATGGGTACAATGGGTGGCGTCCGCTTCACCGGACAAGGAGGCATATAGGAAAGCTTCTGTATGGTGCACTTTTCCAACGGTGCCGTAGAAGCCCGGATCTGAGAGCTTGGCATGACGGGACGGGCCCTTATGTTGTCCCCACAATTGGCGTAGAAGGAACGCCGATAGATGGTATCGGTGTCCAGCGGCGCCGTGGATCGCATAAAGTGCGACTTCGGCAGAATTGGCAAAGTGCGGGGAGGCTGCTGATAGCAACATCCTGCATAGTCACCACAATCACATGGCGGACACGTCGATCCCGGAGGACATGGCGAAAAATCCGTGGGCGCGGGGCAGGGACAATCACCGGACATGCTTGCAGATTGGACGACAACGTCTAGAAAATCGAAACCGAATAAACCGAGACCGTTGTGGATCCAACGAAAACTGGACAATTGTCAAAGGAAATAATTTTGTTTGCTCGGAGCTGGGAGAACCGGTTGAATGGGTTTAACACATTCAAAACGACTAAAGAATAATTTTGCTCAGACACTAGACGACGAAAGGTTTCCGGTGTGTTCCATATAAGTAGAGGTGGTCGAATGAAATCAGTACTGAAACTGAATACAGATTAAATTGTAATGTCCAGGGCAACTGAGAAAATAATTTTAAAGTGACTTTTTGTGATCATCTTCATTTATTTCTGTTTACATTCTTCATTGCTAGGATATCCTGATATTTTATAAATGATAAGTCCTACAAATTGTTAGGGTAGCACTCTTCAAAGGATAGATAAGTAACTTTTCATCTTCACTTTGAACCTCCCTCAACACTTTAAAGAAATATTAATACATACATAAACAATCGGTTTGCATCATAAATTGGAATCTGTAAATGTGCCTAACTAAGCGTCTAACTAAACTCGATTTAAATAATTAAACATTAATAGAAATCACGTACATTTTAACTTATTTACAATATTTTTGACTGCTCTATTGGGCTTGGGGCTATGGTTGGCAGGCAAATACTTTAAGGATCAGCAAATCATTTCTAATACATAAATATTGAATTATTCAGTAAACAAAACAATTCCATTCGCAGGTTAAACATAAAATCAATAAATCAATCCCGTGTATAAGCGGGAAAATGGAAGGCATGCCCATTGCTGCCATAAAAACATTTTTCGATTTTCTTACAAATAAATTGTCTTAGACTATATGCTCGTTTCTTAATATTTTTTCGCACAGAATAGAATATAGTAAAAATACAATTATATATGTGTTGTGTATATGTTTCAGTTCGCTTGACGTCTTCTCACTTATCGACAATGTTTGGGTACACAATATATAGATCGTTAAAGATCGCTGGCTCTATACGGTTACAATGTGGGCAGATTGGCAGGCACCTGGTCCAGAAAATTGGCCGGAAACTGTCCCTGACGACCTGCAATCTCGCCATAAAGCCAATCCTCATTAATCCTATAAAGCACTGTGACCAATTCATTTTCCTACGGTCAGAAAAAAGTTTAGTATTCTGTAAAGATGGATGGTTAATGGGTTATTACCTGCAATGGTAAATCTCCCTCTACTTCGCCGGGGAAATGATACAAACAGAGCGCCGTGTTCGCCAGCTGTTGCGGGGGACTAGTTGAGGGTGCTGCAGCCCTAGTAGCTGGCCCAGCAGCACCACCACCAGTGGCTCCCAATGGCACCTTGATGTCCACGTAATTGATTGGAAAGATGCCCTCGCATCCGGAACGCGTGCGTCCGCGCATCCACTCCGGCGTGGGATGATCCAGCAAATATATTTTTTCGCTCTCCTACAAAAGTCCGCATTAGTACTCTAATAAAATTTGTGTTATCAAGAACTTACTCTGAAATTAAGATCGCCTTCCTCAACGCCGTCGAAATCATAGAGCGCAATGGCGTAGGGGACGACCTCCTCTTCCATGTAGCCCTGGCAACCGTTGCTGAGCGCCAGCGCATCTACTTTTCCGCTAATCACGTCCAACAGTGAAATTCCACCGTTGGGTAATGGCGGTGGCGGTCCCTTAGGCATCGGTGGCGATGGTGGAGTCTCTGATCCTTCATGTAACACTGGTATGCTATAACCTGGCGGTATGCCCCCGATAAATGGTGGTGGTTTTGGAGCCTTTGGCTTTTGTGATATCTTCGGCTTAATGATGGTGGGCATGGTAAGCGACTGGGTCGGCGGCAAAAGGCTCTTGCCGTTGCACAGCGGATTGTCCGACGAGCGTGCTTGCAACTGGTACGTTTGACGTACCGGAGCGGAGCCAAAGGTATCGACTCCCCCGTGATTAATGCTATCAACCGCTTCCCAAGGATCCAACGGACTCTGTGTGGATGGCCGCGATCGATGGTAGTCGTCTTCGAATCCGCTCTCTGGTTGCGAAACGCTGCCATTGTTGGGTGAACTGAAGTTACTATCCGAACTGAAGCTGTCCACGCTTACGCAGTCACTGTTGGACTTCTGGGTGAAGGTTGGCGACGAGGGCGGTGAATCGAAGCTGATGAGCTGCGTATCTGCCATTTGTTGACAGGCATAATGGGAGCTGTGGCTACTGCTCGATGTGGTAGTGGTGGCCGTATTCCAGGCAGCATTCCAATCCACATTGAAGGCCGCCGAGGAGGCACTGCTGGTGCTGCTATAATTTGGTGTCCCGGCATTGCCGCTGCTCAGGCCGTAGACGCGATTTTCTGCTGCGGCCTTGGTAGCAGCGGCTGATGCCGTAGACGTGGACTTCTTGCGATGGAAGATGTTCGAGATGAGTTTGCTACCGCCGGCGGCCGCCGATGCCGTCGATGAGGAGGATTTGGCCATGTTCTGCCCATTAACCAGCACCTTCGGCGGCGGCGGACGTGGCGGTGGCATCTTCTTGAAGCGATCATTCCCGTTTCCACCAAATGGATCATCGTCCCAATTAGTGGCCGGTGTGTAGCGTGCCTGTGGGAACTTCCTCGTGATGCTAGATCCTCCTATCGGCTCATCGAAAAGGCTGCCGTTATTGTTGTTGTTATTATTGTGGGTGACGTTACGCTTGTGCTGTAAATTCTGCGACTGTAATGGACCCTTCGGTGGTGGCGGGAGTTTAATGGTCAGTTTTTGAAGTCCTCCGCCGGCCGCTTGTTGTTGTTGCATGTGTTGCTGCTGGAGCTGCAGACGCAGCTGCTCTAAGCTGGCGTTCGCCCCAGCTGCGGCGCATTGGCCACGTGATCCGGGTGGCGCCGGCGCTGGTCTCGATGGAATGGTCATGCTATCTGCAATTGAAGAAGCGAAAAAAGGGATTCAATTATGTGTGTATCTTGGTGAGCAGCAACCCGCAGTCCGTCCGCTCAAATGGCGTTTTCTAATTAAACATGCAAAATCAGTTTTCTTATCGCAAATATTTGTGCCTGATAAGCGACACTCACGACGAGGTAACTTTTGTAGAGGGCTGCTCCGGGACTGTTGACTCGCACCCCACCACCAATGTGATCTGACTTTCTGTGCCACTTTTCTACTCAAAATTTCAAAAACGAAAACAAGTGCTAATTTTTTAATAGTTTTCTGAGTTCAGTGAGTTGAACAGTGAGATAAAAGTAAAAATATAGAACAGTCAGTCCGATATCTGACAGGTGTCAAGAAAAGATTGGAAAACAAGAAGCTAATTTAAACGATGGCATGTGTATAGCGGACAATGTATTTTTTACGGAACTTATTATAAAAACAAATAAACCTTTAGGTCGTGCCTTAGGTTGCCTTTCTGTACTAGTGATTTGTAATTTAAATTAGAATTGTACTTTCTAAGAATCAATGAGAGTTCTTAGAATGAACCATTTAATTGAGACTTTTCTGTTAATTTCAACCCGCAATTAATGTTTTCACTTGTTTTTAAAAGTTTTAACATAACTCAAAAAAAATATACTTATACTTTATTGCAGGGTCACCCCACCTTACCTACTTAACAAAACAATACTATTTATTCACGATGAAAGATAAGATTTTAGTTAAAGCACTTAATACAAGAGCAACTGAAGTAAAGACCTAAAGATAAAAAGCGTCGGACACAGACCGATTAAGTTTATTGATAACCAAAGTAGATTTTATAATGGGTAATATTTGGTGACTCACCAGAAGTAATTACTTGGAAAGTCTCTTTTAATAAAGCGATACAACGCGAAAACACACGCACAGACAATTTCAGCTATCAACACCTGCGAAAGTCGTCCATAATCAGAACGGGAAAACAATCAATCGGCAGATCTGAAATGCTCTTTTATTGGTTTGTATTTACGATGCAAGTGGCAAAATCAAAAAAAAATAAATAAAGATTTTGTTGTTTCTCGTTTGGGGTTTCTCGAACATTTACGTCATCTTCCCCGCCCACAAAATGCTTTTCTGCTAATTACTGCGATGTTTTTTCTATTTCTATTCGAAGCACATGATAATAAACAGTGGAAAAAAGTGATATGAATGGCAGAGAAAACGCAACAATTTCAAGTTAACGCCGGAACTAGAATATAAGTACATAGGTGGATTGTGGACTGATGCAGTTGCCCCATATGTTGAATTCTCGGTGCCCGGCACATGGTGGAACCGATCTGGAAAGCAGCTGAATGGGACGACTGCATGTGCCACAAGTGGGATAGACCATCAAACAGAAAACATTCGCAATGGCCAATGATAAGAGCAGATCCAATGTCGCCCCTCTCGCGAGAACAACGAAATGGTTTGCGTAAACAAAACAATTTTTATAAACAATTTTAAGTCGCAAAAAAATGCGAAGCAGCCAAAGGGGCGGCGGCGTTGAATGACTTGATATCATTTGATAAAAGCTCTTCATATGTACATATATTTTTCTCTGCGTTTCGGGAGATTGGATGGCAATCGAAAATTAGTGCGTCATACGGAGAATTCCCAGAAGCATTTTTTTGCGGAAAAATATGGACAAATATTATTAATAAAATAAAAGATGGGAGGAGATGGCACTGTAAACAAAAATCCGCCTCTTGGAGAGGGGTGTATTATTTTTAATGGGAAAAAGTTCTAGCATATGGCAGGAATTACAAACGTTTAATGTTTTCCCAAAACAAACAGTTCACAAATATTTGTAATTTCTTCCGGTTATTTGAAAAGTGTTTTCCGTTGGGAATAGTGGGGAACTTCCATGAATAAGCTAGCTTCAAAGAAAATTGCTGAAATACACTTATAAAAACACAAGCAATTGCAAAAAAAATATACTAAAAGATCTACAAATCACGAGCGGTGAAAGTTTAATTTTATTGATTTAAATAAATTGGAAATTTCCATACAATTTGGTTTTAATTGGTCAACTGGACGATTGGATTTTAAAATCAAAAAAACCATATGTACATATGTATATATAGACACATTCAACCAAAGTCAATGATCGATCAAAGAAACTGTACAATATGTTATTTAACGGATCGTCTGAATTTCTATATGTACAATAGAACAAAGATTTCATTTTTAGATGTGCCAACTTTCAAAACTTTCAGCTGGAGCCGTAAACAACCTATCATAACAAATAATCGTTGCATGCCAAATTCATACAAATTTCTCATGTCTTCCAGAGGAGAGACCGCCCGTGCAAATCAAATAAACACAAAAGCCAAGCGAATGAATAGCTGAATTTGTAAAAACTGTTTGCCCAGTATTGGATAACTGGCTGGCCAAACGACTGGCTGACTGACTGACTTTCTGTGAGATGGATAGACTGTGACGCTAATCGCAGATACGTTCTCACCAGAACTTGCATTTGCAATCTAATTAAAATCACCTTCAGAAGGTGATGATGGGAGAAAGAGAAAGGAAGACAGCTGACCAACCAACCACCCACTTTGTTGGGGGTTCTGAATGCCAATTTAATCATTTGCAGCCCCTTTCCTTAACCGCCACATTTCTACTATTTGCTTTGTATATGGGCATGTGCAGAAATTCAAGAGCAAGAGCAGTCTATTCCGACAGACAAATTGTATATAACACAATGGCAAACACGCTTTCCTTTTTCCATTTTCCCCGTCCGTGCCGTCAGTAAAATTGATCAAATAATATCCCGTAATCGTTTGCGGAGATAATCTAAATAATTAATTTCATCGCACGTTTATAAGGTGCTCTATATTCACATATTGACACTTATTATTAGGGTATTTAAACAAATTAAACTCACATTAACATCTAATGACGATTTCGTATATTAAATGCAAATAAACTATGCTAAAATAGGACTATTATCTAATACAAGTAAATAAGGTTGAAGTTGGCTTATGATGACGTTGGAACTGGTTTATTGTTGGTTTTATTTTGTTTGCCTTGCTTCTAAGGCTTCTAATGGACTGGTTAAATCCAATTGATTGATTCTTGAATTCTACGATTTCTAAAATGTTTGATCACAACTCTTACTTCAATCTATCGAAAACTTGAAATCAGTTAGGGCCTTCGGAAGTGTGTAATAAAGCTACCTGTATTTCTGCGGTTCAAGCTCAAGACCAGTCAATGCTAACCGGTTTTTCACAGCGACTCCCTTTAAAACTTTAGATGAGAATTAAGAGACTGAGAAAATGTTTGCTAATTGCTTGTTTCTTTGCTTTTCAGCATTTCCAGACATGCGTTTCCATGTTAACTGATTTCCAGTAAAGACAGTCACAGTTGGTCTTTTTAAGATCCGATGATTCAGTGCGTTGACAGAATGTGTGGGCAAATACGCTTTGTGATGCGGCAGGCACTTGGGTTTGGGGCAACTTTTACTTTGGTTTTAGACCATCCATCCTCAAGCTTGACCGCACGTTCCGAGCAAACTCTCACGAACAATGGAAGTCGAACGAAAGCAGAACAAAAGAAAGTGACAAATACATCGATCTCTGTATGTCTTATATGTTGGATATACGGGTACATATATATGTATGTGGGGTGTGGAGATGTGTTGCATTAAAGACGAGTGAGAGCGATATTAATAATCGAATGGAATTAAATGTGTTCGCTTGAATTGCATTTGAAAGAGCAATTACCATGCTCTGTTTTTAATAGATTGTGCTCTCTAAACAACATTTCTCTTTCCACGATCTCATTTCTTATTGGCATCGAAAACTCGGCAATTGTTGGCCACTTTGACATTTTTCGTTCACCACACCTACAAAACTGGCGTGACGACCTTGAATGATTTTATTTTTCACTGTCCAAATAAAAACTAGACCACAATCAAATCACAAAGGGCTACAAATGGTCCATTAGTCTCCGACTTGCGCCACTTGAAAGCATTAACCTCTGTGTGATTTTGCCCTGCTCTCTAGACTACACGGCAAAAATTATATAACTTTAAATCGTTTATTAAGATCGTAGAAAGTTTTTCTATTTGTCACGTTTTTATGTCACATGTACTCGTATGTCGTTAAGATCGTTTGCGGCAATAATATGATTTTATAAAGAAAACCGTTAGGGTCTATGTGTTTTATAAACTTTATGCAACTTTTGATAAGTAAATCACTTTTGACATTAAGCTGAATTCATTTTGAGTCATATTAAAATAAAAAATCCAATGATTAATGAAGTAAGAATTTAATAATTACTTTTTGAAAATGAGTGAAAATTTAAGAATTTTTTTTCAGTTGAATTGGTTTTTATTTATATTGTTTTATATCTTTAATACGTAGGTTTAAAAATTGCTCTGTCAGTAAAAGATTTAATGATTAAATAAAAACATTTCTTGATGTGTAGCATAAAAATAGCAAACGGGAGCAGCGGCGACAAAAGCTCCCGCAACAGTTGAACAACAAAACGAAGGCAACGCGCCGAAGTCAATTGAATTTAATGCCAGGCCTGACAAGTTAAATGAACTTAACTAAAAACACGCCTCAATTTTTTGAGTTGTTTTTATTTTGACATATATATGTTTTTAAGCATTTTAACCTGCTGAATATAACGTAATGTAAAGACAAAACGAGGAAGACGTGCCCACATTGTGCTCATGCAATTAAAACAAATTACGATGAGAACAAAGCCGAAATCATTCAATTTACATCAAGTGCGATAAAGAGGGGCCATGGAGATGGATGGCAACAGAACCATGCTTTGTGCGAGTCTTTGAGGTTAAGGTTTATTGAGCTCTGGGGATCTTTTAACTGGCAGTCTCGCATATAATAAGAACTCTTTATCGTTCAGAGGGTTAAAGATTAATTTGATTTTCTGTTTGGCTTCTCTAATGAGCGATTGTGGATACAGCTTGGATCTGGTGCCACAACAACCTATTCAAATATACACGCGTACACACATGGCTGGTAAATATTTAATCAGCAAATTTGGCGCTTTAAGCAAATGGCAAAAATAAAGAACAGCTTCCCAAATAAGCATACTTAACAAAAAAAAGACCAGAAACTCTAGCGAAAAATCGTACAAGGGAGACCGGAAAAAGCTGAAGCCAAAATATGGTAAAACCAAAATGCTGAAAACTGGTTTTATAAATTCAATTCAAGATTTTGCACTGTCTGCGCAAGCTTTCCTTCTTTCTGTAGAACAAAAAGGAATGGATGAAATTAAAATAGATGAAATAAAATCCAATGCACCATTCCACATTGTCAGCACGTTTCCCTGTTCGTCATTTTATTTTTCTTTCTGTCTTTCCAGCTCGTGCAGTTTATTCTAAAAGCGTATTTGCATACACACAACGAACGATTGATAGACATACTTACTACAACAATGTAGTTATGTGTTATGCCCACAAATTCTAGTCAAACAATGCGGGCTAAAAATTGCACGTTCGAATATAAAATATATGAAAGAGCTGCAGATGAAATCCATCACTGCAATGTATAGACTCTCCATGCCACTCCTCCAATCCACTCGTGCGTTTCATGGCGGGACAACACTTGCCGAATGTGGGTCAAAGTTGAATACAATCAGAGCTGAAAGCTTGCATCAGTACTTTTCGAGCGCACCTACAATTGTGTGTATCGAGTAGTAAGTGAAAAACACTTGCAGCAGCTTTTTATTATCCAACTGAAAAGCAATGTTCTTTTTAAAAGGCCCATAAAAAGGATCTTTTGTTTCAGCCAAGTCTAGCAACCCTATAGAGTTTAATTCTGTCGTAAAATGTTGAATGGCTACACTTTACAAAAAAAATCCATTAGTCACTCATTCGCTTAGACAAATCGTTTCTAATACAACTTTTTTATAAACACTTTCATTAACAAGTTAAATTTTATACTTATTTACGAAAGTTGTCAAAACTGATCAGGAACCCATATAAAAATCGAATGTTCATTGATGGACGATAATTAAAAAGCCCTAAATGCTAAGGGAAAATTTGTTTTGCCATATTTTATTTCTGCGGTTTATTAAGACTTTTTTCTTATATAAATACGATATACATTTCCTGTTTTTGACATATAGGAGATTGTTCTGTAAAGGGTTTTATCATCGAGCAGTGGCGGATGAGAGGGGGTTGCTTAGTTGCCATATGGTATATGGAATACGGGTATCATGCAAGGATCGGTCGAAAGTCAGTCAGCTGGAAAGTGAGGTAAGCGCAAATGCAACACCTGCTGCGCCTGAAAGTGACAAAACGAAAACGAAATTCCTTGGGTATTCAATTATATGTGTTTTAAAAAAAGAAGCTCAAGCCAATGCTGCACAAAAAGAAAAATCGGATAGATAAATGAATAAATATCAAAAGGTTTTCTTCCATATTAATATTATATGTATGAACTTCAAAAGTGGGAACGGGGCTTGTTCTTCATTTACCAGAGGCATGTGTTCTACATTTTGTTATCACTTTAGAACTAAAAACTACATAATATATATTAATTTTATTTTGCCTGTGTGCATTATCCAGTGTAGGCCATAAAATTTCTCCAACTCGTTCCACTCAAAAATAGGTCTCTCATCCATAAATGTCGCTGTACACCCTCTTATCGTTAAAGCTGAAGTAAACAGTCGGAACTAACGTAGCATATCGGTTTATGCAACATTTTTGTATTGTACAATAGCAGAAAAGTTTCTTCTTGCCTTACTGCTAGTCACCCAGGCAAACATTTAATTAATTAACAAATACGACCTTGACTGGAATTTCAATTAAGTAAATAGCTTTTGCAAAACTTCAATGGAAATGGATGGTGGAATGAAATAAAATAAAAGTTGTCAGGGTGATGTGGTTAAATATGAATTGCGGGTAACTAACCTTTTGACGATGTCCGATTCGTTCCGATCCGATTCGAATCAAAAGCAAAAAACCGATCCGCAAAGCTGGCTTAGTAGGCTTTTATTATTTTTCGCCTTTTTATGATGCGCCCAAAAGAGGTGGACCAAAAAGTTAAAAGTTAAAGAGAGTGACTAATGCCGCACTCACACAGTCGCAGCTAATTTGTTTTCACAAATACGCGCACACTCGCGGGCATCAACTTTGCACTCTTCTCGCCTCTCCTTCCTTCTCGCTCGCTCGCATTCAAGGTGGTTAACGAGAGGTGAGCCAACAAAAACAACAACAGCAGTGAACACACACACACACTAAATAGCTGAACAGCAGCTGCAAAAGTACTAGCACGTATCCGCAAAAACAAAAAGAAGGAAAACAGGAGAAGAAGAAGGAAGTGCGCCTTCAGCTGCGACAATTATTACCCGATTATTTTGCAGCGTGTAGTGTAAAATATGCGACTTCGTTTTGCTTAATACTTTTGTTTAATTATACGCACGCACACACATACCTATGCACTTTGCCATAACGAATTAATTCCACGACGTTCTGCTCGAATCACTTCGAATTGTGCTATTTAATAGTCACCTAAACTTGTCTGCCTAGATATGCTTCGATTTTGTTTTTAGTGGCAAAGCTATGAAATATTAGTATTTCAGTTTTTACTGCGCCGCGAACGCGTCCGTTATGTTGATTCTGCCAGAGTGACCGTGGCTTAGAGCTGGACAAATCTTAAAAGACAAACCATTAACTGTTTTTGTAGCTTGATGTGTTTTACAACACTGTTTTTCGATAATTATTTAGTCAATTTCTACTGCAGAAGAATTTTATTATTTTAATGAATAAAATATTTTGGAATTGCCGAAGCTATTCAGCAACCTTAACCACTTTTAATGTCGAATTGAATACATTGGATCTGATTGCAGAATGAGCCAGACCTTTGTGATGCGATTTCTTGATATCGATTGGAATCTGGTTCTAGTGTGGACTAACTAAAACCATTTTTGATATGACCTTTTCCGACAAATTTCCGCATAGTCTGACCACATCTAGACGCTTCAAAAATACTCCCAAATAAAACACAAGTAGACTCTGCATATCCCTTCGAAAAGAAACTACCGACATATTTTATTTCGCCTGTCCTAACGCCGCCGACAATACAAAAACGCGCGCACATCTACAAGGGCAACAACAAACGCAACTACCCTACAACTTTTAATTTTTGACCAGCTGTCGTAATAAGTAAATCGAAGCTGCGAAAATGGATGACTCACGCGAAGAAAGCCAGTTTATTGTGGACGACGTGAGCAAGACGATTAAGGAGGCCATCGAAACGACCATTGGTGGTAATGCCTATCAGCACGACAAGGTGAACAACTGGACTGGTCAGGTGGTGGAGAACTGCCTTACTGTGCTCACCAAGGAGCAGAAGCCCTACAAGTATATAGTGACTGCCATGATCATGCAGAAGAACGGGGCAGGACTGCACACCGCTAGTTCCTGTTATTGGAACAACGACACCGATGGATCTTGCACAGTGCGCTGGGAGAACAAGACCATGTACTGCATTGTTTCGGTCTTTGGACTGGCCGTTTAGAGCGGTAAACACAAGGAGGATTCGGGGCTGGAGGACTCATGTCGCGGGACATCACTCGTGACTATGATCAATAATCGCAACTAACTTATAAGGGGGAGGGATTAACAAGATTGCCGTCGTACACACACACACCCAAACAGAAACCACACGCACTTGTATCGGCCATACTGCTGCAAGGACTAAATTAATTATGAGACACCGGAAAACAATGTTATTTCCAAGCAAATACCAGCAACAATTCGTTGCCAGTGTACGCGCCCAATGTTATTCTTGATTTTCAATCTAAAAACCTAAATAAAAATGTAAAAACACTTAACGAGTCCTATAGTTTGGTTCCAAAATTCAAACTTTTAATACAATATAGTGTTTAGACGAATTCCACTGTTTCCATGGCACCTATCAGCCATGTTTTTAAATCGATTTTAATTGCCAGACATTTTTTATATTATAGCTTTCTTATATTTGTCAAATAAGGTGGAAATCCCAAACATCTGGAGGCTTTATTCTGCTAGAAAGTCCGAGTAATATTGCTTAACTTGTTTGATCAGTTAGAACAGGAAATTTGCTTTCCAGCGTTGCCTAAAATAACAAAGCAAAGTACATCTGGCTAAAATAAACTTTATTGTTTCGCCATCGGTTTTGTTTAATCGATGACGGGCGTGGTGTCCTTGAAGATAATGCTACTTCTTCCGCTGGAAGCGACGTGCTGTTTTTAGTGCTGGAACTTTGCTGGGTAGGCGCAGACTCAGGATGTCCGAGCGAGACTTAGGAAGGGCATTCACAATATGGGCGTACTTCTTGATTCGATCCTTGCTGGTGCCCAATGCGCGGGACAGTACATTAATGTCTACTTCGTACTTCTCGCTGATGAGCAGAGCCATCACAATAAAATGTGTGAGTGCCTTTTCACTACTGAAATTAGTGCGTGTACCCTTCTTGGCAACATTGGGATCCGCAAAGCGAATGCGGATGTCATTCTCGATCTTCTCTGTGATCCCAGACAGTTCCGCCTTCTGCATTTGCCGAGAACGAAGGGAAATCAGCGACTGTAGGGCATCCATATATATGATAAGTTTAATATGTAGAAAATCCTGCTTGGAGGTAACGGGCTTTTCTTGAATGCGGGTCAAAAAGGTCTTGAGGTATTCCGATTTAATGCTGCATGAAAAGGTATTTTTTAAATCTTCATGTTATCGTCTTCGTTTATCTACTTACGGAAGAGTCTTGATAGGCGTAGAGAACACCACCTTTGCCTCCTCATCCAGCCGTTCGAGCAAAGCGTTTGGAATCACATTTTCCACCTTGTAGACAGCATCTAGTTCAGTGGCGTCCTTGTTAAATGGAGGCACAATGCTGGCTAGGTAGTCCTCATTGTTGATGCTCACATCTGCCAGAGAATCGTCCTCTTCATCTACCTCCTGCACCGATGATTTCACAGTTTCATCCAGATCCTGACGCACCACCTCCACATTGACCATCATCTGTTCGCGATTGTCAACAAACCGGGAAGCTTTGCGCCCTCCAAATTCCTTGAGCAACTTCTTGCTTGCGTGCTCCCGGCTTAACGTGGGAACCTTTTGCGTTTGGCTTTCCAGTCTCTTGAAGATATGATTGGACATCAACGCCTGTTGCACTGGCACAATTTGAACTTTGTTGGTAGATTTATTCCTTAGGCAGATGTATGTGTCGTATTCCTGACTATCCTGAATGTCACCTGTGTAAACTTGCTCTCCGGCTACCACAAAAGCCCTCTTTTTGCGATCTGAAGTGCTTTCTACAGCGCTGAAGTCTCCGACGCCTAAAAGGGATCCATTCTGAAATTTCACTACGGAGGAATAGTTTATAACTATTTTAATTGAAAGACAAAAAATTCCATAGCTTACGAATTGTGGGCAGAAGCCCGTCTCTTTTGTGATTACACACTGTCTTTATTTCTGTTTTATCTTCCATTTTAAAGGCTTAATAATTAAATATTTCGTGAACGACTAAAATGATTAAAACAATTTTATTGTTGCACGTGTACCCAAAATAGAACAGATGACTGAAAGCAGACACAAACTGGGTCCCATGAGAGTTAGCAACATCTAATTGCTAACTGCTATGAAATGTGAGAACAAATCACAGTTAGCGAGAACATAAACCTCATATAGGGAACACATCAACCAAACTCCAAATATCGATATCCATCGATATTTTTACGTTATTTTTAAATGTTGATCAAAGGTAATTAAAATTTTAATATTGTTTACAAATGAATCCCGACACAGCAGATCTAACAGCTACATTTTATTGTCATTTTGTTCCATTGTTTAATACTTGAATTTATAAACAAGTTCTTTGTGCACTGCCACATATTAATCAACGGGAGGGGGAGGTGCATAAAAGTAATGAAGAATCAATCGCAATAATCGGGTAGAGAGCTGGCCTATAAATAGTCGACATTGGGGTTTCGGTGGCCTCAGACTTGACTTGTTTTTCAAGCGGAAGGGAAGCAGCAGGCTCAACTGATATGGATCGCTTTGTGATAATTGGTAGATTGTGATGTCCTCGAAATCTTTGACATTTACTAACGTCACAGTTTTAGGTTTTTTTCTACTATCAATTGGGATTGCGCACAGTTATCCCCAATTCAACAACGGAAATCAATTTGGAGAGCCATGGGAAAACCCCTGGTTCCGTCCTGAGCAACCAAGTCAGCCTCCGATAACTCAAGACGGTGGAGCAAGCTCGACTACGACTACCACCGCTCGACCAACAACACAGTCCCCGCGCTATTATGCCTGCTTCCAGTCTTGTCCGGCGACCAGCGAGTATAATCCAATCTGTGGCAGTGATAATGTAAACTACTACAATGAAAACAGATTCAACTGCGCCTTGAACTGTGGCCTAAGTGAGAAATTCTAAAACTTATAACTCTTGGGAGCTTTTGTTAAAATTATACATCATTTCCTTACAGGAATCCAGCAAGTGCATAAAGGAATTTGTTAAACATAGTCCAGAGGATCATCATCAGCATCTAGCAGCTTATCTATATATTACATTACTCAATCCTACATATACACCACTGATCGATGACATCAGCTAATAAACACAAATACATGAATACATACATCTTATTTAAGGCATATGCCCCGACCCAATCTAAATCTCGAGCTCTCAGTTAGTAGTTATCAGCTTGTTTGTCTGTTTGCCTGCTGCGCTGTAGAATCAAAATATAAGTTATTATTTTCACTGGGTCTTTGTAAAACTTATTTCGGAAAAATGGTCTATATTTGCAGTAAGTCTTGGAAACAAAGACTCGGTGTATAACCGGTATATACATAAGTAATCACTTTCCGATGAACACGGTTTTCGCAGCTCTTGTGTTTCTTCTCTGCCCCGTCTTATTGTTGGGTGCTCAATGGGAAAACCCGAATCCGAAGTCACAGGTTGAATACATCAGCAACGACCAAAGAGTGGGATCTGCTGTCGCCAAACCGAATATCGTACCCATAACGCGTCCACCAGTTGTGACGCAGACCGCACCTCCTCCACCACCGAATTCCAAGAACTTTGCTTATAATCCGATGACACAGACCTGGACCTTGATCGCGCCCGGTGATCCACAGCCCAACGAGGATACTCTGATCTGGAACCAGAGCAATGACAAGTGGCTCACTCGCTAAACATTCCAGCAAACGATTCTTGATCGACAGAATTTGTCGTTGATGAGTATATTTACCCCTGTAAACCCTTGTAAAGTTAAAAATAATTAAATGATTCTAAATAAAGAATATATATTTTTATATCTTACATGGAATGTAGATTTTAGAAAGGAATTCCTAAAACTAAAAAGGTTTACAAAATTTGTTTAAGAATTCTAAGCAAAAAATTTTGATAATTCAAGTAAATTTCTTTTTATATCAGAACTTAAATTATAGATGTAACACTTTTAATAATTAATCAATAAAAATACTTTACGAACGTCTCTTAGCTTCCGGTACTAAGCTAAATGCGGAAAGTGTATAATGTTTGCTTTTCACAACGTTCACCACTTGCTGCAATTTAAAATTTTATTTAAATTTGTATTTTAAAGAAGTTATTGTCTTACCTGGTCTTTCCGCGGCCATCTTTAACAGAATTTCGGGACTCCTTGCTTGCGATTGAAATGTAATTTTTCGACAAGATGTGTAATGTAATGTGGAAAACCAATTTTTGGCCGCCATTTCTCCAGATAAATAGTTATCGATAAGTCTTTGTAGAGATGGAAACGCGTTAAACTTTTGATAAGCGATAAGTCGCGGTCAAAAAAAATTTATAACCGCTTGGCTTAACAAATATAAATTAAATTATATATAAAAGTAGGTGATGCAGGAAAAATTAGAATTCATATTTAAAAATATATATGCCTAATGTTACTAAGGCAAAAGTCTGAATCGTTTCATAAACTCGGTCTCCCTATGATTTGTAAGCCGATATAACAGTCTTTTGTATACACATTTTATTTCTACGAAAAGTATACTATGACAAGGTATAAACTAAGAAGATATAAATAAGATATTGCCCACTTTTGGGAGTAAATTTTAATTAAGGCCCATAAGTAGGCAAGTCAAATGCGTGAGAAAAAGCTTGGTGAGGTTGTTTAAATAAATTACGAACTTCGCATATTTTTATAGTATGAAAAATACATCGAAATTAATAAAGTTTAAATCTCATTTCGAAATTACAATGGCAAATACCCCTCCATACAAGCGGCAACTGTGAATTATTTTAATTAGATTTGTAAGGTACTAATAATAATCATTATTATTGGTGCTTACTCAAAGGAAGTATTGCGATAGCTAACAGAAACATTTCGCAACTAAACTGCATGTTGAAGCCGACCAGGACAGCGCCAACCGCCGCCCCACATCTACACCACATAAGGACAATGCACATTGCTTTGGCTCGCATGAAGGTAGGCACAAAACCCAATAGGGATCCACCTAGCAAACCAACTATAACGCCGGGAAAAGACAGCAGAAACACCAAAGAAAATAGTTGAATCCAGGTATTAGTGACAAAGATCAGCAAAATGCCAAATGTAGTGGAGGCCACAAGGGAAAAGACAAACATAACCTTTCTGTGAACTTGGAAGAGCGACAACCAGCAGAAGTTGTACATCACGACGTAGACTATTCCCAAAATAAAGGAGTCATTGAAGCCCTTGAAGGAGTCGTTGCAGACCTATCCAAGAATGAAGAAATTTCAAACTTCATAACAAAAATATTAAAAGAGATATAGATTCCAATTACCGCTTCAAAATCGGCTTCAGTTTCCAACAACAGACCTGTTTCTGGAACAAAGAGTAGCCGGCAGAAGCTCATGCCCTTTGTGTTCCCCTGCCTCATATTGCAACGGTTCCGCATAGCAGTGTACCAAATACCTAGTCCGTTGGCCCTGCGAATTTGTAAAATAAATAAGGGGAAATACTTAAGGCACCTATAACGCTCACAATAGACCTAGGATAAACATAACCAAGCAGACGCAAAGGAAGTAGCCCACGAATGGTTTTCGAACAAGGGGCATCGCATCATTGAGCATCGATCGAAGGAAGTTGTGACTGCCCTTCGACCGTCTAACCTGAGCGTTCTCCTGGTATGAGAGCAAATGGTCTACCTGCTCTTCGGTCAGAGATTTCCCGGTGTTCTTGCGAGATATCCATTCCATAGTAGCCAAACCTCTCTTTGTGTCGCCAATCATAAACAGAAATTTTGGGCTCTCCGGCAAGATTAGCAGCAGACAAAACGCGAAAACGCCCGGCAGTATGTATATACATCCCAAAACTCGCCAGGGTCTCAGTGTCAGCGTGCCCACCAACTCCACCTCAAACTCTATTAAGTTCGAGCTCAGAAAGAGCGTTGCCCACGCCGGTACTGAGAGCATGGCGAAGCCGGTGAACATGTACATGTGAGTGACTGTACGGGCCAAGATCCGATTAGAGCAGAACTCACTAAGATAGGTAGGTGCCACGAAACTAGGACCGGCCACACTGATCGGGGGATAAATTTGTCAACTCACTTAACTTACCCTTTGATTTCTGATCTGAAAATTTCAAGCACAACTTTAATACTTACAAAATACACGTGATGAAGCGCATTACAAAGAAGCTTGTGAAACTGATTGTAAACATGGAGGCAACTGAACACAAACTGCTTACAACAATCGTTCGCAAAAGAATCCAGCGCCGACCCTTCTTGTCGGTGATGTAGCCCCAGAAGTAGGAAGAGCATATAATGCCCATAAAGCCGGCCCCCATAAGGGAAGCTAACTGCGGCTGATTCATTTTCAGATCGCATACAGCGGCCGGGCCAATGACGCCCATGCCCATAGTTTCGTGGATGGTGAGCATCTGCACGAGGCCAAGCGCAATTGTCGCAAATAGGTGGACACTCCCGAAACCTGTGGGAGAGATCTATCCATATGCATGCAAATGGGGTGTTGGCATTGGGTCATTTACCGATCTCCTCCATTACAATATCAAAGTGTTCCATGTCCTCTTCGTAGATTTAAAATTTAGGATTTGCAACGTTTTCTTTTGTAATGTATAACGGTCGTGCTTTGAATGTTTTATTTTGACTTCAATCGCAAGGCTTAGACCAATTGTATGTTCTCTACTTCCTTGATCAGATCCATGTGCTTGAATTCGTCAGGTTTGCGGGTAAAGGTTTCCAACAGTTTCAATTTTCCCTCGTCAGGTTTTAGGTAGAACATTTGGAGCTCATTAGCCAGGCATTGAGCCTCCTGGGCTGTTAGGACCTTAGTGTCGTATTCTCCGCGCATCAGGACTACTCCCTTGTCCTTAACATCAGTATAGTGGACGAGAGTGAGACACTCGGGAGCGTTCTCGTGGTGAACTTGATAAGCCAGAAGCGGGGTAAAGTGCACGGCGTTGGCAGCGAATTGCAACATAACGAACTCGAAGCCCTCACTGCGGGGCAGTGGCAACAAAAAGACGGGATGTTTCTTAGCTCGCGACATCAGGTTTTCGTACTGAGTGGTGGATAAAGTGGCTGCCAAGACTTCCTTTGTCTTATGGTATTCCAGCCAGATCTGCGAGACCTCCTCGGCGCTTTTGTCGGCAATTAGATCTAGCTTCATTATGTCGGTGAGCTTCTTGTGGGGTATTTCAGCCGCCTGCTCAGCTTGTAGATTTTGCTTGGGACTGAGCAGCTCGGAGTAAGTCCTGAAATTAGGACAAGTTGACCAGCGATACATTCTCAGTGATATTTTATCTCACCTAGCTTGACTTTTGCCATCCTTGATGGGATTCACCACACGTTCCACGCGATCCAAAAACTCCTCCGCCGACGTCTGCTGCAACTTGGCAATCTTGCCCGCGTACTTAGAGTAGTAGGGATTCTCCTCCTTCAGCTTATCGATGGCCTCCTCGGCGCGGCGTGCAGCTGACATGGTAATGGTGCGGTTCGCCGTCAAGGAGTTATTTAGGAAAACGCGGAAAAGTAATTTTCTGGCGCATGCCATTTCCTCACATCAAAAATTATACAACGGGACAGCTGTTTGTGCCAGATAATTATCGATATATCGAATTAGCGATGGAATCCTGTCGAGCTTTTGCTAAACGATAGTTTACGCTTCAACGCGACAAAACTTTGTTTAATTTGCGTATTTACTTTTGCATGAAATATGTAATAAAATAAAATAATTCTATTTTAACCGTACTTAAATTTAAAAAAAATTATTTAAGGATACTTTTTTAATATAACTTTTTTTTATTTTATTTATGGAGTAAACATACATTTTCGCTGCATTTGTTAAGAAGAACTTAACAGATAAAAGGATATTAGATAAATAGGACTACTAAACTTACTTATTAAGTAAAGAAATATAGATTTAAACAATTAAAAATAATATATTTGTGAAACTCAAATAAAATAAGAATAAAAGTCATTGCCTGAAGATAAATATACCATTATGTAGTTCTCAATGCATTTTTAGCATTTGGGTTGATTATTCAATTACAGTCGACTATATCTAAAAATGTCTCAAAAGTGTTGCATCTCCTATCGTCCAAGTTGAAATATTTCAATATAAATGTGATTCATTAAAGAAATATTTCAATAAAGTAAAATGTCCAACGCTTTTGTAATAGAGTCAGGTCAGCAAGATTATTATTAAAGCACATGCTGGGTGGCGACTAGTAATTTAACTATTAGATATACTACAGATAAACATCGTTTAATTTATGTACGTGCCGTACTTAGACCTTCTTCCGATCGCATTTGGTTGGCAAATCAGCTATACTAGAGTTATTGGAAAATAAAAAATTAATTTATAAAAACAAAACAGGGATGCAGCAATAAATTAAAATGAGTCAATTTATTTAAGTAGATATCAGCTACATTGTTTTTTCCTAGCCTTTGCTTGAACTTAAATTAAATTTGTTAACTAAATTCGTAAATAAGTTCCATATTATTCGTAATTACCAGCCCTGGGTCTTTGGTTCACCGAACGAACGTAAATTTTGTATAAATATCGGCAGTAAATTCAAGGTGATTTACATTATAGCTACACTGTGTTAAACACGATCAACGTATATATATCAATCGCATGGACTCTTTTCCGCAACGTTAAAGTGTAAACATTACTTTTGGATTTTACTAAGTGAAATGGACACCGATATTCAGAGATGTTTCCGGTCCAAAACGGTTTTTTTAACTGGAGCAACGGGTTTTTTGGGAAAAGGTATTTGTCCAACTTACTAAATATGAAAGATGAAAGCAATTTAAAGTGAAAAAATTTAAATTAAATTTTGCCTATTTTTAAGTTATTATTGAGAAACTTTTGAGGACCACGGAGGTAAAACGAATCTATGTACTGATCAGACCAAAGAAGGGAATTGAGATAGAAAAGCGGATTAACACATGGTCAAAGGACGCGGTAAGTGAAGCGATAGAAAAATTGAAGCTGCAACTTACTTATAAAATTGAGAAAAGGTTTTTGAACTGCTGCTCAAGTCCAAGCCGGAGGCCCTTCAAAGGGTTTGGCCCATCGCTGGAGATTGTCTGGAATCCGATTTGGGTATTGCCGATAACGATCGAAGGCTTTTGGCCTCCGAGGTGCAAATTGTCATCCATGGAGCAGCCACCGTAAGATTTAATGAACCTCTTCATGTGGCTCTGGCCATCAACACAAGGGCCACCCAGCTAATGATTCAGTTGGCGAGGGAAATGAAGCAGCTAGAAGCGTTTGTTTATATTTCCACAGCCTTCTCCAATTGCATTATTTACGATATCAAGGAGAGTTTCTACCCAGACCACCTGAACTGTAGTGCGGATAAGGTTCTAGCCATAAGTGAGCTAATGAGTGACGAACTGCTGGATAACATGGAACCTTCCCTCCTTGGATCATTTCCTAACACTTACACCTACACCAAAGCCCTGGCCGAGGATGTAATCCTAAAGGAAGCTGGTGGCTTACCGCTTTGCATTTTTCGGCCAGCAGTCAGTAAGTATCAAATAATTTTCTATTATTTTTTAAGTAAATGGCTTACTATAACCTAGTCATTGCGGCCCACAAGGAGCCCATCTCTGGCTGGATTGACAACATGTACGGACCAATGGCCATTCTTTTTGGAGTTGCCCGCGGGGTGCTGCGCATAGCAACCATCGATGACAAAGCCGAAGCGAGTCTGGTACCGGTTGACTACTGTGCCAACATGGCACTGGCCTGCACTTGGAAAACCATCGAGGGTGGGAGGGCAAATAAGTCACAGGAGAACCACGTCATCTACCAACTGGCTCCAAAGAGGGAAAACAAAATCACCCATGGAGAATTCATTCGACACGCTCTCGACGGAAGATCCTATTGCCCGCTAACGAAAATGATATGGTATCCTTTTATTCACTGCATCACACTGCCATGGCTTTATCCTTTTGCAGCTTTCTTCTATCACACTCTGCCAGCCTACTTCTTTGACTTGGCTCTTTGGATGAGTGGAAGAAAACCGCGACTGGTTAGGGTCTACCAGAAAATACACAAAACACTGGGCATATTGGGGCCTTTTGCTTGCAAAAGCTGGCAGTTTGACATGCGGAACACGGATCAATTAAGAGAGTCAATGTCGGAGGTGGATCGAAGTTTGTACTACTTTGACATGGCCAACTTGAACTGGAAGGAGTACTTCCTATGTGCTCTTCGCGGTATGAGGCAATATCTGGGAAAGGAGCCACCCACTCCGGAATCAATAGCTCAAGGCATGAAGCTGATCCAGCGGTATTTATCCAATAATCTATCTTTTTATCATATATAATTAGATTATCTCTCTAGGTTAAAACTGCTCCATCATATACTACAGTTCTTCCTTTGTTGTCTGGCCGGACTCGCAGTGTTATCGTTGGTCAAGCTCGTTTTGTGAATTACGTACTAACACAGGGCGCTTCCGGATTTACATTTTTATAGAAACTTTATAGACCCTATAAATGCTTCACTAAACAAATATATACATATATCAGTGTAACACAAGTGTTTTATTTTTATATCTTTTTATACCAGTTTAAAAGGGAACATTGAGTGTACATATATACGATTATATAGATGTTTTGTGTTCCTCTTTTTCCCCTTATGATCACTGGAATTTTGCTGCCAATTACCATAAAATTGAAATGTGATCAAACCTATCTGCCAGTTAACTACCATCTTGTAATGGGAGATATTAAATAAATTGACTATAAAATACCAAAAGTAAGTACTATAGTATTACATAGTTTGAACCCATAAAAGAAACCGGCACAATGATTAAACAGTATGCCGAGTATAATTTGACGATTATATGGCGTATAATCGTATAACCGATTACTACATATGTATATTTCTTGCCTAAGTGATAAATATTTATACTTCGATACCTTAAGTCGCTGATTGCAGTTATGTAAAAATGCAAAACTATATTATACAGTTCCTATTCATAAACTGATTTGGATTCGGTATTAGAGAAAGCCGTTCGAATTTAAGTTCTTTAACCAATGCAAATTCGTTTCAAATGAAAATGTAATCAAAAAATGGGTTTAATTTAAAAATCCTACTAATATATTTAATTTACACTTTTAATTATTATATTAGCTTCTGCAATACCTTGACTAACAGTAAAATCACGCGCTCCTCCCTAAAACGGGAGTCCATTGTTTGCCTTGAATATGCTGAACGTGACCTTTGTAGGGTGTAACTTATAGAGTCCCAAATAAATAGAACCGCTAGTTTGGAATTACTTTTCAGTTCAGTGGCTCGCGAAGCGTCAAAGTACCTTACTCGAAACAAAATGGATAACGGGATACAAGGATTTTTTAGAAATAAAACCGTTTTCCTTACAGGCGCGACAGGATTTTTGGGAAAAGGTACACAAACATTAAACGGAATACAATCGTGATAATTCACGACCTTATGGATTATGCTTTTCAGTTATTACTGAGAAACTATTGCGTACTACGGAGGTTAATCGGATTTACTCGCTGATCAGACCCAAACGTGGAGTACCTATTCAAGAACGCATCTTAACCTGGGAAAAGGATCCGGTGAGTGATCGTTAGGGCTAGAAATGCAGATGTGACCTGTCCATTCCTATATTGAAGGTGTTTGAGGTGCTTCTGAAGACAAAACCAGATGCCTTACAGCGAGTTTGCCCCATTGCTGGCGATTGTCTGGAGCCAGATCTGGGAATAAGTGAATCGGATCGAAGGATATTAGCCGCTGAGGTTGAGGTGGTAATCCATGGAGCTGCTACTGTGCGATTCGACGAAGCCTTGCACTTAGCCCTAGCCATTAACGCTCGGGCCACTCGGCTTATGCTTAATCTGGCCAAGCAAATGACCAACCTGGTGTCCTACGTCCACGTATCCACGGCCTATTCCAACTGTGTGGTATCTGACGTCGCAGAGCGATTCTATCCCGAAAACCTAAACTGCAGTTCGGATAAAGTTCTGGCTCTGGGTGATCTGATAAGCAATGAACTGCTGGACAAAATGTCCCCTAGCCTGATGGGATCCTTTCCCAACACCTATACGTACACGAAGGCCCTGGCAGAGGACGTAATCTTGCGGGAGGCGGGCAACCTGCCCGTGAGCATCTTTCGACCAGCGATCAGTAAGTCCACCAGATTGGGATTAATCTTCAAAAGTTGCAACTTAAATATTCCCAGTAATGTCCACCTACAAGGAGCCTCTGAATGGGTGGGTGGACAATCTATTTGGACCATTGGCCCTCTGCTTTGGCGCAGCTCGTGGCGTAATGCGGGTCACCACAGTGGACCCCAATGCCAAGATGAGCATAGTCCCAGCCGATTTTTGCGTCAACTTGACTTTGGCCTGTGCCTGGAAGACAGCGGAGAATTCCGTCGCAAATGGGAAACTCAAAACGCCACCGATTTACACGTTTGCGCCCAGTGAGAATAATCAGCTGAGCTATGGCAGCTTTATCAGTTCATCGATTTATTATCGCGACGTCATACCACTGACCCAGATGATATGGTATCCATTTGTCCTGTGCATCTCAAAATCACTCTTTCCGTTCGCTGCCTTTTTCTTACACACCCTTCCGGGTTATTTTGTTGATCTATTGCTACGTCTCAAGGGCAGGAAACCGATTCTAGTGGATCTGTATCGAAAGATTCACAAGAACATTACTGTCCTGGCTCCATTCACCACAAATACTTGGAACTTTGACATGACCAACACAAACGAACTAAGGGAAGCGTTATCTGAAAAGGACCGAAACCTGTACGATTTCGATATGGCCCGTCTGAATTGGGACGATTACTTCAAGATAGCCATGTATGGAATGCGACATTACATTGCTAAAGAGAAGCCAACTCCAGAATCAGTTGCCAAGGGTATGAAGCTAAGGATTCGGTGAGTTTTCAAATAAGATTTATTATTTACTTTTATTCTTAATATCCATTCGCAGCCTTAAGATCCTTCACTATGTCTTCACCTCCTCGCTATTCTCCGCAGCTGGATTTGCCCTGTGGTCGCTGGCAAAGCATTTAGTTTAATATTGTGGTTTTGTATGGCTTTTAACTGTCTAAAAATCTAAGCTGCCTTACCCTCTGTTATTTGTAATTAAAAATTAAAAAAAAAAAAATAAAATCGATATATAAACCTAACTATTTATAAAAATATGTTTTTCAATTTTAATACTTTCCACTTGAAGTCTATATTTCCCTCATAAACATAAAACTGTAGAGATAATGTTCACCTTCACATTAAAATACCCCAACTGATTTTAAAAACTTATTCCAACTAATTGGTATATTGTAGACCGAGTAACACACAACAAAGAACATTTTATAGAATCGGAAACGTATTGCAAAATTAACTTTATCATGAAAAATTATCTGTGAAGGACTTCAGATTTGTAATCAGAGGACCTCCATTATAACTACAAATAATATTAAAGGTTACTAGCATATTAATGTATTCGTTAAATAGTATATAGGAAATAAAAGATTATTAAGACTGATAGCCAAATGGTTAGCACAGTCGCGGAACTCGAATTTAGACTTTGTTGATTTTAAAGGTTTTGGGACTTCATTTAAGTTCTTAAATTTGTTTAAATGTTTTTTTTTGAAGTCGCCTAAAAATATGCTCTGAAAAAGTCTTATCTTTCGTTACACAAAAATGTTGCCAGCATGTTAAGCATTACAACGGAAATAGTAAGTGTCTGATTTGATTGTAAATTCAAATATGGGTAAAATATATTTCAAAAACACTTGTGTGCTTTCGTCGCCTACGTTTCCTTTGTTTTTCTTGTTAAAATTATAAACATGTTAATTATGCGTAAATGCAGGAAGGCATGTGGGGGTATATAAACTGAACACTTTTTCATAAGTGTTTCTAGTTAAGCAAAGACTCATTAAAAATGGTTTCAGATATTCAGGCTTTTTATAAAGACAAGACAGTTTTTCTCACAGGATGTACAGGGTTCTTGGGAAAAGGTTAGTGTACAAATTGATAATTTTCATTCCTACTTTTTTTTCTTAATTTTGTGTCCCAGCTATAATAGAGAAATTATTAAGGACAACGGATGTAAAACGCATCTATACCATGATTAGGAGTAAACGCTGAATTTGTCCATAGAGGAACGTTTGGCCAATTGGAGTGCGAACTCGGTATGTTATTCTAAAAGTTTTCAAAGGCAGATCCCTGCTTATAACATCAAATATGTAAGATTTTCGAAGCCCTGCTAAAGGAAAAGCCAGATGCTATGGAGCGTGTATGTCCCATTCGAAGGAGATTGCCGTGAACCGGATTTGGGTATCTGTCCGGATGATCGAAGTCTTTTAGCCTCCGAGGTGCAAATTGTTATCCATGGAGCTGCAACTGTGAGATTTAATGAACCGCTTCATGTTGCTTTGGCCATCAACACAAGAGCCACCAAGATAATGCTCGAACTAGCCAAAGAAATGTGTCTCCTGGAATCTTTTGTTCATATATCCACAGCCTTCTCCAACTGCGTCATTAACGATATCAAGGAACGCTTCTATCCCGAGAACCTCGTCTGCAGCTCTGATAGAGTTCTGGCCATGAGCGAGATTTTAAGTGTCGAACTGTTCGACAAAATGAAACCTCTACTTCTTGGTTCATTCCCAAACACGTACACTTTTACCAAAGCCCTGGCCGAGGATGTGATCCTGAAGGAAGCGGGGTGCTTACCAGTTTGCATTTTTCGTCCTGGCGTCAGTAAGTTAATATGGTTACTATTTGGGGTTTACAATAATGGTATATAAAACGCAGTTATGGCGGCTTACAAGGAGCCCGTATCCGGATGGATTGACAGCTTTCAGTCACAGATGGGCATGATAGCCGCAGTGGTTACCGGAGTTTTACACGTTGCTCCCTTTGATAAGAAGAACCATGTGAATAGTGTTCCCGTTGATTATTGTGCTAACTTAACACTTGCCTGTGCATGGCAAACCGCTATGAAAACAAAGGAAAGCCCACTGATCTACAATATATGTACCGTCAAGGGAAACCATCTTCTGAATGGTGATTTGGTGAAGCATGTTCACGACTCCCGGGACCTTTTACCCATTGGTGAAAATGATGTGGTATCCGTTCCTACAGTGCACATCAAATATGCGCCTCTATAAGTTGGCGTTCTTCTTCTATCATTCTGTGCCCGCTTATATATTTGACCTGACTCTGCGATTGTTTGGTCGGAATCCGCGCTTCGTAAGGTTGTATCAAAAAATACACATCGCCATCATTTCAGTTTTATCGTTCACAAACAAGCCCTACGAATACGATACCCGCAACACTGATCTGTTGAGGAAAACCATGTCGGAGGAGGATCAGAAGCTGTTCTCCTTCGACATGACTAGTCTGAGATGGAAGGAGTACTTCCGAGAGGCTTTTCCGGGAATGCGTTTGTTTATAGGAAAGGAGGCAGCTACTCCGGAGTCCATTGCCCTTGGATTAAGGAGACTAAAAAGGTAACCTCTGAATATATTATCCACAACATAAAATATATATTTTCTTGTCCGGACAGGTTAAAGATTCTCCATCGTCTTCTACAAGGATTCCTTCTAAGTTTGATCGGAATTATTTTTGCATCACTTTTTCGGCTAATGAAGTCTTTAAAATTACGGCACTCAATTAGTTTAATTAATATGACGTTGCACAAAGTATTTAAATTAACTGTATAAATTATGTTCATATTCAAACATGTTAATAAAAAGAAGCATACAAATTTAAATAAAATTGCAGCTATAGTGCTTTCAAAGCTTGTCGAGAGGCGAGAAATGCAATCCAACTGTGGCTGTGACTATTCATAAGGTATTCGTGTATTTGGTTAAATTTTGCATACGATTGGCCGGGTCACTGTACAAATGACATTACGTCTATCGCCACAGCATATACGTATGTATATAAATAGCCCGACCATACCCAATTGATTTCCTATTGAAGTGTGTTTTCAACTTGCTAGCTTCGTGTTGGCATCACAAATCGGAATAACAAGTCTCGAGATGGAAACCGATATCCAAGGATTTTATAAAGACAAGGTGGTGTTCTTGACAGGCGCCACAGGGTTTTTGGGAAAAGGTATATGCCGAAGGATACACTCTAAGAAAAAGGAATTATTTTTCTTATCCGCTAACCATTGGATTTTATAGTCATAATCGAGAAGCTTTTGCGGACTACGGAAGTGAAACGCATATACTCAATGATCCGACCGAAACGAGGTCAGGATATTCAGGAACGTTTAGCCGTATGGAAAAAAGAGCCAGTAAGTCAAAATGAAAATAACCAATGTAAAATATAATGGCTAGGACCTTACGATTCAAGCTATTCGAAGTCCTGCTGCAGTCGAAGCCCAAGGCTCTGGAAAGGATCTTCATCATTGCAGGCGATTGTCTGGAAAAAGATCTCGGCATTAGTAAGACGGATCGCCAACTTTTATCCTCCGAAGTGCATATAGTCATCCATGGAGCAGCCACCGTGCGTTTCAATGAACCTCTTCATGTGGCTCTTGCTATTAACACGCGTGCCACCAAACTAATGCTTCAGTTAGCCAAGGAGATGGTACACCTGGAGGCCTATTTGCACATCTCAACGGCTTTCTCCAACTGTGTGATTTTCCGCATCGAAGAGAAATTCTATCCCGAGCATCTGACCTGTGACTCGGGGAAGGTTCTGGCCATAAGTGAGCTACTTAGTGACCAAATGATGGACAATCTGACTCCAACTTTACTTGGATCCTTCCCCAATACATATACATACACCAAGGCCCTGGCGGAGGACGTGATCCTAAGAGAATCGGGCGACCTACCGCTAAGCATATTTCGACCTGCAATTAGTAAGCTCATTAAATATGTAATGAAACGATCTTCTAATTATTATTTGATTTACTCTTTCAGTAATTGCCACCCATAAAGAACCCGTTTCCGGTTGGATTGACAATCTTTACGGACCCATTGCTCTTCTATACGGCGCTGGTCATGGAGTGCTACGCGTGTCGACCTGCAACAAAAATGGCGACGCCAGTTTGGTGCCGGTGGATTACTGTGCAAATATGGCCTTGGCTAGCATATGGCAAACATCGATGGAAAAAACTCAACGAGATTTGAAATCACAACCCGCCATCTACACTTTAGCGCCTAGTAAGGGGAATCTGCTGAACAACATGGACTTTGTTAAGCACTCTTTAAGCTGCCGAGAAGATTTGCCTTTAACCAAGATGATCTGGTATCCATTTGTGCACTGCATCTCGACACCGTGGCTATTTCCACTGGCCGCATTTTTTTATCATACGTTACCAGGCTATTTTTTTGATCTGGCTTTAATACTTTCGGGAAGAAAACCTCGCCTGGTTAAACTCTACCGAAATATTCATGCTAACATTGCGATTCTGCAGCATTTCATGCATAATTCTTGGAGCTTTGAAACAAAGAGCACAGATCGGTTGAGAGCTGTAATGTCTCTGGAGGATCGGCGATTATACAGCTTTGATATGGAGGCTTTGGACTGGAAGAAATACTTCGAAACGGCCCTTCTCGGAATGCGTCTATTCCTGGGAAAAGAACCTCCAACAAAGGAATCCTTCGATCAGGGTCGACGACTGTTGCGGCGGTATGTTTGATTCGAAAAATCTTAACATTTACCTTGATTAATTCACTTTATTCAATAGTTTGAAGATCTTGCACTATAGCTTGATGACAGTACTGGCCGCCATTGCTGGATGGATTTTGTGGACACTGGTCAAATTAATTATTTAATTAAATGGGACTACGAACTAAAAAACTTTGCTGTTCACAGTATCGAATATCGAAACAATATTGTTAGCAATAAAAAATTTGCTTGTTACTTTTTTTGCTTTATGTATTAAATTAAGAGTAACCACCATTGGTAACGCCTGAAATTAAAGCGCCACAATAAAGATTTAAAGAATAGAATACAGATAGCTGATTATTCGATTTTTAGTCGATATCTGAAAAACCTGTGCCGATAGTTGTGCGTCTTGGCTATATTAAGCTGGTGCATCCGGTAGTCGATGCAGGGGTCAGTGACTTGGCTTACTTAGGAGGGTGTTTTAAACCCAACGTTACGTTGTTAGGAAAACAATATCTGACAAATATTTTTAACATTTGGTTGACAAAAGCGTCTACGGCAGAGAACAAGGAAAACCCCTGTTTCGAATTCTGTGCTAATAATCTTCTTATAATCAAATGTAAAAAGATTATAAAAAAAAGAAAATATAAACATTCGAATTAGGAACTGAAACTTAACAAACTTAAGATGGCTATCACAAAAATATTCTAACAGACTAACATTCCCGTTTCTCAACAGTTCTGTTATATAAACGATGTCTTTACATTTCAATAATTTCTGAGAGAGTACAGAATGAGAGAGCTAAAATTGACGCTGAGAAAAGCGCTGCCAGCTTGTTTGAAAAATAGCTGAAAAATTCGTGCCTGGCAGCATTATTGGGCGCCAAGAAACACATCTCTGAACAACTATCACCTTCTCGGCGATAAAACATCGATATATTTGTAAAAGAGGGCCACCCCCATTCAAACGCTCGGCTTAAACCTGTTCTCCGTTGTGTTGTTCGTTTTAATTCGAAAAAAACGTTCGAGCGTGGCGATTCCTCCGACTGGTGTGTACGGCTTTCCGACTTACTTGCCCCCCTTTTTGAAACCCTGTGGAAAATCTATATACTGTGCATAAGATATAATTTAGAATTAGGTGCACAGCTATTTCGTTGTTCTTGTTATTGATTTACCACCGCGCTGCATTGTGCTATTTAAAAGTTTATGTTTTCTGATTTAACCTGTGCTTATTGCATAATTTTTGTGCGGTCGTTAATTTCTGCTGCCCGACTTCCAAGAATTACGCTGAATAAAAAAAAACGGCTGCTGCTGCGGGAAGAAACTATAAAAAAGTGCCGCAGCAGCGGATTGGGAATGCGCATAATAATTAAACAAACATAGTGGAACGAAGAAAAAATAATACACAATAAGCGCAGCTGGGTCTCAGAAAATTTTCATCTGTGTATTGTTGTGCTTGCAAATTCTTCGGTAGTCCGTTTTTTGCTTCTGGTTCTTTTCGTATATGTGACATAACGGTATTTGGCCTGCAAAGCGAATCCGACAAAACAGAACAGGAAACGCAGATAAGCTTGCAAAAATAAATGACTAGAAATAAGCAAGCAAGCAAAAAAAAAAAATAATTTCTGTGAATTAATATTTTCTTTAGGACGAATACTGTTTTGTTATTGGCTAACTGTTGTTTGCCTTTAAATTGCAGATATTAATTGTAGAGCAGCACTCACACTAGCACACGCTCCCCGCAAAATAACAAAAACACACACATACACAAAAATCATACATACACTGCCAGCGGAGATCCCGAAAACAAGTGTTGTTGTTGCCGCACCGCCGACGCCGCCGCCTTTGTTGTTGCTCGTCCGCTAAAATGCTGAAAGCTGCAGCGCTACTTTTGGCGCTGCTCTGCGCCGCAAACGCAGTCGACGCCGCCGCCGATTTGGCGGAAAAATTGCGCGATGACTCGGAACTCTCTCAGGTGAGTCAGAATAAGAACAAGTTGAAGAAGAAGTGGATGAGGAGGAGAAAGAGGTGGTAGAAAAATTACTAAGAAAGCAGAAGGCAGCAGAAACAGTTGGTGTAAATAATACTAAAAAAAAACCGAAACACTTGTAGGCGGTTAAGTCCACCAAGCACTACCCACCGCCCTCGCTTACCTTGGCTTATCCTTGGGTACAGTCGGCATTGCTTACAATGAATTTTCCAAGCCCTTAACTAAAGCTGCTAAATTATCTATTAAGGTTATAATTAATAGAGTATTTTGTATTGTAAAACTAAAGTCTCCTTACTTAGGGCAAAAAAGGTTATTCCATATCTGAAAATAAAAATAAAAGTTTCTAAGGTTTTTAATACAAATATAAAACTTGAACCCCGATTGTTTTTATTTTATGCAACTGACTCACATACGAGTGTAGTTACGATTTACCGATTCATTGAATGTGACATCTATAATTCCTAAAGATCAAAGCGATTTCTGAATATCTGAAAAATAGTTCAACAATCAAATAGAGTCCGTCCATTTTTGTCATACCTTTCATGGGTTTGTGCACGTCACAGTCTATACACCGCGGCAACTAATAAAAGCTATTATAGTTCGTCTGTAATTGTGCCATCCCCAAGTAGAGTCGCCTTCGCATTTGGCTGGCCTTGAAAGGAAAAGCCTTGGCAGAGTGTTCTGGTTGAGGGGGAGGTGAGGTGAGGCGGTAAAAGGAGCCTGCGCAAGAGGGAAGGACAAATGGCTTAGGCACCCACATTTGGGCACAGGTAGCAGCAATCTAGCATCGTCCTTGACCTTTAGCCATCTCACTTGTTGTTGGGGCTGCGGAAAATCGATGATGATGCTCTCGAAGTCCCTGAAGGAGAGAGTCCAGCCCGACCACTGAAGTCAAACTCCAGCTGACCACATTTCGTATGCATGGCGGAGTATGTTATGTAAAATGAAAAGCCACATAAATTAAGCAGAAGTCGGCAGACTGGGCTCTCCCAAGCAAAAATGATAAAAAAAAAAAAAAAAAATGCCGGCCGTTGACGTCCACTGAGCATAACAGTTTTATATTTAGTTTTGCCTTTTTACACCTTCACAGGCCAACTCACACACCAAACACATAGAAAAACACATTAATGTGTAAAAAAAAAGTCAGAAGCCAACAAAGGTACGCGGCTAAAATAACAAGAACAACATGGGTAATGAACTCAAGGGCGGGGGCTCAGACAGCAGAAGGGGCTACCATTTCTACATCATTAAAAATGTCTAATTAGAAGAAAGGGAATTACTATTTTTTGTTCCAAAACCAAAATGTATATCTTTTAAAGCTGAAAACATGTTTGATAAAACAGTAAAGAAGTTGGATTATAATATTTTTAAATTATTTATTTAGTTTTATTAATAGTTAGTGACCCTTTGGCAAATACTAAAACTAACTAAGCCCCTGTTCCATTTTCTACACTGCTTAGCATTTTAAGGTCCAAAAATACATGGAGAGATAGATTTCCAAGTAAAAGAAAGCGTGCGACGAAAGAGTTGGATAGTTGAGTATAATTGTTGCAGCAAGTGTCTCGAAGACCCGGGTCTCAGGGAAGTAGTTGCATCCACACAGAAAACACAACCTTTTCAAGTCGCGATAGGCGAAACAGAGCGAACAGTGAAAACTTAAAAACGAGAAGGGGGATTCGGCTTGCTCATTTGCACCCTTGCTTTAGGGTATTTTAACTTAGCCCTGAAGTTTGCCACTTTCAGTGGAAGACATTTCCGGTACAATACCATACACAGTGCTGTATACATGAGGGTGGGTCTTTTTTGTGTCATAAAAAACCTAGGGGCGGAAAGTAATCTTCGGTCACTTATGTAAATTTTATGCCGTTAAACTGAAGGATTAAAGTCAACTCTTAGCAATAGAATTTTCCAGAGTAATTTCTTATTCAGTTTATTTTCATCAACTGAAAAGGATAGGATAGGTTTTCGAAATATTTTGTTAGAGGAAAAAAGAAAAGAGAATAAGTTTCTCATAACTCATAATCAAAATAAAATAATTTATTATATCCCTTTTGAATATTCTTGCCAAATTGGATCTAAATATAGGCACATCTGGGCTGAGAGGGTATTGCAATCTTTCGAAGTCGGAGCTAGCCTTCTTTTCTAATTATGCCTGCACTTCTCATTACATGCCGATGGTTTAGATAAATATAGGTTGGCTGGTTGTGTCTTGGTTTGCGGCTTACGGCCTGTGGTTTTGCTTCGCAAACCATCGAAATCTGGAGAGAGTTTTTTTTAAATGAGCTGGTATCGCATTCTTTAGTAATTTTAGAAAATTATATCCATTTTAATGAAAAAATCCAGATTAACCGGAATAGTTTTTTTGGTATAAATTTTCATTTCGTCAGGAATTAAGCTATATTTACGTTTACTCAAAAAATAAGCAATGAACTTGTGCGGGTCCGAGGAATGAGCTGACCTCCTGTTATTAACCCCCACTTCCTGTCGTGCGTCAACGTCTTGTGCGTTTTATTAATTTTAATTTTTAACCTTTGACTGATGCAATTGCAGTCGTTGGCTGAGTCGACCGAGTGGGGGTGTGGACAGCTTGGACAGCTTGGGTTGTCAACTGCTGTCTAGGAATACTCACGGTACCGAACGGTCGAACCTCAGTCCACACACTCTCTCTCTCAGTAGCAGCAGCATCATCGAATTCAATTAAATTTAATTTAAGAATTCAATGCGATGCCAAGGCGCGTTATTTGATATGCGACGAGCTCCATTACAGGCGAGGCGATGAATGAGCCACGACTGACCTTAATGATTCCAGATGCTGCTCATAGACGGAGCATAGTCCGTCAGGCCGCCATCTCGGAGCTACATACATTTATGATCCATGGCGTTTTGGTGGGGGCGTAATGGCCTCGGAATGATGCCACAGTAGTCCCCCTTTTGATCCCCTTTCCATTGCCTGCCCTACCCTGCCAATTAAAAGAGAAATGCTGTGCCCGAATCTCAATTCCAAACCCGAGTCGGGGGTTGAGATCGCTTTCGCTTCAGTTTTCCGTTTTTCTGTTTCTGCTGCCGCTGCAATTATCAAAAAGAAAATAAACTGTAAAACCGACATATGCATACATAATTTGTACCAATTAAATTTATTTATACAACATGCACTCGCCCAGAAGGAAACACAACCACATCCCTCAGACGCCCCCCAGCTCCTGCTCCGATTTCTGTCCCTATTCCGAAAACCGAAAATACGAAGCTTGGCTCGCTCTCTTGGCTAATTAGTTTTAATGGCTCTATTAGATGATGGAAATTGAATTTCCTCAAGTGCCGCGCCCCCCACGACAAGAACTCCCCTATACCGTTTGTAGTTATTTTTTTGTGGTGTAGGAATTAGTAGAATTTTTTGGCTACAAATCGAAAGAAAACAAAACAAGTTTGAACTGCCAGCGGTTCTCTCTCTTTCTTTCTTTCTTTCTCTCTCTATCTCTTTCAGAGCACTGCCAAATCCTTGAGGCGCCTTATGCCAGTTAGGGTAAGCTGCAATTCCAAAAATAAAAAACAAAAACCAAAAACAGAAACAGAAACAAACAACATGAACACAATTAAGCTATTGTAAAATTGGACTAAACAAAAGACATCATTATGTACGACTCACATGTTTTCGACTTAATTTTGTTAACTGGTATTCATAGGGCCATTGGCCAAATTATTGTTTGCTCCGCCGTCTGACTCGTACCCCTTAGTAGACGGGGTGCGTCTGTGGCCCCAGGGCCATTGGCTTGGCACTCGGGGAAAATCAAAATGCGCTTTTCACAAAAAAAAACCCTCCCCCTTTGGGAGCAATTTTTGGCGGTTGGCTGAGGCGTGTGATGTTTGCATAGTAAATGAGACGCCCGCAGTTTGAAAGGGAAACTGTTTTATCGATGACAGGATAATATACTCTAACTCTCTACTTTCTCAAATTGTCGGGCTTCCGTAAAGGACTCCCCGGGGTAAAAAGCCAGCGGCCTTATCGCGATGATGTGCCAAAAGAGCCGGAAACTCATTAAGATAGGGTTCCCATCCGCCCATGTCCTTTCATCAAATGCAAAACATTCGATAACGGAAATTTATGAAAGTAATTGCATCTAATTGTCAAAGGCTTCTAGTTAGATCCCAAGGGGGTTGAAATTGGTAAGGATGCTGACAGATGGCCATTAGAAAATGGCCGCCAAGTGAAATTGTCACAGTTTTTTCTTTTTTTTAGTTTTGGGCCAAACAATAACTTCTATTTAATGAAAACTTCTCTCGTATCTATTGGCCCATTATACCTGCAACGTATCCCATATCCCATATCAACCTGTGACATTGTGACATATGCCACAGTCAGTCCCTAAGACCCCACTTAACAGCAGGGCACTTTCTTGGCCAGATAAGCGAAAACATTTCGAGAGCGAAATAGAAACCGGCCAAGCAATTCTGGCCAAAACAGGAGACGACGGATGAAGAACAAAGCCCGCTGGCGACTCGAATGTCCAGGACCAGGACAACAACAGTGCTAACGGCTACGACAACTGACGGTCTCAAATTACCAAAAAAAAAAAAAAGAATGAAAATGAATGGAAGTGAGAATAAAAAGTATTTACACTATGGAAAAAGGACAAAGAATCCCTTAGGAAAGATTATTTAAAAGAATATATTTATTAAAGGAGATATTTTCGTATTTATTTAAAATTAATTAGTATTTTTCTTTAGAGTCCAAAAATAAATCTTGTTTCCAAAAATTCCTGATCTAGTAGGTTCGCATTTTGAATCGATTTAAGTTCTACCAGGATAGTTTACAAAAAATATATTTAATGGAGAATATGATTGAGTTAATTGACCCTCAAAAACATATCCCTTATTAAACTCTCTTTTTCTCGGTGTACATGCGTGTGTGTTGGCGATGCCAGAGCATAGATATGTGCAGCAGACAGGGTAAATGGGATTGGAAAAGGGAAAGGACGCAGTTTTAAAGCCAAATTGCCATGACTCATGCTGGGCAGTAACAAAAACAAGAGAGTCACACGACCACCATTTTAAAGGAGGGCACGGAAAAAGGTGTTGTCCTCGGCAGGACACGCACCCACACAGGCACACTCACACAGACACAGATATATCCGCAGGACCTCATAAAGCCGACTGGGAATGTGCAGCGGGGCGTGGCGGTGGCGGTGTCCAGTGGTTCTCCGCCGGGAAGCCGCAGAGTGTGCGGTTGCATGTAGCCCATATGAAGGCAGGGGAGCAGGTGGCCCGCTCGAGCAACTATTACTGACTCTGGGCCTGGTTTAGGGTCAGTGGCTGCCTTTTTGGGGTGGCTGGAAAATGCATTTTCACATCCCGCTCTCAATTGAATGACACACAATCCACTTGGGCGGCGTAACCCACCCCGAGGCTTATGTAATTGGTTCAATAAACCTTTTTCTTCTGGTACGCCGCCCTAGCCATCCCAGGCCAGGACATGCATAATGTTGTTCCTCATTTTATTAGTTTGTTAGACGTTGCCATGGTGCTGGCCGGTTGCCGTTTTGCCAAAACCGCCCAGCAACCGTCTATAAGAGAACCACCCCGAAAAGCAACCCACTCCACCCTAGAACCACCACCCACTACTCCCCAACCTCCCCCACTCGGTTCGATAAGATATATTGGCAATAAAGCGACGCGAATGAGTGTAACGAACCCGTTTATCTTTGCAGTTCTACAGCCTACTGGAGAGCAATCAAATTGCCAACTCAACGCTAACGCTGCGCAGCTGCACGATCTTTGTGCCCACCAATGAAGCCTTCCAGCGCTACAAGAGCAAAACCGCCCATGTGCTCTATCACATTAGTAAGTTCAGTTTCAATCAGGCTGATTAAAAATAATAAACATCAAAATAACATGACTCTACCCCTGTGACTCCTATTTGCAGCCACTGAGGCGTACACCCAGAAACGACTGCCGAATACCGTGTCATCGGACATGGCCGGCAATCCCCCGCTGTATATCACAAAGAACTCGAATGGCGACATCTTTGTGAACAATGCCCGGATCATACCCTCTCTTAGTGTGGAGACGAACAGCGATGGCAAGCGACAGGTCAGTGGCCCCCCATATAATATTTTACATTCCATGCATGTCACAAAGAAACCCATTTAAACTTGCTCCTATGTCCTCCACCCACAGATCATGCACATCATCGACGAGGTGCTTGAGCCGCTCACGGTGAAGGCTGGTCATTCGGATACCCCCAGCAATCCGAATGCTCTCAAGTTCCTGAAGAATGCCGAAGAGTTTAACGTAGACAACATCGGCGTGCGCACGTACCGCAGCCAGGTGACGATGGCCAAGAAGGAGTCGGTCTATGATGCCGCCGGACAGCACACCTTCCTTGTTCCCGTTGATGAAGGTTTTAAGGTTTGCCATTCAGTTTTAAAATATGTTGTGTTTTTGTTACTTACGAATCCCTTGATGATTCCAGCTCTCCGCTCGTAGCAGCCTCGTGGACGCCAAGGTCATCGATGGCCATGTGATACCCAACACTGTCATCTTCACTGCCGCTGCCCAGCACGACGATCCCAAGACTTCCGCCGCCTTTGAGGATTTGCTCAAGGTCACCGTCAGTTTCTTCAAGCAGAAGAACGGCAAAAGTAAGAAAATAAAACCATTATTTTTTTGTTAAATTAATCAAAAAATTAAGAATAAATAAGAATTCTTCTTATAGCAAGTAAATGTATTTAAATATTTGCTAATTTAATAAATATTTTGTTTCTTTCATTTCCTTTTATAATAGTGTACGTGAAGTCCAATACCATTGTGGGTGATGCCAAGCACCGCGAAGGTGTTGTTCTTGCCGAGATTGTCAAGGCAAATATTCCAGTGAGCAACGGAGTGGTCCATCTGATCCACCGACCTCTGATGATCATCGATACGACGGTTACCCAATTCCTGCAGGTATGTGGGGTGTTAGAGAAACGCAACCAGTGCAATTTTAGACACACCAACACGACACAGATACAGTATAAAGACACAGACATATAAAAACAGTGATAGTGCCTGCGGCTTGTGAGATAAGGCTTGGCATTTTGATTGGCTCGGCACGCACTGAAAGATAACGCTGGTGGCAGCTCCAAACAGACTGGGAAACCAATCGAATCGCTTGCCAGCTGCCTCAGCTAAATGCTACAAATACATGAGCTAAACACATTCAAACATACACTTTCAACACTCGGCTTTTCTTTGCCCCTAATTGAGCAGCTCCCAAATTTCCAAGGTTTAAGTTTCGTTCGCGCTCAACTGAGGGCAAAGCCAAAACCAAAAATGTTTGCACCCAGAAACCACAGCTTATACACATACAATATAGAATAGAGATCAATGCAGACACTAGATCTGAATATCCCTTAGATATATCCAATTAATACAAACGAAAACCCAAAAGACTGATTTTATCTAGAACTGAATTTTTGCCCAAAATTTGATGCAAACTTCCTGTAATAAAGAACTTTGCTCAAAAGTCAGTATTCTAATTCGGCTCTATGTAAAATCAAAAGCAAAATTTTATTTTAAAATAATTTTTAAAATATAAATTTTATTTTAAAAAAATTTTGGGTGTAATGTAAGTATTGCCAAAAAACTGAAAAACCAAAAAACAAAAATATCTAAATGCAAATTGTATTTCATGTAAATTTTTCTATGAATCAGAATTCTTTATCAAAATGCATTTCACTGGCAGTTATTGCACTAAAAAGTGCAAAAAACTGACTCAGTTGGGCAAAGCGCTTGAAATTGGCCCTCGAAATTCAATACGTGATTTGGTAACAAATTGGCAAACACTCTAAAAAAAAAAAAAAAAAAGAAAACTGCTGAAAATGCGCTTTGCTCGATCTGACCGAAATCGACAAAAGCTTCATTCACCAAAAAACCCATTGTTCTATATTGAATGTATTGGTAACTTAATGGTCATAAAATAAGAAAATTTATCAAATAATTTCTATCACTGATTGGCTAAAGCTCTTCGATCCCTCAATCGCTGTGCATATCAATGGTCAATCATCGATCGCTCGCTATCAGCCGGCATGCTTTGATCATAATCGTAACCTTAGCTGTATATGTTTCTTCTAAGCCCAATCCGAAAACATTATCCGCCCAAAATAAATAGCTCCCTCATAGGCATAATACATTATATACAGTGCGTTTCGAAACTATAGAGAAAGAATGATATGAAATCAGAGTCATTAATATATATAACTCAGATGTTGGTAATCTTATAGTTGGGAAACGGACTGTAGATTGGCTATAATCATATTCAACTGCTCGAATCGTCAGCGCCTCCATATCGTGCTATCGTTTTCGAAATTTCCGTCAATCTAGTTCTGTTGTAATTACTTGTGATACGCTCCTTTGGCTATTTACTGATCCATACCTCTATCCTTTGTTTCTCGCCACATGCCGAATAAAAACACAACCCAACCCAAAAACCACAATATCGCTCTAAAAATTGAACCGATGCACCGAACAAATTGAAACAAAAACCAATACGTTCAGTCGTTCAAGGTAAACAAATCAAAATCCGATTTTAAAATTAAGTTTTTTTGATTTCTTCTAAGTTGCATTTTGTGTTGCATCCCTTGCTAGATTTCCTATGCATGATTTTCTCCCAAAAAATTTTAAGGGGCATTATATTTTTGTAAATGAGAGAGTCTTAAAAAATGAATTCTGAACCACAACATAATTAGAAATTTGTTGTTAATCCAGGACATTTCTAAATATTTAATGTACAGCACAAGTTTAGGTTGGCAAATAAAACCAATGCACATGATGCTTTAAAAGATTCCAAATATTGTTTTTAAAAGGGACTTATTATTACGATATTCTTCATTTTATATTTTTATCAAGGTTCTTTAAAAGACTTAGCTTTTCTTGATTTTTTTTTGTAATGTTTGCAACATTTTTAATATATATTAAACCTGTAATATTTAATTCGCTGTACATTTTTGACAAGTGCACGCCGTTCAATAGTAATATTGTACATAAAGGAACCATACCGTTTGCCTGCCTCACTGCAAAATGCCTAAGAACAACGAGAATTTAATCTATTTCCCTTGTGCTTCATTTCAAACGTTCTTCTGTGGCGGAACAACTCGGGCAATCTGCGTGGAACCCAAAACCCAAACTAAATTTATGTTTAAATTACATTTTATTTGATCTTATCCCTGACTAAATCACTTCAAATGAAAAAAAAAAAATGAAATATTTCTTCAACCACTCCGTTTAAAATAAAACTGATTTAGTTTATGAACGTAAGTAAATAACACACCAGCAGATCAAGAACAAAAATCACAACAGTCATCAAGTGCAACGCTTTGCTATCAAATTGCCATCCAACCCAACCACCGCACAATAAGTACAGTAATTTTCAGATTTTGTTGTATCGAAATCTCATTAATTCAGCAGTTTGTAGTGAGTCATTGCATTATACCCATTGATTCACGACCCAATTGGCCAGCCATTCATATTCTCTTACTAAAGATGTGTATAAATTGGCTTATATTAAATTCTGATATTGTATTATTTTCATAAATGTTTAAACGTCTCCCAAAAGAACACAACAAACCTAAAAGGCTTATGCGTATCCTTCTTCCTTTTGTAATTTATTTAGTTTATTGAAATTTTTATGATATGAATGTTCTTTACTAATCTTATACTATACCTTTGAAGGAGAATGCTGAGAACGGTGCTTTGCGAAAGTTCTACGAAGTTATTATGGACAATGGTGGAGCAGTTTTGGACGACATCAACAGTTTGTCTGAAGTGACCATTTTGGCTCCCAGCAATGAGGCTTGGAACTCATCTAATATCAACAATGTTTTGCGGTAAGATATCTCAGATTGACATTAAGGTTTATAATTTATATATAAATGCATTTTGCAGAGACCGCAACAAGATGAGACAAATCTTGAACATGCACATCATCAAGGATCGATTGAATGTGGATAAGATCAGGCAGAAGAATGCCAATTTGGTAAGACCATACTTAAGCTTTTATTTGGTTTTGCCAAATTAACCATTATGGCCCACAGATTGCTCAGGTGCCCACTGTCAACAACAACACCTTCCTGTACTTTAACGTTCGTGGCGAGGGAACAGATACTGTCATCACAGTTGAGGGTGGCGGCGTAAATGCCACAGTTATCCAGGCCGATGTGGCCCAGACTAATGGATATGTCCACATAATCGATCACGTATTGGGCGTTCCTTACACTACAGTTCTGGGTAAACTTGAATCCGATCCCATGATGAGGTAAGATTGATCATAAATCTGTATTAAAACAATACTTAAATTTAAATTTATTCCCAAAGTGACACCTATAAAATGGGAAAGTTCTCGCACTTTAACGACCAGCTAAACAACACACAACGCCGTTTTACCTACTTTGTGCCCAGGGACATGGGCTGGCAGAAGACCGAGCTGGATTACCCATCGGCTCATAAGAAGCTCTTCATGCAAGACTTTTCCTATCATGTAAGATTATTTCCCTGCTAAAATTTTTCCTCAATACTCACATTTTAATGTAACCACAGTCCAAGTCCATTCTGGAGCGTCATTTGGCCATTTCGGATAAGGAGTACACCATGAAGGATCTGGTCAAGTTCTCTCAGGAATCGGGCAGCGTTGTCCTACCCACGTTCCGCGACTCTCTTAGCATCCGCGTGGAAGAGGAGGCTGGACGTAAGTATAACCCTTAAGAAGCCACGGGCTCCACTGCTTCTCCTTTTCAATTCAAGTCGATTCGATTCATTTAAATTTGATTTAATTGTATTGGTCCTTCCCCTACCGTGCTGCATTACTAACCAAACCTGTTTTCTACAACTCTCAAACTAAATTTCTCGCTTACTGCTTAATTAAATCTAATCGTTGTCCAATCGAAAGATCTCCATGATGACCATGCTAGTCACGAATGGACTGGTGAGTGCTAACGTTTGTCAAATCCACAACGCACAGCCCACAATAAAACCCCAGACCTGGCCAAACATGCCCACCCATAGCTCTGTCATTGGGCAATCCACTATCATTAACCACCCATCGAGTGCATAATCTTGGGATTTTATCCGACCATCTCTAACGAAGGCTTTTTCCATTTGCAGGTTATGTGATCATCTGGAACTATAAGAAGATCAACGTTTATCGACCTGATGTGGAGTGCACCAACGGTATCATCCACGTCATCGACTATCCACTCCTGGAGGAGAAGGATGTGGTCGTGGCCGGAGGTAGCTATTTGCCAGAATCAAGCATTTGCATCATCTTGGCCAACCTCATAATGATAACAGTAGCAAAGTTCTTGAACTAAACGCATCCGATATGTAAAAAACCAATCAAAATATCCAAAGCAAATGCAAATCAAACACCACCACCACAACAACAACAACAACAACAGTCGTCTACAGAACAAGAATCAAGAACATTCAGAATCAGACTAATGTGACACATCCACATGGATGTAAATAATCAGCACTAGTTTGTTGATGCCGATAGAAAACCACAAGCAACCAAAACTGTATCTGTAATATATGCGTCACAAGGAACGATCATCATTTCATTCCACGACCAATCCATCCCATTTACATAACACTCAGCCCCAGCAAAACATACAGAAAGACAGACATGCATGCAGAAAACTGCCTGCTGAATTTGCTTTACCATCGACAGCTTTTCCCTAAAAAAAAGCTGGCAAGAAAGATTAGGATGATGATAATGAAACCCTTACTTTTAAGTATTAAACTCGATTTTCCCTCAACGGCCTTATGTATAATATGAAATATGAAACTCTGTAAAACATTTTATTTTTATGTTCGATCTATACTGGTAGCTTACGTTCATCAGCTCGCTATGTTTTAAGTTTAGACCCACATTGACATTGGTATCTTACCATGGAACATCCGATTGTGTTTATGATTTTAAGTGTACATTTTTTTGTGAATTGCTTGTTTTAGTTAATGGTCTAATTTATGATTTATGAAATGAGTTATCTTAAGTAGAATGCGAATCTCATTGTACATGTCGAAGAAGAAGCGAAGCAGAAGCAATAAGCGCATCACACAATCTCATACTCGAAAGAAAAAAGCCCACACACATTCCTAAACATAAATACCAACATACACACCAACATGTAACGAAACGAAGTCATTGTAAGATTTAAAAAGTGTGAAATTTTATAATAAACTGAAAGTTTTTCATTTAAACTTAACTATTAAGCCCGCCAGCATTCTTGTCTCGACCCAAATCGAGAGACCCCAGTAAGCTCAGAACTATATCAAAGTCGGACAAGAAATGTGCAACCAAGCTAGCAACAGGCTCAATTATATGAACAGCAATCCTGCACTTAGTTATTAGCCCGCTATGCATGTGAATCCCCCCAGAAAAGAACACACACGCCCACAAACACACACCAACCACTTGGAGCGAGATTAGCCACTGCAACTAGGTTAGTCCAATGTAAAACAAGTTTCGAAACTGCCGCCAACTACAACAAAAACTATAGCATACATTCAATATACCCTGTAATCTAAATCACTCACGGGACACTTACATGTCATTATTGAATGGATTTTGATACCGATTTTAACTTGCATACAAACAAAAAACAAAAACCCAGAATAACAAGATGAGAAATCGAACTAAATTCTCCCTCGCCCGAGCAGTTGCATTTTAAACTTTGTATGTAGTTTAAAACTAGTTATTAGTCCGATTTAGAACAAACCCAATCGCTAACTATATACCAACTCTCTTTCTATTTCTCTCTGTCTCTCCCCCTAATGCTATGTACTTATAGGTTAGACATTGTAACTAGCGTAACCAACCCAAAGCGTAAAAGCACGAGCGTTAAGTTGAACACAAAAAAAAAAAAAAATCAAAACACATAAATGTACTATCCCAAAAAGAATAACTATCAGCCTACCAGTACACACTGTCTCAACTTTCACCACCACCACCACCCACATAGGAACTCAGTCGAAAACGTAAACCCAGTTGTGGCAGTCGCTTCACGTAGTTGAAAATTCCCGATCCGATCGGAACTTTCCGGCAGTCTTATCTTTAGTAGGTGGTTTTAGTTTCGTTTGGTGCAGTGCAGTGTCGCCGTAGTAGCTAAGAGAAAATGTATGAAATGAATATGAAATCGAAAGCTTAAAATTGGAAATGTAGAAATGAAATACGCTAATGAAAATGTACACGTAAGCTTTAAAGAATCGCTGGAAGAGCGCGGATCGGAGAATTTGGAGATGGAAGAACCGCATTGCAATTGCAATTTGTGTCGTAGTCAGTGTCAGTAGTTACACGATAAGCGACGTCTTAACGTGTAACTAGTGCCTTACTAAAGATAAACGCATTACCTTAACCTTTATACAAATTTACTCGAAACATACTTGTACCCAAAAAACATACGTTCCGCTTCGAAAGATATATCCAGATATATATGGATGTACACCCAAAAACAATACAAGTATAACTACAAATGATATTGCGCCACACGCTATTTACACCAAAATACACCAAACAAATCGAGAAATGCATATTTTTCATATATTTAATTGTCAGAATAATATAACGTAATATGTAGTTTATTTACTGTAAAACTCAAAAATCTCAAAAACAAAAAAAGAAAAGAAATTAAATCACATATTTGATGTATATTTAGCAATTGAGTTTTGAGCAAGCGTTAGACACGGGAATATATATTAATAAAAATATATACATACAATATGCGAAATCAAGCAAACTATGGAAAACTGCAGTGCAAAAGAATATTATTCCATTTTATTTTACGACAAACGCTTTTTACAAATAAACCGAATCCATTTAAATTACTCGTAAATGAACAGCAAGATTATATTTAGCATTAGTTAAACTAATTAATACATGTACTAGAAAACAGAATGTCAACCGAGAATCTTCAGCAAGCTTGAGCGAATAATAAAACTTTAAAATTAACTATAAATAAAAGAAAATGTTTTTTCTTTTTTTAATGCAATAAATAAATATTCTAAAGGCCGTCTATTAAAACCTGTGGTATGTATACTTTTTTATTATTTGAAAAAAAAAGTTAAGTGCTACATTGTTTAGCTAACAGTATAGGCGTGTAAACGTACCTATATAAGGAGTAAATATGCAGGACTTTTGTTTATAGATCCACTGTTCCGCAATTGACGTTAACCAATGGACGCTACTTGACAATGATATTTTTGGAATGTTCAACTCGAAAAGCTTTCGATTTTTTAATCTAATTATATAAAACCTAAATATGCAGGACTTTATTTATAGATCCACTGTTCCGCATTATATTTTTGGAAAGTTCTGGTCGAAAAGCCTTCGATTTTTGTAAATTAAACAAATAAATATTTTTATATTGATTACAAAGATACGTGTATTACTTATTTGATTTTATTAAAAGTTTTAAGTTGGTTTTTTTTTCGACCGCTTACTCAAAGAAGTAGTAGTTTTATTATTTTACTACGGGACCTCTTCTTAAGCAGACAAAATGTTTTACAATCAATATAATTCTCAACATGCATTTTTATATTTAAAATGACTTAAATTCTTAAATTATTCTTGAATTTTTAAATTATACCCTTAATTCTTTAACAATTGTTATGGAGGAATACCCGTATTAGAAATAGTATACTATCGATACTGCGCGAGAAAAATACATGCCAATTATCGATGGTGTACTGTCTACGGTTTGACAGCACTAGGGCATAGAACATTTTATCTGAAAAAAGGAGAAGGAAAGGATCTCATTTTGCAATGGAAGGTGCTGCAAAGATGAATAATAAAAACGCATCGCCGTTACCACAACGCCAGCAAAGGGGCAGTCCAGCCAATAAGAATCTCGGCAAGCACGCATCTCCGAATCACAATGCCGCCATCGATGGTTACCCTGCTGAGAAAAAAGCAAAGTATGGGTCGAACAACCAGAACGGTGGCGGTGTAGGCGGTGCTGGTGGTGCCGGTGGCGGTGGCGGTGCTCGTGGTGGATTTGCCGGGAACCGCAATCGTGGAGGCCAGCAAAATCAAAACCGGCAGGGTTTCCAGGGTTCAAATAATGCAATTCAGAAGCAGGCTAATGAATCTCCGAAACCGGCTGCGAGCAATGCAGCATCAAAGAACATTGAACCCGCAGTTTCTAGCACAAATCAAACAAAACAGAATGCTAACCAGGGTCAGGGCAATCAAAGAGGCCAGGGAAATCAAGGTAACCAAGGAGGACAGGGCTTCAGAGGACGCGGTGGCCAGAATCAAAATCAAAATGCAAACCAGGGAAATCAAGCAGATAAAGGTGGTTTGGGAAATCAAGGAGGACGTGAAGGTCAGATTCAACAAAACCTAAATGCTAATCAGGGAAATCAAGCCGAAATTGGTAGCCATGGCAATCAAGGAGACCAGGGAAACCACGGAGGGCAAGGTAACCAAGGTGGACAGGGACCCCGAGGACGCGGCGGTGGTCAAAACCAGCCGAATCAGAATCAGCAAGGTGGTAATCAAGGAGGACAAGGCTATCGAGGTCGCGGCGGTGGTGGTAGTGGTGGTGGTGGTAGTGGTAGTGGAGGAGGTGGAAACCAAAATCAGCGTGGTAACCGCGGTAATCGCTCTGGAGGACAAGGCGGCATAAACAACTCTATAATGGGCGGCGGTGGTCAACGAGGAGAAGACTTCTTTATTACTCAACGTCTGCGGGGCATTGGCGGACCCACTCTTGAGCTGCCGAATATTGAAGTTTCAAGTGAAGATACAAAGTTTTCTGGGCGTAACCGCCTTTATGTAGGAAATCTGACCGGCGATATCACGGATGACGAACTGCGCGAAATGTTTAAGCCCTACGGCGAAATCAGCGAGATCTTCTCGAACCTGGACAAGAACTTTACGTTCTTAAAGGTGGATTACCATCAAAATGCCGAAAAAGCCAAGCGGGCTTTAGATGGTACAATTCGCAAGGGTCGCCAGATTCGCGTACGCTTTGCACCCAACGCAACCATTCTGCGCGTGAGCAACCTTAACCAGTTCGTGTCAAACGAGCTGTTGTACCACTCCTTTGAGATCTTCGGACCGATTGAACGGGCTATCATCACCGTGGACGACCGTGGCAAGCATACCGGGGAGGGAATAGTGGAGTTTGTGAGGAAGTCTTCGGCCAGCGCCTGTCTGCGTTTTTGCAATGAAAAGTGTTTTTTCTTGACTGCTTCATTGCGTCCGTGCCTGGTGGAACCGATGGATTTACCCGGCGACAGTGATGGCCTGCCGGAAAAGGCGTTAAAAAAGGTGCCTGAATTTTCTCAGGAGCGTAATATAGGACCGCGCTTTGCCGAAAGGAACTCATTTGAGCATGAGTACGGATCGCGCTGGAAGCAACTACATGGTTTGTTCAAGAGCAAGCAGGATGCTCTGAAACGGGAACTGAAAATGGAGGAGGACAAGCTGGAGGCTCAGATGGAGTACGCTCGCTATGAGCAGGAGACCGAACTTCTGCGCCAGGAGTTAAGGAAGCGTGAGGTGGACAACGAGCGCAAGAAGATGGAGTGGGAGATGCGCGAGAAGCATGCCGAAGAGATGCGTCAGCGCGAGGAGGAGACCATGCGTCGTCGTCAAAGTGAGATGCAGACCCATATGTTTCGTCAGGAGGAGGACATGCGCATCCATCAGCAGGAGAATGCCATGTTGCTCCAAGCCCAGCAACTCAACTCGCTGCTCGATCAGCAAGAGGGATTCGGAGTCAGTAGCAACACTGCCTTTGACAATTTTGAGTCACCATTTGAAGTTTTTAGGAATAATAACAACTCCAACAATTCTCCGAGGGCTGGAAACAACTCCGGTACTGCAGGGCAGGATAATTCAGATTCTTTCGATTTTCCAGCTGGCGGGAACCAGCGTGGCAACAATGCTGGCGGGAACCCTTCACCATGGGGCCGTCGACGCTTTTAGACACTGAACTAAATTATGAGAAAAAAAGCGTAATCTTGTTATTTACGCTCTACATTTGACTTTTTGCTCTGTTATGGAGTAAACAACATGAAACAAAAACATAAAACAAAGGGATCATGTAAGCGATGCATCCACCTATTACCATTTGATTTAATATTTACAAATATGTAATATTTATTTATTGGTCTCAACAAGGAATCCAACATTAAATTATGCTAAGGAAGCGACAAAAAAACCTTAAGAAATACACAAACCAAACACAAAGGGCTTGCTTACAAGATGTGCAGTATTGCAAAAAAACACAAGTTCCCCATTCACATTTTAACCATTGCGAACATATGTTTAACATAACGATAAACTTAGATATATGTAGAAACTATCTCAAATTTATCTATCATTCAAATTAAATATATGAAGATATGACTGAATTGTTTGTATATTCGTTGGAAAACTTAGACAAGGGTCTAAAAAAAGGAGGATTACTTAAAACTACTTGGCAATGCTTTTAATAAAACGAAAAGGAAACCCAATAACTCAATTGACTTTTATAATTTGTAGCATTTAGTTTTGTTTCAGAAAACGGTTTTAAATCCTATTAGCTACGACTGTTTGACGTTACATATTCATTATGGCCCTTTCTCTTTACGAAAGCAGCAATAAGAAAAGGCAAACAATTCCGCTAGGTATCTTCAGTCCCAAGATGCTGTCCCATATACATATCACGTCAATATGTAATCAATTGCACAAACAGATAACTATTTTTGTCCGCAGAAGTCATCTATTGTTCGACCCCCTTTGTTGCCTGCCCTTAATTACGTAGTTTTATGAGTGGCATTAAATATAACTTTTTTCTATGTTTTAAGAGGTTTAATAAAGTATAAACAATAAGGTTTTTAGGTTTTCAATAATAAATACAATTCTAACATTTATGATTGCAGATTTTTTGATTTATAAAATATTCATTCCAATCAGCTCCAAAAAAGAACGTTTCGATTCCATTTGGAGTTTTAATATAATCGAAAAATAATTTTAAATAAAAAACTATCTGGAACATGCCAAGGATTTAAAGCGGAGTAAGGCACAATTTTAAAGTCCGCCAATATATAAAAAAGTCATTTAAAGCTAAATATCGATATTACCAAGAATAAAGCCAATCGATGTCTGGAAAAAAACTACCCCTATGTTAGCTTTTTTCGAACGGTAAAGTACGGGCACACTGAGGCTTTGGCTTAAAAAAACTCAACGCCTAGGAAAATTGATTTTTCGCTCAAACCGAAAGCAACACCTTTTTGGCTTCAATTACACTCAGAACCGAAGTCCGGTCTTGATAGAGACAAAGAAAAGTCAGGATGGCAGCATCGCAGGTTGACCAGGTAATGAAAGAGTGAAATTATCGAAAGCTTTCCGGCCGGAAAATAGCGTCGCCATTGCGAGGAAAACCAAGGAACTGAACTTGCCATTTTCCCCAACAGAAACGTGCCCTCAACAAGCTAAAGCACGATTTAGAACCATTCCGGACAGCCATCGTGGGAGCCTACGGCGTTCTTACCTGGGAGAAGCAGTACTATGCAGGAGTAGTTTTCGGCGCCATCAGTGTTTTGTACTTGGTGCTTTGGTATCTGGACCTCTCACTGATCACCCTGATTTCGCTCCTCGGACTTATTAGCATATTACTGGACTTTGTATTCCCTACGGTATCGCGTTTGCTTTTCGGAGGTGTTAACTGGGATGGCGACCAGGAAGCCAAATTCGAGGATGTCTGCGGCCAGGTGTGCGCCGTTAAAGGCAACATAGTGCTCTGGTACGAGTATCTCTTCAAGGAGCGAAAGTCCACAGTGGTGAGTAACTTTGGCAGAACATTTAACATTTATAACAACTGGCAAAAAAGTGAAATCACGTTCTGTGATCGTATATAAATAAATAGTTTTAAAAATGGCATAGACTAATTCGACAGGATTTTACAAATAATTTATGCAAAACATTGAATTCAAAAATTTTCGGTTATCAATTATTGCGATAAGTTGCTTATTTATTTTACCTAAATGTTTCTCCTTACAGTTCGTAATCATCATAAGCCTAGGACTTTTGGCTCTTGCCTGGATTGGGGCCATTATAAACAATCTTCTTTTGATGTATCTGGCCACGCTGCTGATCGTAATGTGGCCTGGACTGCAAAATAAGGACGTCTTTAAGGGCATTACCCAAAAAGCCTCAAAGATAATCAACGATAAAATCCAGTGCGGCAAAAGGAAGCTGCAGTAAAAAAAATGGCATAAAAAAAGCAGATATATTCATCACCATTTGACCAAAAATATAAAATCAGCCTAAGTCATTTCCTTGCCATCATGCACACAATGCAACTCTCATTAAACACACTGTCGAGTATAATTGAATTGAACTATAGGTATCTTAAAAGATAAGTGCAGCATTTTGAAAGTATTCTCATCGGATATCTAGAAAATCCCGTCGTGGTCTTGTTTCATAACATCTTCTACTATAAGTTTGTAACATGTAAGACAGATAGAATCTCGAAGCGGGGCAAACGGAGAGAGAGAAAAAAGAACGCGCAACAAAAGACATTTTTGTGATTATTTTGTGAGTTAATTGAAATTTATGATAATCCCAAGTAAGATACAAAAAGACCTTAAGCGTCTAATGAACTATATTTAAATAAAGATTTCAACTGAATAGATCAAATCACTACCGGTTTCTTGATCTGGACCGCGAACGCGATCTAGCGTGCTTGCTCTTCTTGGTCTTCTTTTTGTGCTTACTAGGATGCCTACGTTTATCTTCAAGGCTTTCATCACTCTCCGAACTTGAGTCGTGGTCAGCTTTTCTCGATTTATTTTTTGACTTCTTCGAATGTTTCTTGGACTTTCGGCTGGATGATTTTTTCTTGTGATGCCTGCGCTCGTATGCAGAGTCAGAGTCACTTTCAGTGGACTCTCCCGTGTCGTCGGCCTCGTCTGAACTGCTTTTTGCCCTTCTGCTACTCCTAGGACTTGGCGAACGTTTCCGCTCCCGATCCTCACGGTTAGGTTTAGAGGAGCTTCTGCTACTCGGATTCGGTGAACGCCTCCTCTCCCTCTCCTCGCGCTTAGATGTGGTAGAACTACTTCGTGGGTCCTGTACATAGTACTTCTTGTCTCGACCTTCCTCTTTGTACGATTTTGACTCTTCTTTGTAAGGCCTGTATGATTTCTGATTATCGTTCTCGTATGATCTACGATTTTCCTCTTTGTACGATTTTTTTTCTTCATCCTTGTAGGATCTTTTATCTTCTTCCTTGTATTTTCTGCGATAATCATCGTTGCCAGATTTCTGTTGCTCCGACTTAAAGCTCTTGCGATCTTGGTTCTCGTCCCGATGTAATCTTTCTTCCTCCCTGAGGTTTTTATCTCTTCTCTCTGTTAATCTCTCTTGCTTCACAATGATCTGACCATGTTCATTTTCATATTTTTTAAACTCTTCGTACTTGGCAGTGTCTGAAAGTGAGAACACATGTTACTACTGCTGTTTTATTGATAGGTTTTTGAAGGAATTACTTACTTATGCACTTTCCATACTGGGAGTACTCTTTTCGGGACACTGGTTGACAGAGGAACTCGTTAAAGGCCTCCTTGGTCCCTCCAATAGCCATTTTGACAATAACTCTTCCGGCATGATCGTCAAAGCCCTGAATTTGTCCGTACTGATCCTTCTGCTTGCCTCCCAAGATCCGAACGTAAGCCTGTTTTTTGATCTCAAGCACCTCGTTCTTTTCTGGCTGGACCAGCAGAGCTTTAGGCTTGAGGGCCTTATCTGCTCCTAGACCCATTCCCTTGGGTCGTAAGAAGGGTGCATCGTCAATGGGTCCGGAACCCTTTTTTTTTGGTGGCGGATCCACCCAACCCATGCCGCGCAGCATGGCCAGGCCAAACTGCTGAATAGGTATATTGTCATAGTCATCCAGTGTTGCCTCCTTTGCTCCATTGAGTGGGAGTTCGTCCGCTTTAACGGCCGGCAAGACGAGTTTTTGACCATCTGATCCCTCTGTGGCATTATTTTGGCTGGCAGATATTAACTCCCGAGCTGCTCGCTGCTCCAGGCTTTCAGTGGGACCTCCTGCGGTGACTTCCGCAATCGATTGCGCCTCTGGAGTTATCTCCTCTGGGTCAGGTTCCTCCTCGCCCAGCAGAACGGCTCTCCGCTTCATCAAGCTGGCCAGAGCGGATGAAGTCTTTTGCATGCCGATCATTTGAATAGTCAACGGAGCGGCCACAGCCTTTTCACTGTAAATACAGTTTTAATAAAATATATAAACAATAATATTAATTTGACTTACGCCACCGGCATGATTTCATTACCCTCCAAACATTTTATTAGCTCCACTTTGCTTTCCACTTTAGGCTGCTTGCTGGGCAGAATATTAGGTTTCTTTGCCAACTTACTGAAGCCAAAAGATATCTTTTTGGCGTCCATTTCCTTGTACTTTTAACTTATTAATAAATGCCTAACTAACAAGTACAATATATAGAATATGATGCCAAAAGTCTTCGTAAACAAACGAGATCAGCTGTTTTATTGATATCGATATTAATTGAAAGTAAACTAATTAAATGGATCGTTTACACTGCAGTCACGTTTTATATGCACCTAGTTGAATAAGTTTCCTGCTGGTAATCTCGAGATTTAAGAAAGAATTCAACGGCAACGGTACTATGCTTCATCTGGTTTTTTTCCTTTAAAATTATTTAAAGATTACAGTAAGGTTGGTTATTTGTGAGTTAATCACTGTTACTGTGAATGTTAATGCGACATCGATATGACAGTGCAATCATATTGTTTGTAGATATCGATACTTGCAAAAGCTGCTGGTCCGAAATTGTACAAAATTTGAATTAAACTTTTAATATATAAAGAAACTTAGCGCAAAGTAAGTGAGAAAATAAAACAAATTAAGTGCAGGACATTGCAGAAGTAATCAAAAAGCCGGTCTTCTCAATTTTCTATCGAACCTTCTCGAATAGTGTGTCATCGGTGGTTCTAACCTCAATCATTCTCTTTCAAACAGCGGCAGCGCCAGCACGAGTTCAGTTGTTTTCACGCAGAAATAAATTAGATAGCCAGAAAAATGTTCGGTGGACAGCAGCCAATACTCGTGTTGAGTGAGTATAAAATTTCAACCTCGTTGATCTCAATTTCAATTGATTATTCTGCCGGCAGGTCAAAACACAAAGAGAGAATCGGGCCGCAAAGTGCAGTTGGAGAACATACAAGCCGGAAAGGTATGACTCACATGTCTGGGATTTGGGTTTTCGAGTTATCGTGTTTTCTGGCCATCTGCTGACTGTAACTACTTTTTCCAGGCCATCGCCGATGTGATACGTACATGCCTGGGACCCCAGGCCATGCTGAAGATGCTGATGGACCCAATGGGCGGTATAGTTATGACCAATGATGGCAACGCCATTCTGCGCGAAATCACTGTGCAGCATCCGGCAGCCAAGAGCATGATCGAAATCGCCCGCACACAGGACGAGGAAGTCGGCGATGGCACCACATCGGTCATCGTTCTTGCCGGCGAAATGTTGGCTGCCGCCGAGCCCTTCCTCCAGCAACAGATCCACCCCACTGTGATCATCCGAGCTTACCGTGAGGCCCTTGAGGATATCGTCGGTCACTTGCAATCGCAGTTGAGCGTCCAGCTAGACGTCAAGGACAAGGCTAAGATGGCCGAGGTGGTCAAGGCCTGCGTGGGCACCAAATTCATTGGCAAATGGTCCGACCTGGCCGTGAAGATCGCTTTGGATGCCGTGGAGACGGTGACGCTCAATGAGAACGGACGTCTGGAGGTGGACATTAAGCGGTAAATAGACCAATTACCGTGTAATTTTTTATTATTCAGGATTTTAATTATTTCTTTTGGATTTTATATTTTTTTAATATATAGAGGATATTTAAGGATTTATTTCTAGACAGTTACTGTTACTATATTTTAATGTACTAATTAATTTCTGTATTCCCATAGCTATGCAAAAGGTGGAGAAGATTCCCGGTGGCGCCATCGAGGAGTCGTGTGTGCTGAAGGGCGTTATGATCAACAAGGACGTGACTCACGCCAAGATGCGTCGCCATATTGAGAACCCCCGCATCGTTTTGCTAGACTGCTCGCTGGAGTACAAGAAGGGCGAGAGCCAGACCAACGTGGAGATCATCGGGGAGCAGGACTTTACCCGCATGCTGCAGATCGAGGAAGAGTTTGTTCAGCGCATCTGCGCAGATATCATTGCTGTGAAGCCGGATCTGGTCTTTACCGAGAAGGGTGTCTCTGATCTCGCCCAGCACTACCTTCTGAAGGCTGGCATCACCGCCATCCGCCGGCTGCGTAAGACCGACAATCTCCGTATTGCTCGTGCCTGTGGAGCTACCATTGTGAACCGCACAGAGGAGCTGACCGAGAAGGATGTAGGCACGGGAGCTGGCCTATTTGAGGTCAAGAAGATCGGCGATGAGTACTTCACCTTTGTGACAGAGTGTAAAGAGCCCAAGGCCTGCACGATTCTGCTGCGCGGTGCCAGCAAGGACATCCTGAACGAAACCGAGCGTAATCTTCAGGACGCCCTTCATGTGGCCCGTAACTTGGTGTTGGAGCCGCGTTTGGTGGCTGGAGGCGGAGCCGTGGAGATGGCTGCTTCCCAACTGCTTTCCCGAAAGCAAGTCAAGGGACCATACACGGCGGTGGCCCACGCCTTGGAGATCATACCGCGTACGTTGGCCCAGAACTGCGGCGCCAACACGATCCGCGCCCTCACCGCCCTGCGCGCCAAGCACGCCTCCCACACTGGCGATGGCGTATGCGCATGGGGTATTGACGGCGAGTCTGGAGAGATCGTGGACATGAACGTGAAGAACATCTGGGAGCCACTGGCCGTAAAGCTGCAGACCTACAAGACCGCTGTGGAGACGGCCATCTTGCTGCTGCGTATCGACGATATTGTCTCTGGATCGAAGAAACGCGGCGGCAACGAGCCCACCAACCCAGCTGCCATGGCCCAGGGTCAGGAGTAGTAGCCTGCGATCAACCACGTGTATTAATAATGCTTACTATCCTTTAATTTTTAATTTAACACACAAACGAAAAAAAAAAAAAATCCCACACACGCCACCCCGAATGTTTAACATTTAGCTTGGGCCAGGCAATGCTGGCTTCTCTGGAAGGAAGAAACGCATCCGCGGGCCGCCTACACACAAATTCTGATGCATTTGCTCTCATTAACAGTACACAAATAAAATTGTTAAAACTCATAATTGCTTTGTTTAAACTACATTTTGATTTACAGAGCAAAACAATTAAAAAGGTTTTTATTTGATTATTTTAAAAATAATTTATAAAAGCTACTCAATCATTTTATTTTTGCGCCAACAATGCATTTAAAAAAATCTTTAAGAAGACATCCAATCTTTCTACAAATATAGTATGCAAATAAGCTTAACTTTGGTCTTTGGAGTCTGCGCCTTCCACATTCACCTCGTATAGCCTTTCGTCCATTAATTTGAGCACCTCAAGTCCAATAGAAGTGAAGCGGGGATACAGATATCTGGCAAACAGCTCTAGGCAGTTGGGTTCTTCCTGGCCATCGTCCAGCTGAAGGTGATTCCTAAGCCAGGCCAACAAAGGTGGCTTGTGAGAGTGCACAATGCTGGGTACGCTGAAAAATAGCTCAATCTCTTGGACATCTTTCCCGTATTCCTTAGGAGCATCAGAACGACACGCTATGTAGAGCACCTCGTAGGGCTGTTTCTGAGTAAGATCTGCATGCGGAGGAGCAATCAATTGATGATCTGTGCTGAGTTTATACCAACGAAGCTTGTGAAGCAAGCGAAGTTTCCAGCTGGGCAATAGCTGTTGCTCTAGTGCCGTCTGATGCATTGGTGAATTGGTGCACCAAATGGCCACCAAAGATCTTGAGTGTGTGAGCTTGGCGAGCGGAATGTGCGACATTTGGTCATTGCTCATCATTGAATATCCAAGCTCCTGTTTGGCCCGCTTTAATCTACGGATATACCTATTTCGCCACGGAGGATCCAGCACGACGAGATCATATGCGGGCAGGAGTTGGCGAAGAAGTGTTGACAGATTATCCACATTGTGGTTGTAGAATCGGGCTCCATTGGGAATTAAGTATACGTTATGTCGTTCACCCTGCCCTTGGAATCGCTGCATCCGCCCACTCTCGTTGGCTCCATGGAGTTGGGGCACGTTATAGCCATCCTCCCAGTGCCTCTCTATCGGTGGAATTTCCCCAGCTTGAAGGGGCTTGTTCAGAATCTCAAGATATCCATTTACCAACTTCAGGTCCTCCAAAGATGAAGCATCTCCTTCACCGGTTTTCCTCTTGCGCTTCCTGGATTTTGATTCCTCCGGGTTCGTCTTTTTGACTTGAAATTGGAAAAGTCCAAGTCTGATTTTAAATTCGCCATAAGCTTCGTTTATAAGTTTCCTGTGGTCCAAGAAAATTGCGAATTTTGCATCGTCTGTTTTCTTTTGCAGTTTTATCATCACATTAAAATCGAATTGTTATACATTTTTACCTAAAAAATCATCCCTGCATCAATCGATATTTTTCTAAGGCGCTAAATATTGGACTTTAAATAAAAAATAATTCATTCATAAATGGCCGTGGTTAGTTAAATTTGTCTTTAATATTTAATTATATTAAGATTTTGCATGTTAACTTATCATAGTAACACCGAAATTTACTAAATATAAGTTAAATACATAAATGGAATCCGAATTCATCACATGAAATAACCGTGTTTGTTATTGCTTAAGTCAAAAAAATCATTTATATGGACTAGTAAATTCGCATGGAGTCTCAGATGTCCTCTACGGTTATAATAACTCAGCTCCTCAGTGGAATTTTCACATACAAATCTCAGCATACTCCATACTCCCAATTCATATTTGCATCGTTGGGGATTATGTTTTTGGGCTGCTTGCAGAACAAAGAAGGCAGGCGTAGATTCTACGGTAAACTTTTTGGGGACACTAACTCCAGATATATCCATCTTATACAGCTTGACTGACTCCTGTTTTAGTTTATCACCTAACTGATCCAGATTCTTCATTAGACTATTATTTACCTCCGTGCCATTTTTCAGGGAGTCGTAAAGACAAAGGGCTATATCTTCATCGGATGTGTATATAACTTCGTTCCAGCTGTCCAAGTTTATATCTTCGACTTTGGGATCTCTATATGAGAGTTCCCTAATGGTCCCACCCTTCACTTCGTGGCAGAAATTTCTTAGAGTTTCTACATCAGGCAGTTTTGGTCCACGGAAGTCGCCAAAGAAATGAACTTGTCCGGTCGGACTCACAACGTAAATCAGTGGATATGAATCTACGGAAAAGTCGTCGTCGTTACGGAAAAATTCAAAGTTGTCCTCATTGAAAATATACGACTGCCACATATCGTCCACGTAAAAGTCCATCTCTCCTTGCAGTTCCCCAGGGGCAGCTAGTTGGTAGACCATATCCATCCATTTCTCCAAAACTCGAATATCATCGGCAAACACATGAAGCATTATGAGTGTGAATCGTTTGTTGATTTCCCAAGATTTTCGCATTTTTCCCAAGTCGGGAAGACGTTTCAGTCTGTCTTTATATTTTTCCGGAAAGAAAGTTTTAAAGTTGGAAGGTGGCGGGTTGTAGCCGCAGTAATATCGTGACATGTTTCTCCAACTTAATTGCAGTAACAATTGAAATTACTCGATGGGTCACTTATAGCCGATTAGTCATAATATTTTGCTTATCTATAGTGATGGGTTCGATTTTGTTAAATTATCGATAGTAAAGGAAAAGTTAAATACTCTTTTTAACCGTTACAATATTTTTAACGTGCTTCACGTTATTTTTTCCAACTTTTCCTATTACTATTTGTTATTTTTCCGTTGAGTAATGTTTATTAAGTAAAAAGTAATTTAAGCCCTTCAATATCTCATTTGAACATAACGAACATCCGTTACCAAGCAACCTGCCAGCAGTAAGTTGTTGATGATTGAAATCAATAAAGCATATCTTAATCATAAGTATTGAGAGTATATACCAAAGTTACTTATCTAATCTATATGGCTGACCAAAGCGAACTAGACCAATTAGCCACAGCTGAATTGCAGAGGCTTCAGCGCCAACATCGGGGACTCCAACTGGACCTTCGAGGACTCCTCGAGGAGAAGGCCAAGCGACTGAAGAAGCAGAACCACATGATAAACGTACTTCAAGTGGAACACCAGAAGCTAAAGGACGAGATCAAGACCCTCGAAGGAGGCACTCACGCTCGGAAAAACACTAATGTGGGTGGCTTATCAACAGATAGATGGATATAATCTAAAGATTAACATATTCGCAGAGGGAAAAGCATTTGGGAACTTTGCAGGGGCAACAGGCTGATCTTCAAAGGGTGCTTCAAAATGAACGGACCAATCTTTGGGAGCTAGAAGGGCACATTCGGAAAATGGAAAAGGAAATCGATGCCCTGCGTCGTAATGAAGTCCCCGACAACTGCTACAAGGACAATATTTGCAAGGTCCAAAAGAGCGTGGTTAAGCTGGAGAACCGCTTGGATGTCGTCAACAAGAAGTGCAGCGATGTTCTTACGGAAAACAGCAAAATGAGAGATGCTATTAATCATATGCTCCAGGATCGGTGAGGAAGTTTTGGATAAAGGATATAAGGAGTCACCAATTATTACTTTTACTAAGATTCTTGAAAGGGTCTTTAGGACTCGTCCAAATATTTGTTTTCAGTGTTTTTGATTTTGACTTTGGTATCCGAATATTGACATTAGCATATAATCTATATCTCTATCTAAGTATCTTGTGTTAGACTTGTTGTATTTTAACATCTACCCTTTAATGGTCTTGACATTAGGGCAAACTTCAATGACATGTGGCAGTCGATGGTCACGCAGTTCAATGAGGGCAAAAAGTTTATCATGGATCTAATAGATCAGTCAACTCTAGCCTTTGACCAGCGCGAAGAGTTATGCAACAAGCTTTCCGTACTGAAGGATCGCAACGAGAACGATAAGGTGATGCACATCCAGGAGATGCGTGAAATGCAACGCCGCCTGGAGCACGATGCCAAGTTGCAGAAGTTCTTTGACATCAAGGGTCAGAAGCGATTGAATCCGGAGCTGGAACAACGTGAGCTGGACAAGAAGCAGAACCAGAAGGAAACTTATGAGAGGCAGCTTCTTGAGTACAAGGAAATCATTGAGAAGATCAAATTACTGTACGGCGAGGAGGATGCAGAGCGACTGGTGGCCCAGTTTAAGAGGCAAGAGGACGAGAATTTTGCTCTTTTTAACTATGTCAACGAACTAAGTCACGAGGTGGAAGTGCTAAATGATTCCACACAAGAACTACAGGATGAAATAGGTGGGTAAAGTTCCAGGAAAACATAACAGCATATACTAATGTATTATATTTATTTCGATCTGGATATAAACTCTAAATATTATATTCTTCAACAGAACGTCAGAAATCGGAGCAGACTGAAAAGGAGTTGAAGCTTAAGACCGAGGCACTGGATTATCTGAATGCCGAAAAGGAGCGAATCGAGCAACTGGCAGAGGAGACCAGGGAAAAGAAGCGCACCTTGAGCATCAGATTGGAGCAACTTCTTAAGGGTATCGAGGATATATTCAGGTGGTAAAAATTAGCGACTTACTGATACCATTGACTAATTGGAAAATCTTTTTATAGACAACTGGCCTGTGACGATGCTCCCATTCTAAATGTGCTCAGCACCAAGACCTTTTTAACAGTCCACAATGTGAAGCTTTTCATTGGGGTTATTGAGCGAAGGGTCAATCTGATTATCAGCGCTATCAATATCGAGGATAATTCCAACAAAATACTGGCCAGAAAAGATCGTGTTCCTAAGTTTAACATAAGAGAATCAGCTAAGACAAAGAACTAAACTTAAATCATTACAAAAAAAATATATAGATTATTCATTAAGCACAGTCAACCATATTCCTTAGCCATGAATCTTGTGAGTTCAAATAAAATGTCTAACCTATTCTGAAGTTTTGAAATATATCTTCTTGAGATGAATCAGGCGGTATATTGCTTTAAAAAGGTGAAGCTTGCTCTTCGAGAGATTAGCTTTATTTTATGATTTATTTATCCTTATATTAGGTAAGCATAGGCTGGAGAACAAAATAGTATGGCCACCGAATCTCTGCATTTAAATCTATTCTAATCACAAGGGTGCTAAATATGTTTCTGGACTCATGACCTGGTCTCCACGCTTCTATTCATCGCATTCACAATCATGTCCTCGAAATGCTGAATATTGGTCATCACAGTCAGGCTGTGGGCGCACTGATCAGCATTCGGTGCATTACTGATTACCCCGTAGAGGAAGTGGCGGGTGGTTTTAAGACCGGGAAAGGCGTCGGTTTCCAACGTAGAGGTAAATCCACCGCCACTGTCGCCCTGGCAGGCTAGTGACTTGCCCTGCGTGAAGATGCAGAACTTGTCCGCCTTGATATCCGGCAGATTCTGTTGGCACACGGAGTTTGACTTGGACACGGCTGGCACAAATTGGAGTTCGTGTTTGTTTTCGATGCTCCACCCGGCGAACATTCCTAGCACCTCATTCGTGACCCTCTCCTTCTCTGCAAATTTCACAAAGGTCACACAAATGGGTCGAATCACGTGGCTTAGCTCAAAGGGCTCATCGAGGGTCAGCAGAGCAAGATCGAAGTAGTAGTTATCCGTCCGGCCCTTGTAGTCTCTTTAAAAAATAATGAAAATGGTTTGAAATACGCTTAGAAGGAGTTCTTTCTACTTACCGTGCTATTTCGATGAGCCTCACATCTCGTTGCTTATCATCCGGCGTTGTCTCTCCATAATTACGATAGAACTTGGCCGCAATCACCCGAAAGGTATCGTAGCTATAGGGCCGACGGGTACCCTCGTCGTATACGCAATGTGCAGCGGTTATGACAAGATCGGGAGTGAGCAGCGATCCCCCACACTGGAAGTGGTAATCCTTCTCATTGTGCCAGACGTATCTGAAAGGGACTTTTGATAAGGAGTTCTAGGAGCTACATTGGATAGACTCACAGTCCCACATGCCACGGCACAACAGTATTGTTGATGGTATAGCCGTTAACTGAGAAACTCTTGGTGGGCGTGGCTATCTGACCGCAATCCTGTTGACATCGCTGGCGTCCGCGGTTCCAATAGCCACCTTTCATGCACCTCATTTCCGGCAATCTGCTAAAGGACTTGAATCCAGTAGAGCAGACGAATTTCACTTCTGTTCCAGGCGGATGGAAAGGTTTGCGGCAGTCCACTTCTTGACCATTGTGAGTGCACAAGGCCTTGGTGGAGTAACCTTCGAATTCTCCAGCAGTGCTGCAGTATTCTACGGAAAAGGATCACATATGAGAAATAATGTCCAGTGAAGAGGTTGAGATGTGGCACTCACTCACGCATTTCGGGATCGTGGGAGAACTCCACTTATTCTTGGCACAGTAGCTGGTCTCCTGGCCCTCCAGCACAAAGCCCTGTTTGCAGGAGAAGCGCACAGTTCCACGAAGGATGGGACCTGTAATGATACGGTTGCCATCACCCGTCAAAATGGGACGTTCGTCGCCTATTGGTAGTGGGCATCCTATCAACTCCAGAGGCGTCTCAATTGGGTTGGGGGTGGTCACCTTTTTGGTAGTGTTACAAAGCAAGGGAGCCTCATCAGATCCATCAAAGCAATCATTATCGCCGTTGCAGGACAAAGATCCCGAGATGCAGCCACCGGTTCCGCACTTGAAGGAGTACGCCGGACACTCCATATGCCCACACAGTTCCACAGACTCATCGAAGCCTGTGCCATCTGCACAGTCGTCTTTGCCGTCGCACAGGAAGGTTCCCTTGTCCAGGCAGATTCCGGATGGGCACTTGAACTCATTGTCCCTGAAATAGTAAGTCCTTTTAGAGAGCACCTTCTTGTTTAAGAGCAATAATATAACACTCACTGACAATTGCCCTGCAGACGTCGAGCATGCTGGCGGATATCGTCCTCGTTGCCACATCGCAACAGCGTCTCGTCGGAACCATCTGCGCATTCGTTGACCCTATTGCAGCCCGCTGTTCCAATCACACATGCCCCATAGGTGCACTGGAAATAGGGCTTGGTGCAATGCTGCCGCTGGGAGACGCAGGTCAGGGCCGTCTCATCGGAACCATCTGGGCAATTCTTCTCGCCATTGCAGACATCATATTGCGATATGCAGTTTCCGTTGTCACACTCAAACTGGGAGGTGTCACATTTCGCTAATACTGAGGATAATTATACGGATTATTAAGATATTTTTGATTTATTAATACTCTTTCTTATCAAAACTTTTTAATTTGGAACGGTTTAAGCGGAATTTAAAGTTGGTTTATAGCAAATCTCTGCTTATTTTCCTATTACAGAATTATTTTCTTTATTTAAATCAAATTATGTAATTTATCCGTTTTATTGTAAATAAAATTAAAAATTAACGAATTTAATTTGTTTTTGTTTCTAGAACTTTTTCAGTTATGAGTTCTTAGATTTTGTGTCTTTGTATTGGTGGGTAACTAATGAATTTATTTAATTAAAACAAGCTAGTTATATACCTACTTTTCTTGATTCACTTACTAATGTTTACTTTTCTCTGTATAACGTTTGAAATAATTATTTCTTTATTTTTACCTTTATAGATCTTCTTAGCTTGTATTGTTAATGAATATTAATATTTCCCAGAATTATAATTGCTGTAGTTGGCTTAAGCTGACTGCGAAATCTGCCGGCACCTTCACTTAAAATATCACGATTATATTAATACTATTTACTTCCGTAAACATTTGCTCTCTTCATATATATATATATACTAAACAAATAGAAATTCGCCAGAAATAAACAAAGATGACTGATGGGAATGCAACGCGAGATTTCAAGATGAACCGGCTTGAATCTCGTTTTAAGCCTCACTCTCAGAGAGGAACTTCGTTCTGTAAAAGCATTTGCTGTATGTCAGTATGTGTTTAACAAATTCTCACAAATATATATATATATATATATATATATATATATATAAAATATTTATTTTCGTTCGTTTGGTATTATCATTTTGAACTTTACTCACTTGTTCTGAGCCTCAATGAGACCACGCAGAGAATCAATAGATTTGATAAAATCGATTTAAGTTGCATATTCTCTGGATTGCACTTCGTCTTTCGGATGCACAATTAATGCACTGGAGAGCACAAGACACTCACATAGGTATATATATATTATTAAATATAGTGCGTACTGATAAAAGTTGTTAGGAAAATCACGTGTCGATGAAGCTTTGAACGACTCCGACCGAGCTCACAAAGGGAACTGAGCTGAGCTACACTCAAGTTGGATCTTATAATAACAATCGGAAAACGTGTTTTAAGAGCACCTTATCGAAAGCGATTTAAATGCTAAGAGATTTTTGGGCTTCTAATCTATAACAACGGTGGGGTACTGAGTTTTAGATTTGAGAATTTTAAAACAAGGAGCTTGGAAAGTTTTTGTTGTGAAAAGGCTTAAGTAAAAAAATAATAATGTGCTTTTTTTCCAGAAAACAGAAGTGACATATATGAGAGTCTAGAAACATAATTCTAGGTGTTCTCCAGGCTAAACAATTTTTTAAAATAAAGTAAAAAATGCTTCTTTAATTTAAACATTCGAAAGATTCATTTTCTATCCAATAGAAAGCTCTTTGCTTTGAAGAAGAAAAATAATTTAAAATACGACATTCTTGAATCAGATTTATAACATGCTCTTTCTTTGGCACTCCTTTCATAAGTCTTTTAAAATAAAAAAGGGAAAATAATATTTAACTATTTAATTTAGTAACTGATAAGAAAGGTTTATTTCCTGGCTTAAATATTCGAAACGTTTTCGAAAAAATTACGTTAGAAAATCACGTCGTACGTGTAATGGTACGAGTCTTTGCTATATTTAACTGAATGGTAAAGGAATCGACTGAAAACATAGATTCAATTTCGAAATTTGGTATTTTTCGGACCGGTCGTGGAATTATACTTTTTACTTCTATGTAAAATGTTTAAATGCAAAGGTTTGAAACTCCACTACATATTTAAGTGTTGGGTAGCGTAAAAATGAAAGGCAGAATTCTGCTTGAACTCGAACTTTAAAAAATATTTTAATAGAAAAAGACAAAGAATAAAAGACAATTTCAAAAAAATAATCAAAATTCTTGGCAAGGCAACAGTGCGTATGAATAATAAATCGACTCAGAGAGTTCATTTGTTTTGAAATTTTATTTAAAGTCAAACGCCAGTTTTTTCCCAAATTTGGTAGCTTTTTCCATCTATTGCTCACGAGAATCTTCTCTTTTCTCAGCTCTTCCGTTGAGGGGAAGATTTCCAAATTCCATTCCTTCTAAATTAAATTATTCCAAATCCCATTTAAGATCAATAAAAATCGAAAAAGCATTTCATAAATTGTTTAAATCGTTTTGTTTAATTTATTTGTTTCATTTTCCACATTCTCACTGGTTGCTGTTTGTTTTGTGTTTGTTCTTTTTACGTGTAGTTTTGAATTGATAATTTACAACTTACGGAGCTAACATAGAATGGCTTTAAATTAGAGTTAAATAGAGATTAAGTATAAACGGAGCTTGCGCGTCCAGACAATCGGCGATCGCGGGGGGAGTTTGAGGTTGTTGAGGGAAAAGTACGAGTAGAAAATGTAGCTGCAAAGTATCTGTAGGTCTGATGATCTGATGAAATATATACGTATTTAGGAAAAGTTGTAATCTCGATCTGGATAGAGGCTGCTCCGAGGTTCAGATATCAGAATATCAGATATCAGATATCAGATATCAGAGAGAGTGTGTTAAAAGTAAAAGCCACTAGCAATGTACACGTAAGTAGCGATTATTAATACTACGAATGCACTGGTATTACATTAAGTAAGTAGTAGGTAAGTGGTAGGATGTAGTACTATATGCAAGACTCATTTTTTCTCATTTTTTTTTTACGTATATCTGTTGCTACGATAATCCACATTTAAATATTCAAGTATTGTATTTTAGCGTCTATTCTTGGTTTTGTTTTTTTTTTGTTTTGTTGCGGTGGCGGGGAAAACCCCATTCGATCCACGCCCCTCCTCTCTCTCTGTTCGCCAACCACTTTCGCTTTCCTCATTTCGTTCAGTGTATGTATACAGTAACGTCGGTTAGCCGTTGCATTTTTAAAATCTATAACATTTAACTTATTATTATTATTTACGTATTTGCATCTGCATCTCCATGCCATTCCGCAGATATATTACTCTCTTATTGTTTGTCCATTTTTTATACTCGATCTCCATATATATATAAATACATAAATATATATCAAGATTTATATATAATATATATCTTAGGTTCTAATTACGTATACATCTTGTGCAGGGGATCGTTTTTGGATGGCCCCCAACTGAAGGATCGAGTTTCGGGACACATCGCATGGTGGCTTCATTCGAGCACAGCTCGTTGGAGCCACTAAACTATATATGGTATCGGCTATCGGTTATCGGCTATCGGCTAACGTTATCGTTATCGCTATCGGTATGGGTATCTCTATAGAGCGTACGAACTCACGATCAATTAACGGAAACGAGATCAAAAGCAATTTCGCATGCAAGCGAGCAGCCCGCATAAACTTTAACTCAGGCTCTAATAATTACACTGCGAGAAACAACAGAACATCTAAGAAAATGGCAAAAATAAATAACACAATTTCAGATTGTTTTTTTTTTTTTGTATTTTTTTTTTAGATTTTTTCAAAACCAATAATTTATTTGCGTTTGCCGGGGCAAACTCTACTCGCCGCTTCTGTCGGATAATCTCATAAACGCTTGTCATATTAAACTAAACATAATAATAATAAAATTAGGCATTAATTTAAGTTAAAAGGTAAACACACTACACATTACTTAAAGAAACAGCTTCACTCTAGTCGTTTGGGGGCGAGAACTAAACAAATTCGTTTACAAAATAAACAGAGTTAACTAAAATTGCATTATTTTATTATTAATAAGCACAAACTATACACACACTCTCAAATATATATATATATATATATATATTCGATCCTCCCAAAAAACATTTGTTTTTCGTTTTCGCAATATGTTTACTTGGCTAACAAATTCTATTTATATTTAAGTTAAAGTTTAATAGTTTTCCTCTTTTGTTTTTCGTTTCCTTTTCTTTTACGTATCTTAAATTGGTTTAGAACTGGTTTTTCCTTTTCTTTTTTGTTTTGCCAAAAATTCATATCAACAGAATTTCGCTCGCTTTCAACATTATATTGGTTTTTTTTTTTGTTTTTACTTTTTGAGTATTTTTCGCGAAAATTAATTTAAACATAGCAGTAAGCAACAAAGGGGGGGCAGGACAGAGGTTTTCAATTTCGAGTGATCATCTCTCTACGTGGGGTAAAAATGAAATCGCTGGCGAATCTTGAAGTTGTCTTTTTGTCGTTTGGAACTAAATTAAAATTATTTGTTTTTCCTTAGCCTTAGACGTGTACTAAGTAAGTTATAATCTGCACTCCTTCTTCCACTACTTTCATTTACTTAGCCTAGTTAATTAGTTTGTAGTTTTGTTTACGTATTTTCGGTTGCTGCTCAAACGCTTTGAAATAATTCCATTAGGTTCGATTTAGGTCAAGTTTCGCATTTTGCATTTCGCATTTCGCATTTTGCATTTCGCACGAAGAAGTACCATCAAAATATTTAAATATTATTCATTTAAGTAAATAGTTCATTTGTTACAATATAGTTGCTTTGTATCTGTCTCTGCGCCATTCCGCCTAATTCATCCCTATCGATCTATATATATATATCGTATATTTTCTTTTTTTTTTATATAGATCTACTGATCCAAGTGTCCTCCTTGGACCGCCGCCGCCGCAGCCGCTGCCGCCGCTGCTTTTTGGGCCTGCGCCTGCTTCTCCTGCTCGTTCAGCTCCTTGATCGCCTGGATCTCCTTCTTCAGCTTCATCCGCCGGTTCTGGAACCAGATCTTGATCTGCCTTTCCGTCAGGCATAGTGCATGCGCCATCTCGATTCTCCGTCTGCGGGTCAGATAGTGATTCGTGTGGAACTCCTTCTCCAGCTCCAGCGTCTGGTAGCGGGTGTATGTCTGTCGGCCGCGTCTTCGGAGACCATTTGTACCTGCAGATTAGAGAAAGGCAAAGAATATTAGTTGGGATCTTGGATTTTATATTAATTTAATATATTTTCTTTTAATAAAAATCGGACCTGATATCTGAAAGAGAGCAATGAAGTCTCTATGGTAGTTCAAAGGATCAGAGAAATTAAACATTTTCATTGTCGTTTTCCTCTTTTATTTCATAGAATTATTTTTAATTTAATAAAGTTTTCTTTTAAAAGACTATTAAGAAATCTATTTCATATATCAAGTCCATTTTATAAACAATAATTCTGTAAAAAACATTGACAAAGTTTTGATCTTCCTGTTTAAATTCAAAAAAGCCAACAAGACAGTTAAAATTTATTAAGAGACCATTTCGAAATGCATGTTAATTACCTTAATAAAAGCGATTTAAATTTTAATGGCTTTATGAAATCAAAATGCGAATCATAAAAAATCAAATGTCCTGTCATTAAACACAAAATTGTATTTATATTTGGCCTCTCATCGGGCAAATTAAATTGAAAAATTGCAACAAGCTGCTCAGCATTTGTTTGCTGTTCGCCGTTGTTTGGCCAAGTCGTAAATATAAATTCTCTCGTTTTTTGTGTTTTTTACCAAGATCATCAGCCGACTTAAAAAAAGGGGTAAAAAGAAAGGAAAGGAGATCTCGGCAAAGAGGAGAAAAACGGAAAAATACATTTCATTTTTACGAGTTTGGCCATTTGCAGTTGCGGTTTTGCTGTTTTTGCTGCTGTGGCTGGGATCGTTACTTTAAATTGATCGTTTGCCGCTGCACTGGCGATGTTGCTGCTGCCTTGCTGTCATTGCAACCAGATCCATGCCACATTAAAATGAAAAGGAGAAACGTGCGAGCAACTGCAACTGCAACTGCAACTGCAACTGCAAAGGGAGATGGCCAATGTGGCTACTTAAATTGCAGTTATGCCAGATAATGTTCGTTTAATTGGCAACCTGAGAGTCAGAGAGAGAGAGAGAGAGAATGATGGAGGGAGCAGTGGGGGAGCAGGAGGGGTCAACTGCTGGGAGCTGGAAAGCCAGAAGTCGCATCAACAGGCCAGCACAATGCCGTGTTTAATCTCTGATTTTAAATATTTATGAAGTTTAATTTGCCTTCAAGTGCAATAACTCAATTTCTCATGTATGGCTGTGAATGTGTGTTTGTGTTTGTGGAAATGCACTGCAGCTGCCTCTCCTGCTCATTTCCCTTATATCGAAGAAGAAGAGCCACCAGACAATGTCTGATTTTATCGGAAAAACCCCCCTTCGTTCACCTCCCTCTTAACCATGTTAACTTTCGCATTTTGGACAGCAGGTCTTTCTCCTGGGCCTGGGCGCAATGTTAACTTAAATATTATGAGCATTTATTATGTTATAAATTTGGCCTAAAGGTATTAACAAATTTATGCCGACACGAAAGTCATAAAGTGAAAACGCATTTATCTTTCACTCATACAAACACAGAGTAGTGGGTGTGGGGTGTGGGCGGTCGGCTGGTTGGTTGGTTGGTTGGGTGTTGCAAATAAATGGCGAAAAAATTTTATAGACAATAAAAATGATATGGAAAATGAAAATAAAACTGGCCAGGCTGGAAACAAACAAAGAAAATTATCATCTATATGCAGATAAATTAACTTAATGTGGCTATAGATCTGGGAAAATGCCTAGCGAGAATTATAGGAGAGCGATTTAATGTGCGAGAAAATTGGCCAGTGACAGGTCACAAGATTTGCAATGACAATTTGTCGGCTATAAAGGCCACGAAAGGCTCAACGGAATTAAAGAATATTTATTTATATTTTCTCAAGAATTTCAATTAAATGAAAATGCTGCCTTTAAAAGCTTTCCGCAAGTGCAACACAAAAAGGCATAAATAAATTTATTTAGCTGTAAACCTGTTTGCTGATTAACTTAAATCCCCGACAGTCGTGCTCCCTTCTTGGCCTGCTCTTTCCTTCGAATACATCACGCTGAGGTTTAGCAAAAGTTTCATTTTATTTAGGGAGCGAGTTACTCCCAAGGAGAGGGGAAAAGAAAAGCTTGCCTTGAGGAGTACGTGAGCTTTGCTCGGCAATTTTAAATGGAATTTGTCACTCCGGCTAGCGACTATTTTATAGTAACTTCTCTTTCCCATCTCTTCATCTGCCTCTCTCACCCTCCCTTCGAAAAGAAAAATCCCTACGAATATGCAAAAATAAACTTTTTACGAAACTTTGCTTTGCCTTGGTTGTGTTTTTCTTTTCTTTTCATTTTTTTTTTGGCATTACCCCCATGACTTTTCTCTCCCGTTTTTAGATTTTTTCCAGTGCTGGCCAAGTTTCGAAATTTATTATGCGAAAAAGTGCGAAATTCATTTTGCTGGCTCGCTTCTTTGCTTCTTCTTCATCTGCGTCCTGCTGTGCTGTGCCATTTTCTTTTGTAGACTTTTGGAAAATTTTTGTGTATTTCTAAGTACATAATTTAGAGGCTGGTATGTAGGGGAAAGGGGGTGTACAAGGTGGAGATGGAGATGGCAGTGGGCACAATAAAACTTTGTATGGCAGAGGCGCGAAATTTCTCGTAGATAATTTAAACGAGAGAGAGAGAGAAGGAGGGGAGGAACATGAGGTGGCTGGGTGGAGGTGGGTGTCTAGGTCTAGGAAATCTTTTTTTCGAGAATATTTATACGGTTCCAGTTGGTTTTCCATGGGGCCTTTCCATGGTTTTTCCTTTGGCCGCCCTGAAGATACATTTTCAAGGTTTTGTCGACTCCGTCTTCATGTTTTTTTTTTTTTTTTTTTTTTCCTGCTCTTTTTTTGGGTAGCACAGCTGCGCCTGGGTCCCCAGTACGTGTTATATTTTTTAACTTAAATTCCTCAGGGATTTAAAGTTTTGACAGTTTACGTGTTTCCCATTTGCAGCGAACTTTGAACCGAAACGGAGCTATATCTATGCCTGTCTCTGTCTATCTCTTATATATATATCTCTCTCTCTTTTTATCCCATTGGGCAGCAATGACTCACCCCCGGAGTTTGAATTCGGAGCGTTGCTAGCGGCCATAAATCTTCAGGTGACGGCGACTCCATGTTGCATGCGGCACATCGTGTGATCTATGCTTCTATTATAACTATTTATATACACACACACACATACACACACTGATGTGCTACACACACACACACAGATACTACTTATATTTAATTCGATTTTGTTTTTCGCCCTTATCGCACTCTCTTTTCTAATTTATGTTTTGTTTTTGGTCATCGTCACGTGCTATCTAGATGAGATTTTTACAAGAAACTTCTTTTGGGTTCTCTGTGATAAGCAGGAAAGGGGAGACATTCTAAGTATCTCTAAGATACAGATACTTTGATTACTGGGAACTGCTGGAGAAATAAAACTTTCTGCTGGCATTAATAATGTCTCAGGCCCAACCGGAAATTAATTGCCTTTATTTTTTCCCAGAAAACCGCACTACAACAACCACAAAAAAAAAAGGCATACCCAAAGGACACGCGGAAGAAACCCTTTTGGCAACCGGGGAAAGCTGCCAAAAAGTGAGAAGAGAAATCGATTGGCCATCGATTAATTGGATGGCCTGGGACACATGTGTCCCCTCTTCCAAGTCATTTCGGGCCATCGCACGCATTTTATTCGCAATTTAATTAAATCTATTTTCGTGCGTGTTTGTCAGGGGCGTGTTCCACCTTGCCTATATATGATATATACACACACAGCACACCCACCCACCAACAACGGCTAGATATATAGATAGATAGATATATATATATAGGCTTATAGGTACATGGATTTGCTCATTCCCACACCCTGGCATTCGAATTCGAGTGTCTATAAAACAATTAAATGCGATGGAGCTCCGGTTGAGGTTGACTGCGAGACGGAAAACTAATTTTCCGCACTGCCAATCGAGCACCACTAAATCTGTCAATTAAATTGGCCGCAGGGAGTACGAGACTCTGGGGACAAGGGGGGCGTGGCTTCCTTAGATCTACCTACCTCTCTCTCTGACTCGCTCAGACGTGATTATGGGTCCTCCCATACTATGACTATGTCTATGCCTATGCCACATATTGATGCTTGCGGTGGCAAATGCGCAATTGAGTTGCAATTGCCAGCACAAACACGAACGCAATTCAAGTATCTGCAACCTGCAGACTTGCTACTACTACTTGCAACTTGCAACTGCAGCTGCCAGTGCGGTTATCAAATTTTGAGATACACGTTTAGGGTGTGTTGCACACCCCCAACTTGGCTAGCTAGCAATACTGTTCGTAGTATCTTACGGCTGTCGCAGCCAGGAACTGAATTTTCAATTTTTCCCAAACACCAAAAACCAAAAACCAAATCCAAATCCCGAATCCCAGAAATCCAAAAACTCACAAGGCAATCAGAGTTTTTAATTGCTTTTCGGTGCGAGAGAGAGAGGAGCAAAGTGAATCTGCATCTGCAACTAGGCGGTGGTAATTGAGACTTTCCCCCTCGACTCTGGCAACCAAAAATGATGTGGCAAGTCAAGGAATTTTTTGGGGGATCTTTTTCTGATTTGGATCGCGGAATTCGTGGCGCGTACAGCCTCCCAAATTGCAATGCCACGTAATTGTGGTTGGGAAAAAAGGGCACCTCTGGTGAAATTTTTAGCCAGATCGCCGATAAAATCCGCTTAACGAACAGGCTTAAGCCTCACGCACCGTTTTTTGGTAACTCTTTTTTATATTTTTTTTGGCTTCCCTTACTTTTTATTTGGGTAATTTTTGCTTGCAAGCGCAACTCTCAATGGCCGTCTGATGATCTGAGAAGTGGAACGGGTAACTGGTAAACTGGTTCCCCACATGGACTGGATCTGGATATATGGCGGCGTATCTTCTTACGCATGACCAAGGATCGAGCAACCGTGTAGAAGGGGCTTCTCTCTCGTCATTAAAATAATTCATTGCAAGAGGCTCGCGGTAGCTGACGGTGCAACAGGTAGCAGGTCGCCTCGATTCAGGGCCACTGACCA